TCCACATTTTTTTTTTTTTTTTTTCTCTGTTGTTTAAAATTAACATGTTATGGGTTTTTAAATTAGGCCACAAAAATAATGCCCCCCCCCCCCCCCCCCCCCCCCCCCCGCTGTGTAAACGGTTGCCTAACCTAAGTTGATCTATTTCTAATTGTTGAACCAGTCTGGCTTAGACGTCTGAGATTAGAAAATACCTGTCTACGGGAAATGGTCTGGATTTAATTTATAAATAACAATCAGTTTTATTTCCTACGCTGATCACGTTTACATTATAAGTTATCTCAAGACTCTTAATCAGCTTAATTATATGGGTATCTTCAATGACTATTAATAGCACGTCTATTCGAACATGACCCCCTTTTTCTTCTGTACAGCATACCTCTTGGTCGGGTCCAAAACTAGGTACCTAAAGTGACGCACCTAGCCCAGGGATAGATATCGACGGCGTGATTTCCATCTAACACATATCATACCCCATCCCTCGAAACTTCATTCGTGCCATGTCCCCAATCTCACCCGCGTCCGTGTGAAAACATCCGAACGAGATAGTCGACTCTTTATGTTGACGTATCTTGACCATTTGCCGCATCTTCCATTGCTACGTCGTCGGCCGCAGGCATTTCGTTGCCATCACCGTTTTCATTGCCGTTGCCGTTGCCGTTGACGCCGTGTGCCTCCGCTTCCGATTTATAGATGAATGCTTCGAGGGCCTTGTACGCCTCTTCTAAGTTGTCATTCGTGATGATCGCATCGTATATTTCCCCAGATTTGGAATGCTCGATATCCTCCTGGGCCGTCTTGAGCATGCCTTGTATGTCCTCTTCTGCTACGCCAGCCTTCTTCAGCCGTGCCTCTAGTTCCTCGATGCTGGGCGGCGCGATGAAGATGATCCGAGCAGAGTAACCATTTTCTTTGGCCATTTGAGCACGCTTGGGGTAGGGTTAGTAAAACCTGGTTTATATATGGTATACGTAGAGTGGGTTTCGACTCACCTCGAGGTCTAAAAGGATGACAGGGACTTTTCCAGATTCCTCTAAGGCTTCGGCGGCTTTCCGATGCGTTCCGTACTGGACTCCATCTCGATCAACGAACTCGATAAAGTAATCTCCGTCCAATATAGTGTTGAACTCCTTAGCATCTACGAATTGGTAATCTTGTCCTTGGACTTCTCCGTCCTTGGGAGCCCGGGTAGTATGCGGGACGACTCTTCCGAATACACCTTCATTCTTCTCCAGGAGCATCGAGAATAATGTCGATTTACCGACTTTGCCCGGTCCTGTCAAAATAATTGTTCGTCTATCTTCCGGCATTTTGTCGCTGCTAGCTGTTTCTCCTTCAGCTTTTTCTGACTCTGACTGCTCTTGAAATATGACGTCGACCTTTTGCCAATCCTCGATCTTATCCAAGACGGAAAGTTTTGATTTTCGAGCAATTCTGAGGGCTCTCCAAGTCTTGCTAGCTTTTGCCTCGAGTATCTCGTACTTCTCCTTCTCGCTATTTGCAAAATCCAGGTCGAGGTCATCCGCAGCTATCTTCTCTTTAAAGACGCTTAGATCAGGAAGTTTCCATTTTGCTGGATCCTTTAATTTCTCCATTGCCGTCTCGCTATCCTCTTCCTTTAAGAAATCTAGGGAGAGCGATCCCATGGGTACAGGGCGCAGCCTCTTGTTAGTTGCGATGCGCTTCGCGCTAGCTTTTCCCTCCGCAAAATCAGCAGCGGAAAGAGGATCTCGCTTTATAGGTGGGCAACTTTCGACTTTCCAGCGAACCCAATTTTTGTCTCTTGAGATCACGCTCTCAATCACACGATGGAAGAAGTAGCCATCACTATCGGCTTGCATATAGAGGATTATCCTATCCTTCATGGCCGTCACCCATTTTGCCTGATAATGGTTAATGATACATGAATCTGCAACGTTTCAAAGTGGACTTACATCTTCTTCTCCCAACTTTTTATCACCGTATATCACTGACCTGTTCTGAACTTTTATCTTCGCAAGCTTTGCTCTAGCTTGAGGGGTGAGTGATAAAAGAAATTCCAAGACAATATAGCCTTGTATAAGAATATGACGCCTGAAATATAGATCGCTCATCTATAATAGTTAGATGGGGGTTTATCAGCTAGGTTTTGTAAGGTATACCACGTACCTCTAATTCAAAAAGCTCCCTGCTCGTAAGGTACTTAGGATTATTTGTACTGCTGCGAAGGTCGTCATCTATTTCTCCATGTTTTCTTTTCAGGGATGTTGTTTTGCTCTCGTCGGAGCTCTTTGTGCTTCTCTGAAGCTTTGCGACTGTATCAAATGCAGCCATGGTGGCCTCCAAACCAGCCTTAAACTTCGCCAAGTTCGCAGGATCGAAGAGGGCTGTGGGCTGGCTGAAGTAGTGCTGAAGGGACCAAAATACAGGATAGAGAGCATTCGTATCGAGGGGTTTATCGGACATCGGTTTGTTCTTAGAGTCGAACGAGACTGCCTTGGCCGTTGATTTGCTCTCCTCTTTTCCATCTTTGGGAGTGTCGGCGTCCGTATCTACGACCATTTTATCCGCCGAGTCGTCTGGCTCAGCTGGGGTCTCTTCGAAACTTGTGACGTTCTCCACATGATATTCTCCACGCAAATTCACCGAGCTCCTATCGCCCAAAGGAAAGCATTGGAACATAAAGATGAAGACTCGACCACAAAACGCCGTGTCTTCGGCGCGCGAAAGTCGACGTAGAAGATCATTGCAAGACCTTAGAATCACCAGCTTCTTGGAGTTTAAGTGTCGTGCAATTATTTGCTCTCTTCGGGACTCAAGGAAGTCGAATATCTTCCGACATCCTTCGGTCGTTTGGCTGTCGAGTAGCTCTTCTACAAGCCAGAAAAGGAGGGCAGCATCGCATTGCTCGCTATCGGACAGGACCGATAGGAAGTCGAAGAGGTTCCAGATTTGAACAAACTCGGGGGAATCGATCGATGTCCCAGCCTGAAAAAAAGGTCAGCGCCCAACAGAGGAGAGAGACATGTCGAAGAATTTGCTACTGACAACCAAGCTGCTAAACACATTTCGCGCGGCGGTTTCGACAACGGCATATTGACGAGCTTTCTCGGACTGTAGGTTCTCGGAAATATAATCAGGGGAAGCACACGGAAATATCGAGGGAAGTTGGACGAGTAAATCTTCAAAGTCAGCCTTAGTCAGTGGAGGCTCGATCGTCGTAACCGGCTTCACTGATTGCGCATGAACTAGAGCGTCCCTCAGGAGCGCCTTAAAGGCGTTTACCTGGGGCACTTCGTGATCTAAATGATTCGCTGAAGGCATCGTAACCTTTGTTGTCGTTCCGTAGTTAAAAGTATCTATCGATCGAAGTCTTGGATATACGAGGTTCTAGCCGAATCGAATGCGTACGTTGTTGGATATTAATAAAGAAACGCGTGGGCGATTGACAAACAGATAAATGAATAATCGCAGAGAAATCGGTGAATCATGTTAATAACACGGGCATTGGGATCAATAAATTCAATGTTCGTTATTTGGAATCAATAGGGGGTTTCTCTATGGTGTATGTAGTCTTTGTTAAGGCTGTAGGTTGTTGAGCTTGGGAATAATAGATTGAATATTGAATATGAAAGAAGAAGGCTGAACTTCTGATTGAGATATAGGTACATCAGTACACAGTACATTGAGACTTCCTCAGATACAGGTAACGCTAAGCCACTAACGGTTTAGGTAAATTCTAAGCTTAATACATGAGGGTACGCATTTTATTAATATTTTTTTTCTAATGTACTCTACCACTAACATCACGTATTTATTACCTTTTCCAATCTTTTGGCAAGAAACGAGGCTTCCTATTTTCATATTTATCTTGGTACCTACCTATCTAACTGAAAGGAGGCAAGTGTCTGTCTTGTGTGTCTACCCCTGATTTTTCAATAGTAAATGACTGAAGTGTCCGTCCGTCGGTTGTGTTGGAACAACCTGTATCCAGTATGTTATTCCCCAGGCTGTGTTGAAGCAGCCTGTGTCCAGGGCAGGAGCACCACCTACGTCAGGGATAGGCTGATTTTGCACGCTGCGGGTTGCTGCTGGAGAGGCTAGGCTGTTTGTCTTCTTGGAGCATAGCTGGCATCCTAAGTGTCTTTCGACGGGCTGTTATAGGAAAGGAGATTCTTTTTTAGCAAATCCTATCGCCACAGCGTACATCTACATCACTCCTAACAGATACTCCACCTCGTGGATTCGAAGAGGGCAGTGTGTATAGTCAGAATGCTATCATTCAACTAGGCTTTATCATCCCCCGGGAGATATTTCCCTCGAGAACGGCCGGGACTCCTCTAGATATCTGGGAGGAGCTCCTGGATTTATAACTGAATTCAAATTATAGGGGCAAATTTTGCAAAAGGCATACCTTAGGTAAGTTTAACTTTATGCATGTTAACTGCTAAGGGAGCTGGTTTCATGGTTACCTACGTTCAGCTTTCACAAGCGATTAGCCTTGACAACCTGTTACTACGTCCTATTGATGTAGACCACTGGCGCAAGTTGCTGCTACCATTTAGGATGCTTCGCGGTATAAATCGGCTTCAGGAACTCGACGAGAAAACTTTAGGCTCTTGAGCCTGAGATAAGGTATAACATAAAGACGTTTTACACACTATAACATCTATACGGGCTACTTTAGCAACCGTGAAAGGAAATCTAAAAAAAAAAAAAGGAAAAGAGAAAAAGGAAAAGAAGCCATATCCTTACGGTAACTCTTAAACTTAGGTGGTTTAGTATCGGGTTTACCTGCCTATGATAATTCTTGTAAGACAACTAAACCAGAGGAAGATGCTGCGGGACGTGACATGATAAAATTAAGGTTGCCAAGAACCGTTTCGATGGGTACCATCTCCACTTTCATGTATGACCTCTGTACCTAGGTACAAGCTACATGGAAAGCAGGGGTGGATCAGGCAAAGGAAAAAAAAATGGATTATGCAATAAAAAATACGTATGGATTATCAACAACTAGGTACACGCGACAAGGCTGAGAAAGTAAATGTTTGCGCCGTAACGTGCTGTACTACTGACTTTCTTTATCTTAACATACCTAACATTAGCTAGCTAACATCTAATAAGTTAAACAGTTCCATGTCCTCACAACCCTCCTTGCTATAGGTCATAAAGCAAGGCATAGAATTCCTCGGCTTACCGCCAGGGTAATTTATTAGCCATGCCGACCGCCAAAAGATTGAAAAGCGATGCAAAATCCAAGTCGCGCGGTACCGAACCGCGACCAACCATCGCCGACTTGGAGGGCGAGACTGAGTTTGCCCAGCTTGCGAGGCAGCACTGGCTGAAAACTACTAAGCGAGCTAAGAGAGTCAAGGTCAAGAACGAGGTGCTGAAACGCGATATCTGGGATGTGCTCGAGAAGGATGGTTTTCCCTACAAGTTGTTACTGGTGCTTGAAGGATTACAGACTCTCGAAAGTTACCTTTGGCCTGGATATTCCGAGGACTCGTCTAACCTCCACGTCCTCTTGATAGTGTTGCTTACGAACGTTAAAGCGAGGGAAAGGCTTGAAACATGGAGTATCTTCGAAGAACACCCAGCCGAGTTCTCGAGCTTATTCACCCGCGTACTCTCTATGACCCTCGACCAGACTTTGTCTCTACCAATACGAACTCACCTACTCTGTTTTACCACACATGCCTTCCAGAGCCTCGATTGGGCAAGCGTGAGAAAGGAATGTGCTCCGTTGGTCTCTATAGGTATATGGCATAATCTTTCCACCGAGTCGAAACGAGAAAGCAAGTTAAGTCAAAATCCGCAGCTCAAAAAAGCATGGAAGGCCGCAGGCAAGAGGTACGACTCGGCAGATGACGCGACCAAGGCTCGGTTACGATTTGAGAGAGCCTGGCTTTATACTCTAACACTAGACTTTCTACGTTTGCTCTACGATGAGAAGAGAAAGGAGGAGCATGTGCTTTACTGCCAACGATTCGTCGAGTTCATCACCGACTTATTAAGTCAACTTCCAACCAGACGATACGTCAACACTTTACTTCAGGACCTACATATCTTGCCTGCTCTACGGCTGTCCCCGATGTTCAACGACGAAGAAAACGCTTTACTCCGTGATCAATATTCCCTACTAAGTCATTATGTTCACTTCACCATAGACGATCAGACGGGGGCTCAACATAGTCGAACAGAAGCGTACGATCGGCATTGTGCCGAGCTTGCGAAACTCCAGCGAACTGCCCTGCGAGATTTCAAGGAAAAGCTAACTGTCTTAGCTTTATCCAATTACGGATCCATAGATAAAAGGAGCGAACTGGAAAATCTACTTGAAATCCTGACAGATGAGGAGATCCAAAGGCTTGCTACTTTGCTCGAGCTACGAACAGAATACCCAGAATCGGTTCAAGTCACTATTGACCGGCCATTTTTGATGGAAATTCTTTTATCGACCTATGAGAAGCGCAAGACGTTCCAGGAAGTTGCTCAAGATATGAATATTCTCCCGACCGAAGACAGCCTCTTCGACCAAGAATTGTTGAGGACAGACAATTATGACGGGTCTAAGCCACTTGCACTTCCAAAGCTCAAGTTACAATACCTATCAGTGGGTGATTTTCTTTGGAGGGCCTTGGTGCTTTACCGGTGTGAAGCTTTCTACGGTATTAGGAAAGACATTAGTGATGCGTTGAGGCGGCTACGGCCAGAGTCGAAACGTCCAGGAGAGACTACATTCACCGGCTTTTCCAAAATGGCTCTGCCCATATCTCGGCCTTCTATCATTGAAGTTGTGCCACCACGCGTTGGCGATGACAAGCCTTCTGCTGTTAATGCTGAAGTTTCGCTCGACGTCCGGCGCCTTGCTGACAATATTCGAAGGGACTGGGATTCGTTACGTCCGGATGATGTAGTATTTCTCGTTGCGGTGGACGCATCGGTATCGAAAGCCATTGGTAACGGAAATACGTCCACGATTTCTGAAGCACAAAAGTTAGGACTGATATCTGTGCGGGCTGCCGAAGTTGCCCAAGTCATGGATGATAAAGGGAAGTCTATTAGAGATCCTACCGCTTACTTCAACGGACACAACAGATCTCCAACGCGAAGGCTGCAACTCCGATTAGATCCGAAGGCTTACAAAGATGATCTGGATCGAGTCTCCAAAGGCAAACCGGACGTATACGAACGAATAAACTTGATCGTTCGACGAAGTGGCCGAGAAAACAACTTCAAACCGGTATTAGAATCCATTCGTAGCTTATGCTTATCGGAAGTCCCCTTAGCATCCTGGCTACATGAGAGCTTCCTTGGCTATGGAGATCCTGCCGGCGCCACGTATAAGCATCTGCCGAACCGGATTGCAAAACTCGATTTTAGGGATACGTTTCTGGACTGGCAACACCTCGTTGCGAGTCTACCTGGGAAAACTATTGAGCCAGGGTTCAATGTGACTGCGAGCTTCGGTCCTCCTTATGTGCTAGAGTCAGTGGATAAGCCCCCAGAAGAGAAAACGATCAAAGCCTCTAAGAAGCGAAGAAGAGATACCGAGCCTGCCCTCGTATCCGAGATCGAGACGTACAATGTGTCTACATATAAGCCGCCTAATACTGGTCCATATCCCGTCGATGCCCCGAAGTTGAATAGTGTCCGTTTCACACCTGCTCAGATTGATGCGATCATATCCGGCACACAACCGGGCCTTACTGTAATTGTTGGGCCGCCTGGCACGGGCAAAACAGACGTCGCAACGCAGATCATCAATAACATATACCACAACTTCCCCGAGCAGCGCACACTACTTATTGCCCACTCTAACCAAGCTCTTAATCAGTTATTTGCGAAGATTGTGGCCTTAGACATCGATGAACGACATCTCCTTCGTCTTGGGCACGGAGAAGAAGACCTCGATACCGATGGAAATTTTAGTAAGCATGGACGGGTCGAGTCTTTCCTTGAGATCAGAGACCGTTACCTCCAGGAAGTAAATCGTTTAGCTGCAAGTATAGGTGCTCCTGGAGCCCACGGGAACTCCGCCGAGACCGCGGGATATTTCAATTCCGTTTATATCAAGCCCGCCTGGGCTAAGTTCACTGAGGTAATCAAATCAGAAGAGTCATCGGCGACTGATATCATTGAAGCCTTCCCGTTCCATAATTATTTTTCTGATGCGCCCCAACCCCTGTTCCCCCCAGAGGGCGACCGAGAAGTCGTATTAGATATAGCCAATGGTTGCTACCATCATATTTCAAAAATCTTCTCCGAGCTTGAGGATGTCTTACCATTTGAGATTCTACGACGAGACCGAGACAAGGCCAACTATCTTCTAACGAACGAAGCTCGGATCATTGCCATGACATCAACACACGCCGCGATGCGCCGAACTGAAATAGCCTCCCTTGGCTTTCACTACGACAACGTAGTCATGGAGGAGGCGGCCCAGATCACCGAAGTTGAGAGTTTCATTCCCTTGGCTATGCAAACACCTGAAGGGGGAGAAATGGCTCTACAACGGGTCGTTCTCTGTGGCGACCACTACCAGAATTCTCCCGTCATCCAGAGTCTCGCCTTTAGGCATTATGCCAACCTTGAGCAGTCCCTCTTTTCTCGGTTTGTCCGCCTGGGAGTGCCTGTTATCACACTTGATCAGCAAGGCCGTGCCCGCCCATCCATTGCCGCATTATACCAATGGAGATATCCCAACCTAGGAAACCTACCGCATGTCGAGAGCCTAAAGGAGTTCCAAACCGCCAATGCTGGGTTCAAATATGATTACCAATTCATCAATGTTCCCGACTACAAGGGCAGCGGAGAAGTGGAACCGACACCACATTTCATTCAGAATCTAGGCGAAGCAGAATACGCAGTTGCTATATATCAATACATGCGACTTTTGGGGTACCCCGCCTCCAAGATCAGTATCCTTGCCACCTACGCTGGTCAGCGGGCTCTTATCAAGGACGTATTATCCTACCGATGCGCAAGAAATTCTATATTCGGTTTGCCTAAGATAGTTACTACTGTCGATAAATACCAAGGCGAACAAAACGATTGTGAGTAAATTGGAATTTTATTATTTATTGTTAGTTGTTTATTAAATACCACTATTTCTAACTACGAATAGATATTATTCTTTCGCTTACGCGCACGTCGAGGGTGGGCTACCTTCGAGATATTCGACGCTTGACTGTGGCGCTCTCTCGTGCCCGACTCGGATTATATATTCTTGGCCGAAGAGAGATTTTCGAGGCGTGCTACGAGCTACGCCCAGCTTTCGAGCTACTGCTTCAGCGGCCGGATAAACTTACGCTTGCAACTGGGGAGATGTGGCCCTCTGAGCGCATTCAGGCTGAAGAAGACGGGACGACTGTACCTGGTGAAGCAGTAATGGAAGGTGTTGAACATCTAGGCCAGTTTGTCTACGAGATGGCCGTGACAAGGATGAAACAGTTAAATGCGGAGCGCGGCTTGCTAGAGACGGTTGATCCACCTGAGGAAGTGGTGCAGCCTGTTACAGAGAAAGATGAGGTTGGCTATGTTGGCGAGAGCGACGAAGATCAAGATGAAGGTGTTAATGTCGATGAGGAGATACCAGACGGTAGAATTGAGGTCGAGGAGGCATGATCGGAGAATGGACCAATTGAAAAGGAACATAGATGAGACAATGGACGAGGCCGTGGATGATACCTAACTCCAGGGTAAATGAGGTATACCTAAACCTACCTCATAATGTATAAGGAGCTTCCTGGTAATTTTTTTTTCGACGCGGTACGACGATGCAAGTAATCCTCTGGACATTTGGGATGGCTTGTGAAAAGTTAATAATGATTTTGTTTATAACATAAAGGGGGCGTATGTACCTAGGTACATAATCGCGGAAATGCTACCTACCTCCTATTGTCTATATGGAAGTCTAACCCTCTCGTTTCCCCACGGGTTTTCACAAGCGGGACGAACCTGTGGTAATGTGGTAAGCGCGAATTATCCGTTGCTAACTTGTAGCCCTAGGAAGCGCCTTCCAACCGGTGCTGGTTAATGGTTAACGTACCAATGATGACGGCCAAATTGTCAGCCCTGCAAACCCTTGACTCCATTAGGGCTATACTATATTTGGGGGAGGGCTTTCCACCACCACCAAAGGCTCTATCTACTATAGTAGGGTAGGTACTTAATCTATAGGCTTAGGTACTGCTAGGTACTACTTATTACCTCTTTACCTAGATGACCCGCCCGGTGTTTCTTGTGTGTGTGTGCATGTGTGTGCCCGCCCAAGTACATACATACCTAGTACATAGGTCAGCGTCATGGTTTTGCCCTAATCGTCCGTGACATTGGTTAGAGCCGGTTTTCTACATACCTTGTACCTACCTAGGTAGGAGGTATGTATGTACCTAGTATGTACGCAGAAGGTACGCTAGAGGTATGAATGGCACCACATAAAATAAATAAATATAAGACCCGATTTCCAGAAGGATTCCGACTCGTTGCACCGAGACCAAAGCAGAGTGAGAGAACCGTCGAAATTCTATAGTCACGCCACGCCACGCCACGCCACGTTTTTCTTCTAGCTTACTTCGAAACTGCGTCATCTACCTTAGGTACCTAGGTATGTATGAGTGATTTCGTGTGGTGAGTCAAAAATCTTGTTGTAGGTGCACATCTGACATGCTACGGCTATGCCGTTGTCCATGTCTGCCCAATCACGCATGCGGGATATGTACTCGTATGTTTATTATACGGTACCTAGCTTGATTTACAATAGAGGCGAGGCGAGGCGAGGGAAGCTTAAAAGAGTTCTAATTGATAAGAAGAGAAAAGAAGATAACGTGGTGATGCACAGATGAGAAGACCGGTAGGTCGGGTTGATTTTAGTCGGCACTGCTTGGGAAGGTCGTTCTTCGGTTGGTTTGCAAGCGAACCGCTAAGTTTACCTAGGTAGGTATAGGTACTTAATTAGATATATTGTTTTTTATGTGAATCCACTGATTTATCGTTTGTGACTCTGTGATTCTGCTCGGGTTGCTAGCTGGGGAAAAGTTACCTGGTCTGACAAACGTATTGAGAGAAACGAAGGGCCGGATAAGAAAACAACCTCAAGGCAGTCTTGGGTGGATGCCAATCAAGCCCTAAAAACCTAACATTCTTGAAAGTTAACAGAAGGCACGTCAAGACTCTCACTACTAGCTTAAGAACTTTAGGAGATATACTATGTTAGGTATGCACTAGTGTGCCTTCGTTTGAGCTGGGGGAGGATGATTGTAACTACGGTCGTTGATTATTTATTGTTACTGTTTAATTTTTCTTTTCTTAAATTTCAACTCTTGTATAATTCGTGTACGGTAAAGGAGGCCAAATGGTCATGAAGCGAATCAAGGAATACGGTTTAATGATATAATAAACTGTAATAACCTTAGGTAAACTCGGATTTAGGAGACAAGGGGATGATACATACGATGCATCTATTACCTTAAGTAGATACTGACTTGACGCAATAGACGATTACATAACCTACATACATTCATATTAAGCCAATGTATCTGTTATGCATCCACATCTTCTTGCACACAATAAAAAAAGTGAATACCTAAGGTGGTGGTGGTACATGACTTAGGTACCTTCGAAGAAGGGGGAAAAACGGATTAAGCCTGGACTCTGGAGTTGTTATATTCCAATCTCATCGTTACTTCTATTTACCCCTCCATTACTCCATTATCCTAGTTATAGATGTCTTGATACCCTAATACATTCGCTATCCACCCTTGAACTGCTTCTTTATTGGAATTGTTTCTGCCCGTGAACATTGTAAAACCGTTAAAACTGATGTGTTTGTGCGATTCGGTAGGGATGGAATATAAATTCAAATAGATGCTAAAAACGCATTGGTTTTTGGAGTTGAGGGGTCACAAGCTCTCCGTACATTGTACCTAGTGACATGATACATAAAAGAGACGTGTTTTAAGTACCTATTCATCATCAAATATATCAGGCAGGTACGAAGAATACTGTGTGTTTTTAGTAGAAAAACAAAGTACTGATACGGCATATCTTTTGCGCCACAGTACATATCTGGGCTGATTATTTCTAAAAAGGTGGGCCTATCTTACAGCGTCAGTGCAAGTTGTCGGCTCAGTCTCCAGGCACCCATTGCCCCCATTAGTGTAGGTTTGTTACTACCTGAGTGCCCCAGAGGGGAGGGGCGTGTGGTGCGTGTGTACCTAATTGTGTGGTAAGAGATAGGACCCAGTCGCAAACCCGAAGGCCATTTTTTTCTTTACCCTTCCCAGAAATTCCCATCGTAATTTTTTTTTTTACTCTCCTGCACCACCTTTTTGATCATAGATCAACCACACAACCTCAGGAAGAGAGATCCCCTTCTGAAGGTTGTAATTTTTCTCCTCCTTGACATCTCCATCGAGGACGGAATTTCCTTGCATTCTTTGTATTTCTTTACAGGGAATCAATCTCCTCTCAATTAATTACCTCTCCGCAACCCGCAACGAGATAGTTTTTGACTGGACTCTGCGCGAGCGCCCGTGCCCGTAACCTCGAAAAAAAAAAAAAAAGTCAAAAATCCACTATCCTCTCGTCCTAATCCCCCAACAGGATTCTACCTCTTATTTATATCGACGACGTTCTTTTCTATTCCGCTGATAGATACCCCGTTTGCCATCCTCTTTTTCTTTCTTTTGAATCACTTTCACGAACAGATTTCGGGCTTCGTTATCGACGCTTGACTCTCTGTTTTTGTCAGTCTGAAAAAGAAAAAGACAACGACCAAACACGCAACACCTTAATTTAATTGACGAAAACCCTACCTCGCCAAAGCGAGATCGTCATTCACTTCTACGATTGACTGCATCATCCGCTCTTGCAGTCTTCAATTCGGATTTGATATTCGATTGTTCCATCTCCCTCGATCGTCTGCTTTGCGATTGCGTCTCTTTCTTTCAAGTAGCTAGGCGCGAAAGAAAGACTTCCGATTCCCAACGCAGTGCTAAGAACCGATCTCCAAGTACACGTACTCCAGCTCTCGTAGCGTCATTATATTGTCACTTATGACTTCGCCTAACCAAGGCCCGGCGTCTAACAACTCCACGACACCGTCGTACGCTTCTGCCGCCGGCGCAGCAAAAAAGCCATCTGCGACGCCGGTGGTTGCTACCGGTTCAAACGCACCTGTTGTCGCGGCTGGAACCTCAGGATCTGCGCCGCAACATGCTAAGTCGTCTTCAATATCGCCTATGAACGGCCGACCCAACATCATGCCGGCCATCCCTACTGTCCCTCCCGTCGCACACGGTACATCCAACGCCAACGGGCTTGCTGACCACAGCCGAAAGAGTTCTGTAACTATAAGCGCTAACGGTCCTAACAACTATTCGACGAACGGTGGAACTGCAGGAGGAAAGACGAACATCAAATTTGGTTTTCAAGAGTCACCTGCTGTACTGCACAGCTCTCCTCAGCCTGGATCAGCTCCCATCCCCATTCCTGACAGCGCTAATCCTCGTGTAACTTCACCCCAAAACTCGCCGTCACCTATTCCGCAACCTTCTGCCAGCGGTGGACGGCCTCCTTCCGGAACTGCCCAACAGGGTATGACCTTTGGCAGCTTCCCTGATAACGACGTGAGTACTAGCCTTCATTTGCAACCTCGATCGATCACTTACTAACATACACAGCGTTCTCACATACGAGCCACCTCTGTTTCCCAGGACCCGAACTCCTTAGGATCGCACTCGCCTCATATGAGACGAGGTTCGAATGTTAGCGATATGAGTAATCAGGGTCATCCACACATGGGCCGGGGCGGTTTCCAGTCCTCAGGCCGCGGCCGAGGGTACAGCAACTCATTTAATCACCAGCAACCTATGGGATACCCCCCCAACTCCTACAACCGGGGCCCCCAGAACTCCGGACGAGGTGGCGTAGCACCCAACTTTGGAAATGCTCGCCAGCAGCAGTTCGGAACTCCTCCGCCGCAACACCGCAGTCCGGCGCTCCCACCGGCAATGCCACACCACCCCCAGAACATGCCTCCCGGTGGCATACCATTCTATTACCCTCCTGGTCCTCCTATGGGCCAAGGACAAGTACCACAAGTAAAGCACCCCAGTTCATTCCTTCCTTCTAACCAAGAACGTTCGTATCTCAAAGTCGGTAAGAGAAGAGGAAGCCGTCGCGAGACTGAAAAGTTCTCGAATCATCGGCGAACAGACTCTTACGACAATGAGCACCAAGACTTTAGTCAGAAGTCTCGACGCTATAGTAAGCGTTCAGATCAGCGATTTGCCGCAGATAGTTCACGGCATCATGGATTTTCATCATTCAACAAGACGGAAATGCCGTATCCTGGAGAAGTTCCAGTCATCCCCTTGCAACACCCTTTCCCCATTGCCCAGTCGTTTCCGCCAAATCCAGCTCGAATTGATCTGTCACCAGAGAGTGGCAATTTTGACAGGTTACTAACCAGCGTACACCAGACTTTCTATCCTCAGTTTGACCCTCGACCAGGCATGCATATGCCTGGATATCCAGTCTACCCAATGGCTCACGGAGGCCAGTCCCCTATCCCCGCTTATCAGGCGCCTTACACCCCAGGCCCGTATAACGCCCCAGGAGGGCAGCCGATGTCTCGTAACTCTTCACAGGTATCCGTGGATCACCGTCCCGCATCGAGCACTGGTCAGAGCCAGGCACCGATTGTCGCCCAAGGAACGCCCCAATCTCAACCTGCCCAGATCAAGCCAGCTGTGGTCTCGTCTCCTCAGTTCAATCGCCCGCCTAAAAAGAGCATGGCTGTCATCATCAGAAATGCGGCCGGAGAGCCGGTTGATTTAAGCAAAGTAAAGGTACCGGCGTCGCCTGCCCCGAGTCATCAGCAGTCCAAGACGCCACCTGTAGTTTCCTCTACCCCGCCTCCTGCTCCGAAAACAGGAACGCCAAGAACTGGTACACCTGCTCACTCGCGAGCCGAAAGTGTAAGCAACTCTAAGACGGCCGAAGAAGTACGAAATGAGTTCAAGGAGAAGATGAAGCAGGCCGCCAGTGCAGAGAAGGCTAAGGAGGAAGAAGAAGCCAAGGCAGCTGCCGAGAAGGCCAAAGAAGAGGAGCGTCTAAAGGCAGAGCAGAAGGCTCAAGAAGAAGCCAAGGCTGCTGAAGAGGCACAGGCGCGTAAAGAAGCTGAAGAGAAGGAGAAAGCGGAGCGTGAAGCAGCAGAGGCGGCTTCGAAGAAAGAGGAAGCGCCCAAAGCCAGTGATGAACCGGACGAGGAGGAGCTCGAACGTATTATTCGCGAGATGGAAGAAGCCGACGCGAAGCGCGAAAAGGAGGAAGAGGAGCGCCGTATCAAGGTCGAAGCCGAGAAAGCTGCTAAGAAGAAGGCCGAGGAAGAGGCAAGATTGGCTAACGCTGCTGAGAACGATCGCAAGCTTCGGGAAGCTGAGGCTGAAATGGAACGCCTCGAGGAAGAGCGAGAGCGCAAGCGGGCCCAAGAAGGCTCTAACTTATCAGTTCAGGCCCTCATTCAGCAGTCAGGCGAGAATGAAAAGAAAGCAGATGCGCCATCGACAAGCGAGACTACAGCAAAATTGGCCAACCTTTCTCTCAATGACAAGCCTTCAACTGCAACTACTAAACCCGCGCAAGGTGGACGTGGCCCTAAGCCAGCTGCTCTTAACCTTGCTCCCATTAACACCAAGTCTGTTGAACCTGCTCAACCTAGCGCGGCGCTTCAGTCTCTTAAGACAGCTAGGCTTCTAGGTTCAAGCTCCATCAGGGCCGATCTTTATCCTGCAGGAATTCAATCACCGAACCCTGCTTTGAATGCTGCTGTCACAAAGAAGGGAACATCATTCAAGTATGACTCCGCCTTTTTAATGCAATTCCAGAAGGTCTTCACGGAGCAACCCTCTGTTGATTTCCACCAGCAAGTCAAGACCCTCATCGGCGATAGCGACAGTAACCGGTCTGGGTCTGCTCGAACGCCAGCCGGCCTATCCAGTCGACAGCCTTCGAGACCTGGGGCACCTGGCACAACAACTTTCGGCTCCTTCTTTGCTGATGGTCGAACATTACCCCCCGGGACGACGTCCGCTCAGCGATTCGGAATGAGCTCCGAGAAGTCAATGTCGCGACCGCCAATGAATGCCATTGGCAGCTTCCGTGGAACCTTCCCCGGTGGTAACCAAATGGCTCGACAGCCGTCCAGTTCTAACATGAGCATGCCCCACTCTCCACGACAAGGAAGTCGTCGGAATGCTAGCAAACAAAGCACTTTCAATCCCAAGGTGGAGGCTCAGGCGGCTAAGACTATGCCTCTCACGCAAGGTATGAAGATAGAAGCTCTCAGTACCTCGTCGACAGGTTGGAAGCCGACCAGCATTGCCAAAGCCGCACAAGCTAGCGCCGCTGCCCCGGCTGCGCAAGGCGGACTGCTTGATCCTTCAATGGTTCAACGTAAAGTCAAGGCTGCCTTGAACAAGATGACACCTGAGAATTTCGACAGAATTTCGGACCAGATCCTCCAAATTGCTGGTCAATCCAAGGACGAGACTGACGGCAGGACTCTCCGTCAAGTCATCCAGCTCACTTTCGAGAAGGCTACTGATGAGGCTCACTGGGCGTCAATGTATGCCAAATTCTGTAAGAGAATGCTGGAGACAATGAGCGCAGACATTAGAGACGAGAATATTAAAGACCGAAATGGCCAGGTCGTTAGCGGTGGTGCACTATTCAGGAAGTACCTTCTAAACCGATGCCAAGAAGAATTCGAACGCGGATGGAAGCTTTCGCTACCGGAGCCGAAAGAAGGAGAGGACAAGAAGACGCTCGAGGCCGCCATGCTTTCTGAAGAATACTACATCGCCGCTGCCGCTAAACGTCGTGGACTTGGTTTGGTTCAGTTCATCGGTGAACTTTACAAGTTGGGCATGCTCACTGAGCGTATCATGCACGAATGTGTCAAGAAACTTGTTGACCACAGTGGTGTTCCTGACGAAGCCGAGGTCGAATCTCTTTCCAAGCTGTTGCGAACTATCGGTGCCAATCTGGACTCCACAGACAAGGGTCGGGTCATGATGGACGCTTACTTCGCTAGAATCCAGGGCATGATCGACCTTCCCGATCTACCTAGCCGATTGAAGTTCATGCTCATGGACGTGATCGATCTGAGAAAGGCCCATTGGGTGTCCAAGGAGGCTAATAAGGGTCCTAAGACTCTTGAAGAAGTTCGTGCGGAAGCTGAGGCCGCAGCAGCACAGAAGGCTGCTGAGGCGGCACGAACTACTCAACGAGGTCCTGGAGGTGGTCCTGGACGAGCGCAGCTAGGCCGTGGTGATGCTAGGAACTTCTCAGGCTATGCGCAACAAGCGCAAAACCAGGTCGGTATGGATGACCTGCGCCGTCTAAAGGGTGGCGCGAACCGCACCCCAAGCTCAAACGTTACATTGGGACCCGTGTCGATGCTTAACTCTCGTAGTAACAGCGGCCGTCGTCTGGGCCCTGGTGGTTCGCTTAGCAGAGGAGCCGAGGATTCTGGTGCCTCATCCAGGACTGGAACTCCTCCAGTAAGGGAGGCGCCAAGCAGCACGAATTCGTTCGGGTAAGTTTCCATCACTCATAAGTTTAAATCACGAAATTGCTAACTTTCGCTATCTAGTCTACTTGCCAACATGGACTCGGATCACCCAGCGTCGCCCCCATCTACCGCGGCGTCGCCCGCTCTTACTAAGGTTGTTCCGGACAACGCAGCTGCATCCGAAAAGGGAAGCAGTTAAAATCCGTTTTCTATGATGATAGAAACGTCTTGCATTTGCGGTTGCATCGTTGTGCATAGACTAGGACACAGGACTTACTGCGTTGCATTTACGGGGGTTTCTAAAATGTGTCTCCAAAAGTTTCAGGTTTCCTTTTCATTATGATACCTTGCGCCCAATAGACTTTACCTTCCCACGACCAGTCACCATAAAGACGACATTCCCCGAGATCCTTCACTTCTTTTCCGTAAATCTGTGTTTCATTACGTTTCTCCTGATTCTTATCGGCACAAGACAAATCATAGGGGGTGTTCGACAGGAATCATTTTTTTCACCGTACGAGCAACGTTCTTAGCACTATGTCAACGATGGTCGCATGACGAACAAAGGCGGGCGAAACCGATACAGACGATAGGCGCCCGGTCGAGGAGGGGGAAAGGGCATTGAGAGCGCGGCTGTCGCCAACTTTTAGGGATTAAGTTGCGCAAATGCGGATCCGGTCGTTCGGGGTCTGGCAAGACGGCGGAAACCAAGAGAATTGGTTGTGTATTCTTGATTTGCATTTGGAATTTTGGTCACGGTTGACCGCTGGCTGTTCCTTGCTAGGTGCTTTCGTTTGCAAGTCATGAGGAGGGGGCAGGGGGAGGGGCATGAGGGATGAATGGACGGAGGTTGTCGCGGACGGTTGCTCAAGGGTTTCTCAGCCCTGTGGCTACATAACGACTTGATGTGACAGTAGGTACGCAGAGGGTCGACCAGTGCCAAACGGACGCAGGGAGTACAACTTACGATAAGGAGGGGAGATGTTTCATTTTCCCTTCCCCTGACGAGATTCTTAATTTTTAGAAAGCAAGCCAGTGACAGCCGCAAAAATTGATATATTGAGCAACCTTCTTATAACTTCTTAACCTAGCTATGATAGAGGTGACATGAGATGAGATGATGTTGCTTGAGGTAAATATGCTGCGACTTTAGTATAGGTTGCCGAAGAGTTTCGGGAGCTGGTCGGCGCATGGTGGTAGTTATGGCTTTTTTCCCTCGATTATCGCTCGTCGCCGAAAGGGTAAAGTTGGGCAAAAATAGGAGCTACTGATCATACATTTATACGAGGTAGAAATCAGGTTGCCCGTTTTTACATTAGTTAGCGATAGCTAATAGATCTACAACGTTATGATTTCATCTCCGATCTTGATTGTAGGATGCAAGTTGCGTAGTAAATACTGCGCGAAGAGTAACTGAGCCGTGATATAAAACTGCAAGTCAAAGACACCATCTCAATAACTTATTCATGTATGCTGTGTCTGGGTGATGTATAATAACAGGTCTTTACATACAGGTAAGAAAGACAAGTATGATTCCGAATGAACGATATACGTATTTAGATTCATTATAAACCATTACCATGCAGTGTTTAACTATGACTACCTCTTGAGCTACCTAAGACCAAATAAAGCAGCACAATGAAGAACAGTATCCTAAACCAGAAACGCCAGCCGCTATTATGTATAGGTCTAGCTAGGTTACCTAACCTAGCCTCCTATGTTATAAGCCTACTGGCCAACCCTTCATCCCGTCATGGGTACCTAATATATATCCTAACTAATCCCCTTGATGGTGGGGGTCTATTTAATCTAAGCAGCCGTGAACCCCAGCTTTCCGAACAACGTGTCCATGGCAACCCACTGGCGCCCGCACTTATCGAGGTATTTATCAACAACGCCCTTGACTGTGGTAAAGCGGGTGCGGTTGTGTTCCGCGAGAGCGAGGACCCTGTCCTTCTCGGCGGCGTTCAAGCTGCCGGCGTTACCTTGTCCGCCTAGACCAGTAGCACCGGAGTTTGCCTTGGCGCGGGCCTTGTCCACGTCCCACAGGGACGCAAAGTATACGAGCTGGTTGTAGATGTCGCGCTCGCCGTACTCGTAGCGCATGCGGCCGAGGCAGCCCGACGCCAGACCCTTCGGGCCCATGCACCGCGTGCCGTAGACCGACATCTGGCGCGTGCGATTGCCACACGATGCGTCGTCGCACACGAGCCAGCCCTCATAGTATCGCGCCGTCTCGTTGCGGACGGCCCGTTCAACTTGTGCCACGATGCTAAGGTTGGGAATGAGTGCCGAGCACGACGGGCAGGTAACACCTTGCGGCGTGACGCGATTTTCAGGTTGTTCCGAGGATAGCAGGCCTTCGAATGGCGCCGAGGTTTTACACTTCCGACAACGTAGGGAGAGGCGAGCACAGTCACGGAAGCGGACATCGTCGGGGATCTGAGATTCAAGAGGGTGGATTTCATGGTCGTTAGATCCTGACTGATTAAAAGTTGAGTTGTTTGTATAGCGACGAATGTCGAGACCAAGTTGTTCGGCAAGCTGGGAAGTTGATGTTCCGGTGATGTTGGCGCAGAGACGCTCAACAGGTGGGAAAATCTGCTTGCCGATATACCACTCGACGTCTACTTTGAGACCGGAATCGGGCTTCATTACATCTTGTGGCGTGTATGCGCGCTTTGCAACAGGCTCTGAGCTCGTTTTGCTGTCTCCAGTCACGACGTACGAGATGACATCTCCGCGACGGACCGTGTTTCCCCGTGCAATTTCTCGAAGAGCAACCTGGACTTGTGGCATCGAGTCCGCGTTCGGGTACTCCTTTGGCGCCTTACCTAACTGCGTATAGATGATGTATTTCGGCACAGGAACAGCGTGTTCTCGCATTTTGCCTGCGACCTCGCGCAGATATTCGTGTATGCGTTGGACGGAAACTTCAGTATCGTCGCCAGATAGGATTTCGTTAAGTAGACGGGAAGAGATCTCTTTTGACAGACCACAGTATTCTCTGCGTTTCATATCAAGACCCTTCACTTCCATCTTCTCAATGTACTTGCCACCAGGAACTTCTACAAGATTGATAGCCGCGTACTTCTTCTTTGCCTGGAGCAGGATGCGTCTAAATACGTTGTCGATATCGATCTCTAGGAGACGATATCGCTCGTTGACGGCTTTCTTGAACTCCTGACCGACCTTTAGTGCCTCAGCAACCGATTCAACGTTTGCGTTGATCATGACGGAATCGGTATCGCCATAAATAACCTGGAGAGACTTGGACTCGGCAAGCTCTTTGGTGCTTCGGAGGATCTCACGACCTTTATACGTTGTAAGGATGGCAAGAGGTCTTGCGTAGAAACGAGACTTGGTGTATCCCAAACAACCGTACATAGAATTGGCTGTCAACTTCAAAGCAAGTTGCTTAATATCCCATGTGGCGAGCTGCTCAGGTGTAGCGTTCTTATCTTTCATCAGTGATTTTACTGATCGTCGCCGGCTGACTAGAGTGGCAATAAGTCTCGGCAATATGCCTTGTTCCTGTTGCGTTGGAACTTCCGGTACAGCATCTTCATCATCCGGCTATCTCGAGTGTTAGCAACTAGTTCGTATGCATAGAAAGTACGCAGACTTACAAGTGAGCTCCGTTCGACCGTTGTAAAGCAGATATTGAACTCCTGGATGATGGAAGGATAAAGAGAATTGAAATCCATAACCAATACGAACTTGTCATAGAGCCCCCTCTCCGGTTCGAAAACAAGACCACCCTTGTATTTATCCTTCTTTTTACTTTCCGTGGCCTCTTCTTCATTGTTCTCCTCTTCAGCTTTAGGTCGTCCCTTGAAAAACTGCTTGTCGGGGCAGATGTACTTGTTGCGGTGAAACTCATGCAACAAAATGTACTCGTTGCGCTCAGCTCGAGTACCTGTTAACGTTCGAGCCCACGAGTTACCCGCTAAATTCGTCAAAACTTTCGTCAAAGGTAGCATCTGTGTGCTCAAAGCCAGAGCGGCGATGAAATATGTATCTGCTTCCATATGGGTTATATAATCCATCAAGCCTGACTTGTCGGATGCCCATGTCTTCAGAGCCGCCTCGTTGTCGAAATGTCGTCTATGGGTATCTCCACCGAGATAGATATTGCACATTTCTGTCAAACTCCAGGACTGACACTTGTACATGACTGACTTGCCAGCATCGTTGGCAAGGTCACATAGGAGGCGACCAGCCATAAGCTGGCGTTCTGCAAATACATTACCACCCGTTTTTCCTATGGATGTTGGCCATGCTGCTCTGCGCAATCGCCCAAGCCGTGACCACTGGGGTGTCTTCTTCTCGTGTAATCGATTCAGCAAGATACTATAGTCAACACCTTCCAGTTGATGACCAAGGATCACATCGGGATCGATAAGATCGATATGCGCTAAGAAGAAAGATAGTATCTCGGATTCCTGCTTCACCAGCTTGATGAGCGACTTTTTCCTACCCATCGCCAGTTTATCGAATCCGAGGGGGAATGCTGATCCACTCGGCCTCATCAACGTAAACGTTTTAGAAGGAAGCTTTTCTGCGGGTGTAGTGTCACTAAGCAAGACATTCTCATAGATACGAGCGCTGATCGCAAGTATCTCCTGTTTGTTGTCTTTGGCGTTGAAAATGGTCCGCATAGCAATGCTCATAAGAGTTAAGGGTGGTGCATCCAAGTTATCAGCGTCGCTCATTGGGGAGATTGTATCAGGATCATTGACAAGGACCTCAAGTTTGGCGTGGGAGGCGTTCTTGATAGCACCAAAGTCGGCATCCTTTACCTTGAGCCAACACGGACCCATTATGTTCTTCCACAGCACAAACTGTTCGAACAATGCAGTGTTGGTACCAAAAACGTGAGAGAATGTCTCGCCAGTCGTTTCGGGGTTGATTGGAGGTTCTAGTTTATATTAGCATGTAAATATGTAAAAACAAGACGTCGAATTTACTTACTCGTATAGGGGTATAATAGTTTCAGGTACTGCGCTTCCTTCGGGATACCAGGGAGTTCGAAAGCGTATTTTCTGGTAGAGGGCTTTATTTTATGCATATCGACCTTCATTTTAGTCATGATTTCGTCTACTTCCGAGTAGACATCTGTCATTTCTATTTCTTCGCTCGTATCCTGACCGTTCTTTTGACGATATTGGCGAGGTAGAAAGTACAATTTCCTTAAAATATTATCAACCTTGATAAAGCAGCTCACATAGGTGCTTGTTTTCTTGTTTAAGACTTTTCCGAATAGGCAAAGCGAACCATTGACCTCGGTATAGTCAGTCCAGAACATATTGAGGCTACCATCCTCCTCGATGGCGTCCTTGTAATCGATCTTGCCGATGCTTCTGGTTTCAGGGAGCGAGCTGCTGACAACATTTAGCTTATCCGTGAGATTGTTCCACGACGATGAGTCAATATCGGTCTCGGCAGCTTTTGTTGGAGATGAGCTAGCAGGAGTAGGGTATGGGTCAGGTTTGGCCAGCTTTTTGATAGGTCGCGATGCAGACAAGTTCACACTAGCAGTCTTTATAGTTCCGGCATGAGAGACCTCCATCATCTCTTCGTCTTCTTCTTCTACGGGCTCTACCTTAACTTTGGTCATACGCGCGACAACTTTTGCTGTGGGGGACGAGGGAACAGGAACGGAGTCGCTCATCAGTACGTCGGACGCTGGTGGTAGGAGATCATCATCGTCCATAGGCGGGAGGTATCCATCGTCATCGATAGAGTCCTCTTGTGCTTGAGGCGCAGGGGATGACCGTTCTTCGCTTAATCTTGCTTTCTTGGTGGCTGGCTGCTTATTCTCTCGCGCAGGAGATAGAACACGAGCTCGTCGTCGCTCGGGGGATCGATTTCGCTTTGGAGCCCGCGACGCTGGAACAGGTATGTTCGCATCAACCTCGCCTAACAAATCGGCTAAAAACCTTTCATCGTCTTCGGTTTTCACAGCCTAGGCAACTAATATCAGTTTTGAACAAGTAGAACGGAGCCGAAGGTCAGGTTATACCTTTGGTTTTTGTTGAGTGGTAGCTTGGCCCTTCATAAAATATTCACTGATATCACGGTCATTGGCGTCCCGTTTTGCCTTTTCCTCGTCGCGCTTCTTCTTATCTAGCACGGGGTAAGTATACAAGCATGCTTAAGCAAGGTGAATATTGTGATTCTCTAATACCTGATTTGCGAGGCTTTCCTCCAAGCAATGCCTCATCCTCGCTCTCGGATTCATAAGTATGCACTCGATCCCACTCCTCTCGTCCATCGTCGGCGTAACCCTCGCCATTGTCGTCGACAACAAAGTCGTCTTGGTTCAGACGGTCGCGAACGATTTTTTTATATTGATTTTCGTCGACTTCCTCGTATAAATCTTGATCTTCTTGGACCTCATAAGAGTCGTAAACCTTCTTCCCAGCAGCGCGTAAAGCCCTTAACTCGGCAAGCTTATTACGCTTGCTGAGTGACTTGGACATTTTATTTTATTTTAACTGGGAAGGCAAGGTAATATGGAAGAGTGTTGAATAGATGCTATAAGGAATAAATCATGCCCAGATTGGAAGAGGATAAAAGTGTAGGCGGTGTTCAACGTCGAAAATGGATTGTGTGTAAATGCGTGTAAATGGATGGATGCAAATGTGGAGAGAGGTACAGAGTAAAATCGTAAAATTATAAAATCAACTGCATCGATTGGACCTTTGGACCTTGGTATCAATTAAAAACACGATGTACCTTTTTTAGTGAGAGACGCGACGCGCGAGCCACCATTTAACAAACGCGTTTTCGCGAATCCTTATCAGAGGTACATATGTACATAGCATATCATTTACAATGTAAAGTACCTACTACCTCCTGTGTCTGACCCACTTAGCGGGGTATCTTCGTATCGAAAGATCTGCCCGCGACTTTGGAACCTTAACGTCACACCTAACAGTAAAACTTTAAACTTTTTTTATCGATAAGGATAAACGCCCGCATCCAAAACCTCATAAGTGAATAATAAGTTGAATTGTTTTTGCGCATGCGACAAACTTCGAATTTATCAAAAAGTCAAAACGCCAATCCTATTCATATAGAGTTACTAGTGCCTTTACAGCGCTTGTAAAGCGAGAAATTATGCTGGCTTGTCAATCGTGTACGAGAAAAGCCTTCTCTACATTAATCAACCATACTATTCGCCTGCAAAATAGCCTTGCGATAATACGACCTATCTACACCCCAGCTTTCTCCCGTCGACATAGAAGAAAATATGCCACAGTCGCTGCGCCATTCGAGGGTTCGAAGCAAAAAAATAACGGGCATCATGCGAAGCCGAGCGGACGGGTCTCTCCACGAGAATGGGCTGCCAATAAGCAATTACAGTATTTAAAAGATCCGCTGCATATTGCAGATCATGTTAAGAAAACGTTAGAGAAAGATCAATTCGAAGATGCTCTCCTTATCACGAGAAAAGCCAGTAAAGACACGAAGGTGACGGTCAGTTGGAATTACTTGATCGATCATCTAATGCGACAAGGCAGACTTCATGCTGGGATCAAACTATTCAACGAGGTCAGCTCTTACCATTCCCACCGTCATCGTTCTCATCGTTCTCTTCCTTCTCTTCCTTCTTCATGCCGCTCACACGTCCACAGATGAAGAAGAGAGCACAATTTCCAAACGCCCAGACATATACGACCATCTTCAACGGATGCGCCATCTCGCCTCATCCACAGTTAGCCGTAACCGAAGCCATCAGAATCTACAATAACATGCTAGCAAACGAACGCCTGAAACCCAACACCATCCATTTGAACGCTCTTCTCAAGGTCTGCGCACATGCCGAAGATATCGAATCCTTGTTTACCATCGTCCAAACCGCCAACGAAGGTATTAGAGCGCCAAACAACCTGACATATACCATTATTTTGAACGCTCTGCAGCGCAAGGTTAACAGGCGCCAGTATGGCCGTGCCCAAGAAGTAGATACTCCCCAGATTACAAAAGCAAAGGCGAAAACCGTCCAAAGAGCCAAAGCCATATGGGAAGAAGTTATAGCAAAGTGGAGGGCGGGTAACATTATTATCGACGAAGAACTAGTCTGCTCCATGGGATGGATTCTACTAATGGGCGATTGGCATGACGCTGATTCTATAGAAGGTCTACTAGAGCAAACTATGATGATTCCAAGGGAAAATAAGCCGGCGATTAGTGGAGAAGCTGGTAAAGCCGCAGATCCTGGCCCTAGCGAGAGCACCGCAGACCCAAAGCCAGCTATCTCTATTGGTGACAGCAAGATCCTGGCTCCCGGCGCTCCCTCGTATACTCACGCACTTCCCGGGAGGAACTCCCTTTCTTTGATTCTTACTGCCCTTGAGAAAACCGGAAAGACAGCCAGGGCTCAAAGATATTGGGATATCTTCACCAAGGAGCATGGCGTTGTTCCTGACGCCAACAATTGGCATCGCATGCTCATAGCCCTGCGTCGCGGGAAGAACAGCGCCCAAACGGCTGAGCTTCTACGGGAAATTCCCGCTAAGTTGGTGCTTCCTAAGAACTTCCGTACAGCCATGAACACTTGTTTGCGAAATAACCTAAACCGCGCTGTCTTCGACCACGCCACTCACATTTTGGATCTTATGCCAGCCAAACTAGGAACACCGGATCCAATAACGCTACGAAACTATCTCCGCGTGTGCAACGCCACCAAGAAAATATACGCCGATATATCAAAGAAAAAGCGCCGGGGGGCTACGATGACAGCGTGGGTCAATCAGCTTGCCACAGCTCTCAGGAATGTATGGGGACAGTACGTGGTTCTTCAAAGGTTGTACGGCAACGATGGACCAGAATCAAACATGAAACGAGAACTCATAGCCCTAGCACGGAAGATGATTGCCGCCAGCGATGTTATCATATCGAAAAAGGTGGTGTCCTTAGATATCGAGACAGAGGTTGCGCAAAGACGAAATAATTTGAATAGGGCCGTTGTCCGCCATTTTGAACAGATGAGGGCAATTGACCCTAACTTCGTCCCAGAAGAGGAAGTCGAAGATGAAGAAGGCGAAATAGGTGAAGACGAAGAAGATGGTAGTCATCATAAGACACAACTAGATGTCTCGTTGAAGCGACCTAAAAAACCGTTTGAGGTGATCATTAAAGAGAAAGCCGTTACCCAAGTATAGTGATGGCTGCCTGGATCCTTCACTCGTTTTTCAATGTACATATACTGCAACTATATATCTACGGTTTATGAGGCTAAAATACCCCTTTAGACGGAAAAAGAGAATATATTTATTTGACGTGCCTGTATATCTATATCTATATGTATGAGTATGATATTTGCGTAGGTCCCCTTGCTTCATAAAACTGTCTCCTTTCTTCAACGCAGGTTCCCATAATATATATGTTCGAGCAGCTGGTCCTGCAGTCGCGTGTGCTTCTTGCGTTTGCGCCTGCAGTAGAAACAAATTATAGGGGTAGGTGTTTATAGGGTGTTTATACCAGAGAAAGAACGAATAGCAGTCATGGACTTGTTTACAACTTTTTAGATTTCAATTCTAATAGTCAACTCTAGATCTACCTGTTTTAGCCTCTGCTCCTCATTCCTATCTGCTCTTCAAGTGGGTTAGTCTGTTGCTATATGGTCTTGACTAGCTAGAACCATTGAATAAGACTTAGAAGAAGATTGGGTTCTATCCTTACCACTTCTTTCTGTACGACTGCCCTGAAGTCAGTGCTTTATTCGAAACTATTAGCTACATCCTACAAAATGGCTAGCCTTCGGGAAAGATTCCGCAAATTTACTACTACGGCTTACCCCGAATCAAGCGTGAAAGATTTGGGATACTTAACAGATCCCAAAATACCATTGCCAGCCAAAGATCGGGTTCACATAACCGAAAATTTGAAGCTCAAGAAATCCTCTCTACGCCGGCGCTTTGCGCGAAGTCTTGATCGTAGAAGGTCATTCCCAGGATGGCAGCTCATCGAGTACGATGCGATTGATAGCGACATCCAGAAGCACCATCCCTCCTTCATCCGAAAGGGTATCAATTCCTTTTCGTCTTTAAGAGATCGGTTTTCTTCAGACATATCCACCGAGAGCGATGATCCAAGCTACCGGCCATCCGTTATACGGAAGAGCATTAGCTCTATATCTTCGTCACTCAGGGGTATTCGTACTTCTACGAGCTCCCGACCATCACGAGATGGGTCGACCCAATATCACACTTCTGCAGAAAAAAATGGCGCGTTAAGTAACTTTTTAGGTTGTCCAAGACACAATGGCCTAGATCTTATACCTTCTAACACGTCATCTGCCAAAAGTTCTGTTCCTCGTCTTCCTGACCTAGACACGATGGTTGCGAATAGTCAAGCACGGGAAAGGTATACTCAGAATCGCTCGCCTAACACCCTCTTTAGCATGAGCATATTCGATAGCCTTGATGGCTCATGCATAACAAACCAAAATGGTAAGGAGTCGTCTATTTAGTACAACATCTAAGTTTCTTTCTATATACTTTACATTTAACATTCTCGATTATAGCTATCGCCACTGATATGACGTGGCAGCATTATCAAACTTCAGCTAACACGGAACTCCATAGGCAATTACGAAGCAGATGAGGAGGGAATAAAACCCAGGCCATCTTCTCCTAATGCAGGACGTTTTCCTGTTCGAATCAAACGTCCCGATTCAACAGTTAGCGAAAAAATGGCAGAGCCAAGAGTCAGTCAAATGAGCCTCTCGATGATGACAAGCGACCAGGAGCTTTCGGATTGGGAAGCTTATGACCTCTACAACTCAACATGGGTGCCCGAGATCACGAAAGTTCCCGTGCACTGGATCGACCACATTTTAGAGACATCCATAACTGCGCGAGATCAAGTGCTCCAACCACGCAAGTCAAGTTCTGATGACAAGACTAAGGAAAGGCTTCGCAAAGAAACTGCGGTATATGTTTTTGTCCCCGACAAGAACGACAACAACAAGCCGTGGCCGAGAAAGCGCTATCTCGACCTCGAGACCGCCCTCAGAGATCTGTGCGCCCGGTTCAAGCCGCACTACTCCAGCGTTGCAGCGTTCACTCCCGAGACTCGCAAAATCCAACTCTTCCCGCCAACGTTCGGTATGCCAGAGAACAGATGTCTTATCCCGGGGACCATCTTCTTTGATATACAGGACGCGGTGGACAACTGGTACGCCAAGTCGCCAATGGAAGCACCGTGCGGAGAAGAGAACGGAACAGAGGCGGCAACGGCTACTACGGAGGACCTCAGCTCGCTCAACCAGCCGGAGATAGACCTGATGAACGGATATGGAGAAATCCTCTCATATGACTCGGACAGCATGGACGTGGCATTATCCATTAGCGATTGTGACCTACCGGAACCCAAGATGCCGGGTTTCGCCGCGTCCAAGCTAGGAAGCTCGGAAGAGTCGTTGATGACGGACGATTACGATATGGATATAGCATCGAGGTTGGGATTTATCCCCTAAGCGGACATTCGCCGAGTTCGACCAGGCGCACTTTGTGCGATGGGATATTGTTTACACGTCTTAGCCCCCCTTAATTCCCCTTTTTTTTTTGGAGGAGTCTTAATGTATGGAATAGGTTAAATCAGACACTCGCTTATTACTACTGCTAATGAAAAATGACATGAGTTGTTTTATGCAGATTAAAATAGGTCGGGATATTACAGAATGGAAAAAAAATTGTCTGGCCAAATTTCTATAACTATTGGATGTGAAGTAAATGATTATTTGCTGTAAACATTGCTGTGTCCCGGTATATCCCATTAATTGTAGGTATCCACTTATCGTATATTTCTTATATTAGGTACCTTATATTGAAATATGCATTTGGGGAGTAGGTTAGGTAGGTACGTACCTGTCCTATCACTTAATAGAAATTACGTGCATTGAAACGTCATTTGCAGGGACTTACGAATCGTACAACTTAAGTTACAACTCACAACCTTAGAACCCACCAACCCACCAACCCACCAAGCTTCCAAGCTTCAAGCTCCGTACAGCAACATCGCATTACCTTTCTTAGAGTCAGCAAATACCTGAACCTAACCTTACCGCCTCTACCTCATACGCACCCCTCCAACGCCATGGCGGACAGCATCCCGACGCAGATCGCGGAGACGATCCAGACGGCGCACATCCAGCGCGCGCCGTCCCCGCAGCACGACCTGAACCCGTTCTCGTCGCTGTCCCAGAAGCAGCCCGTGAACCTGCACCAGCGCAGCCCGCACGACCTAGTAAACTCGGACCTGGATTCGATCGACGGCGACGAAGACGACGACGACGACGACGAAAGCGATATCCCCATCAGCGTGTTGAAGCCGCACCCTAGGCCCCGCCATCATCTCCCGCCCATGCCGGACCTGCGCTTCGAACAGAGCTACCTGCACAGCATCGCCAAGGCGGATACGTGGTGGAAGGTGGCGTGGATCACGGTGCGGGACCAGGTACTTGTTTATTTGAACCTTATTGATTTCGTTTTCCTATCTTTGTCTCATGTCCATCTTTTCCCCCCTTTCCTTCTTTTTTTTTCTTCTTTTTTTGAGGGGGAAGGGGCTGACCGGGCTTCGAAGATGATGATGCCGTTCGCCCAGGGCGTCCTGTATAACCTCGCGCTGCACGGCTGGCACCACTGGAACAAGAACGCCCGCGTCGGCGGCAGCTCGGTCGGCGCGCGCCTGCGCCGCTGGTGGTACGCCGTGAATAACTGGCCCCTGCCGCCGCAGAAGGTGAAGGCAAGAGCTTGAATATACCTACCTACCTACCTAACCTACCTCTACCATTCTTTATGCAGTCCCTACCTAGGTACCTACCTATACACACATACCTTATACACATATATACCTGACATATACGCATATAAAAACGTACCTACAAATGTGGAAACGATGAGAGGATAATAACATGGCGCGCCAGCAGCAACAGCATCAGCAGTCGAGTTTACTACAACGCCAACTTAGCCTGGGCTCGGGCCTTGGCCTTATTGGATGCCAGGGCCGCGACATGCCCAGTCTATACGCGTGCTACGGACGGACATGTCTCGGAGGTCGGAGTTGGAATGCATAGGGGGGGAAAGGCGAAGGCAGAAGCGATAGCACTATACCATATCATAGCATTGGGGAGGGTGGGGAGTCTTCTTGGTGTTCTGGGGAAAACCGCAAAGCGACATTACATATGTTTAGGCGATTTTTCATTGATTAGGGCGACCTAGACATACATGCAATGCAGGCTTGTTGGTGCTCATTCATGGGGGAATAAATTATAGGCTGACGATGGGGGGGTTCACCCATCTGTAGGTACATACATACCTGCTATGGTACTCATCTATAGAAACTGGAACGGATACCTATCTCGTCCGACCAGATCGATGTAGACTGCGAATATCGCACTCGAGTACCTAGCAGTTTAGCCAGCATAAATACATATGTATGCCTGCCTTCTCTCTCTCTCTCTCTCTCTCTGTCCGTTTGTATATCAACAAGACAACGATACCATTCATCGTGTCCATTCTTTTTTTTCACCATTGCCTTTACTCTATGTTCTGCTCTGTTTGAGATTTCCTGCAAAAAGATACAGACATCCCCTCTTTCTCAAGCATCAACTAAACCTCTTCCAAGTTATACGCAGGTATCTCCTCTAAATAGTGGGAGGTGCATTACGCGCTCTTATGCTCCATGCAAGTCCGAATTAACAAAGTATTCGTCAAGATGTTTACTTCCCGGCACCGACGTCGAAATGCTTGGGCAGAGCCTGCTGGGCCTTATCCGGGCTTTCCCTAAAAGCCAACGAGGTCGACTGAAGCGAGCTGAGTGCAGGTGTCGAAGGAGGGAGTTGGGGCTGCTGCTCCTTATTCACGGTAGACAACTCCGGTTCGGGGGTAGCTTGCTTTTTTGTGGTTGCTACTGATATAACCTCCTCGCTCTTCTCATCTGGCGTGGAATCTTTATGAGATGTGCCGTTCTCTGTTGCCGACGTTGCCGGAGCCTTGGGGCTTTCTTTCTTTCCGTTGTAACGGTACTCGTCCAAGTTGAGTCCCGATCCGGTAGAGTCGGATGTTTTCTTTGATGGAAGCTTTAGTTTAACCATCATGCTGTCCTTGTTAGAATTGTCTAAGTCGTCGTCGACCATCTCTTCGTCCTCGTTGAATTCATCCTCATCCTCATCATCTTCATCATCATCTTCGCTGTCTTCATCCGGGACATGATCTTCCTCATCGTCGCCTAGTTCTGGTTCGCTATCCTCTTCGTCATCATAGTCCATCTCCTCATCCGAGTTATACTCCTTGGACTTCTTAGATGACGATGCCCAGCCGTTTGTGCCGTGATTTACAGCGGCCGATCTTCTGGGTCGACCGGTAGGGCCAACTGACGACTCCTTTGACGCAGTAGCTTCATTGTGACCCTGGCTTGTGGGGCTAGTTGTGACGATATTGTTTGAAGCGTCTACAGTCATTCGCGACGGGGCCTTGATTTGACGACCACTGGCAGTGGTTACGGGACCAGCCGGCTCAGCTGGTGTAGGGTTGCGGGTATTACGCGCGGATCGTCGGAGAGAGGAATCGGTTAAGAAGTCCTCCTCGTCGGAATAGGTATACTTTATTCGTTTGCCCCTGGTTCGGCCTTCGTACATGGAGTATCCAGGCTCCGGTCGCTTGAATTGTTCTTTGCGCATGAGACGGTATTCCCGTCGCTTGCGCTTCTCCTCGGTCGCCTCGAAGCGAGGGACAGCTGCCAACATCATATGCGCCAATTTCTTAGCTTTAGGACCGCCATCAGATTTCTGCAGCTTTTCTGCTAGAGCCTTAAGCTCTTCGATGCTACCTGCTACGCTCCACCATGTTCTGTTAAAGCCTTGTGGGTTGCTCTCGCGATAGACTCGGAAATGGGTATCGTCTAGACCTTCGATTAGGTAGTAACGGCGCTTATCGCTGTCGGATCCCCATGGCTGCACGGAAAGGGGTTGGTTGAGATCGTCTTCGTGTCGGTTTCCCTTGTAGGATTTGTTGATGATACCTTTGATCACCTCCGAAGATGATAGGGACCAAACCACGAGAGTTCGTAACAATTTTAGCTGGATGAAGTTATTTTTGTTAGTACCTAATTATTGCACCACATACCAAATATGGGAAATACGGGAAATTGACATACTCTTTCAGTAGGATCCATAGAAGCAAAGGTCCTATTGCCACTCAGAGGATTCTCATCTTTCCAATCTCGCGCCCACTGGCTCTTGTGCGTATTAATAGCATCTTCTAGCGCTCGGTTATAATGTCCAGGCCTATTAAGAATGTTTGTTAGAATACAGATCTAGATACCTAATGTAAATGTTTTTTTTTTCTGTTTTTGTTTTTGTTTTGTTTTTGTAGGGGGGTCAATGTTGGGAATTGCGTCATACTTGACATCTTGCTTGCGGTTCAACAAAAGGCTGAGAACAGCACATAGAAATTGTTCAACACGTTCGCCAGGAACCGTTTCAGTTACGTCACGCTCAAGTTCTTGAGGACCGAAGTTTGCTAGGGATTTAGGAAGGGCATCGTTAAATCGGGCACGAAACATGACAAGAAACTAGAGGTGGTTAATAGTTAGTTTAGACAGGCTAGGTAAATGGGAGAAAAAAAAAGAAAAAGAAAAAAAGACGCGACATTTCGCGTTTTTTAGCGCGACAAAAGAGTTCATCACATACTGCAATATCTGGATTATCAGCCAGAACGTATTCGTGAGATGGTGAAGGTGATCGCTTTCGTGGTGGAGGTGTTGCTTCTTTCTTGGGCTCTGCAGGTTTCGTACCAGGAGGAAGCTTATGAAAGAACTTCAATATGCCCTTTTCCCGCTTCACCTCAATCTCGCCGTCATCTTCAGATGGGGCAGAAGATAAAGATGAGACAGAAGAGAGTTCACTAGAATCGTCGTCTGCCATGTTGCGTGGTGTTGCGCGGTTGTTGATTCGCCGTTTTAAAGACGTGATTGTTGTAGATGCATAGATGATTTAAAATACCTTGAATCTGAGGAAAGGTGGGATATTAGGTACCTAGCTGGATGTGTAGGTAGGAGGTACTTGACTTATTAAAGTGTGGAGGTTTGAGAAAAGTGAAGGTCAAGGAGCCCACGAAATTTGGGAAACGCTAAAATTCCACTCTTATTATTTTATTATTAGGCTTGAGCCGCAAATCAACCAGGGGAAGGAAAGACCAGATCTGATAGGTTAGACATTTTTTTTGTCGTTAAGCTACTTACTTACATACATCATAACGGTTGTAAGGGTCATAAAGTCATAAGGCCATAAGGCATAAGGCATACAGGGCCAGCTAACATAACAATCCATCATCAATGTAATAAGACCCTAGGTACACATCTATGAGGTATTGGCCATATGCTCGTAGGGTTAAGTAGGTCTAGGTCTAGGTATTATCGTATGTATACCTGACCAGCCTTCCAACCCCCTCTTCTTAACCCCTACTCTAGGTTAGGTATTCTGGCAAAGCTGGTAGGGTCATCTAATCCTCCGAGTCTCTCGTGATCACGGCCAAACAAGTAACCGCCGCCTCTGTAGCCAAGCTCAACCCTTTGTCACTGGTCCAACGCCAACACTTCCATCTCTTGTCACCATCTTCATCCACCACATCATTGTCAACCTCACAAGAGCCCAATATCCTTAATATTACCACCTGTAAGCCATCAACTATCGGTACCATACAGTAGTAACCCAACAACCAAACATTTGAATCCGCGGTAATATCATCGTGAGGGCGATAACTTGGTTGAATCTGCTGAGCCACTGTATACCAATTCCACATGACGTGTTGATATTTTTGTCGGTCGGCACATACAAGTGTTTAGTCTTGACCGGGAATGACCAATTGAGTTGAGATAGGCCGAATGCAACATGCTCCAAAAAAGAGACAAAAACGAAAACAAACAACAGGTGTCATGATCACCACTTTACCGTACAGTAAGTCACGTCCGGAAAATATAACCTGAAGTTATATTTAACCCAACCCCGTCTTACCTCAATTTAATCGTGCATCATATCGATAATCCCCATGCTTGTGGTTCTGTGCTCCGTGTCTTGCCGTTGTATTGTAGTGAGATTGGCCCAGCCGCTTAGCTCCACCTCGGTTTAGAGCAACGGAGGCCGCAACCGGCAGAAATCCCCACCGAGACCTCAGAATTGAGGCTATCGTGAACGAGAAAAAACTGCCAAACTCTCTCCCATCGAGTGTGGTAGGATAATTTTCTTAGCTGCACGGATAGCCAAGGGGAGATAAAAACAACTGAAAAGGATGTGACGTAATCCACGTTGCAGTGGCCATCTCAGTATATCCGCCCCACGCCAATTCATAGGAATGGCTGTTTTCCAGAATAGGATCTCTCTTCATCGATCGCTTGTCACTGGCTTGTTTCTTGCTCGTAATACTCGTACAAGGCTCCCCTTGTAGTTCCAGACCCGTAACCTGCTTAAGATTGAAAACCAATGCTGGGTAATTTCGCCTTTAATCGAAGTTTTCTAGACTCTCCTTCTGTACCTGCACAGTTAATAGACGAATTGCCAAATATGATGTGGTTGGTACCCGAATTGAGTAAGCAGTTGAGACTCCGATAACAAGAGACCTCCAAAGATGAAACCTCATAGGCAATTGACATATGGTGTATAAGTCAATTAGTAGTCGCACCAAAAAAAAGCAGACAATTCATCGACATGTGGACGAATCACAATCGGGATGCAGGTTCCTACGCGAGGTGATGGTGGAGGTGTGGACGATAGCCAGGAGCGGTCGCTCAACTGTCTTTGCTACGGCCCCCTCGCATCCCATGGCGATCATCACATCCACGTTCTAGTCTGGCAACCTTTTAGCGCATCCAACTCCAAACTCCAAACTCCAAATGCAATCAAGTCAGTGCTTGATAGACTGGCATCTTATAATCATCCCGTCAAAGCTCAGCTTCCGAGGCTGTCATCACAATTGCTTTCTTTGTATGAGGAAGGTCAAGTGATACGACATTGCCTCGATCCTGTGGATTCTGTCATCTCTTATACCTAATGCATAACCACTGTTTCAATAGTTATAATGAGGAAAAGACGTTGATAGTTAACCCCAGAAACTGCCGAATAAGGTTGATTAACGTGTTGTTTTCGAGATGAGTGAACATGGTTGCGACTCGCCGGTCAAAAACGTCAGTGCGGGCTTTGAAAGAGTCACGGGCAAAATGGAAAGTCAGCCTAGCCGTCCAAAGGCGGTCAAATTTCAATTCATTACCGCCACTTTATGTAAGTCTGTGCTTTTATGGACCTTAACTGGTGAATGCGCCATAATGTGGCTTGAATAGATTCAATACAAGGTTAGGTATAGGTTAGTTATGTACCTTTCATCGAAAGGTTGGAAGTTTAGGTACAAACCTGAGGCACCCCGCCTTCCTAGGTCGTTTTGTTTCTTTAGCGTTGGTTTTTTAGCATCCGTTTTTGCTTACATAGTAGAAGAAGGTACGGTAAGGTACCTCACAAACCCCGAGGGCCCGCCTTAGGTACGCTTCCTTGTTTCCTTCGACCACAAAATTTCATCCATCCTTTTTCTCTACTGCATCCTTGATACGCTTTGATACGATCAATCTTTCACCACCTCCCCCCCCCAAGCATCACTCCACATAAGAACGACCGTATCTTAGATCACTCATTACCCTCAAGCCAAAATGAGTGACGCCCAGGCGACCGAGGCTGAGAAAAATGTAAGTGCGCTCGATCATTGCCGTAGACTATTCTACTCCTTTAGTCTCTTCAGCGTTCGCCCTTCTCCACCGCCCCTGTCAGACTTGCGTCCAAGTGTCCTCTCAACGTAGTTCAACATTGTATCTAACAACAATGCCGCCCACAGATCGAGATATGGAAAGTCAAGAAACTCATCAAGCGCCTTGAGGCCGCGCGAGGAAATGGCACCAGCATGATCTCTCTAATCATCCGTACGCAAATTACCCCTCCCCCGCTTCAACATTTCAACATGGATGAGAAACAATACTAAACACCAGGAATAGCTCCCAAGGATCAGATTTCCCGCGCTGCAAAGATGTTGGCCGAAGAATACGTAAGTAGGATTCTGCGTCTGTCACCATAATCTAAAATGGAAGAGTAAGCTGACTTGTTGACACCAGGGTACCGCCTCGAACATCAAGTCTCGTGTCAACCGACAGTCTGTGCTTTCCGCCATCACCTCCACCCAACAGCGACTCAAGCTATATAACAAGGTCCCTCCCAATGGTCTTGTCGTATACTGTGGTGAAATCTTGACTTCGGAAGGCAAGGAGCGAAAGGTCAACATCGACTTTGAACCCTTCAAGCCCATCAACACCTCGTTGTACCTCTGCGACAATAAATTCCACACTGAAGCTTTGGCTGAGCTGTTGGAATCCGACCAGAAGTTTGGTTTTATCGTCATGGATGGTAATGGTGCTCTGTTTGGTACGCTCAGCGGAAATACTCGTGATGTCATTCATAAGTTCTCCGTTGATCTTCCCAAGAAGCACGGCCGTGGTGGACAGTCTGCTCTTCGTTTCGCCCGTCTTAGAGAAGAGAAGCGACACAACTACGTCCGTAAAGTAGCTGAGTTGGCTGTTCAGAATTTTATCACGAACGACAAAGTCAACGTTGCAGGTATTATCCTTGCTGGTTCGGCCGACTTCAAAAACGACCTTAATGCCTCTGACATGTTCGACAACCGGCTACAGAGCAAGGTTATCAAGGTTGTTGACGTGTCGTATGGTGGCGAGAACGGTTTTAACCAGGCTATCGAGTTGTCTTCCGAGACTCTAGGAAATGTCAAGTTTATCCAAGAGAAGAAGCTCATCGGCAAGTACTTTGAGGAGATCAGTCAAGACACCGGCAAGGTCTGCTATGGCATTGAGGACACGCTCAAGGCGTTGGAGCTCGGCGCGGTGGAGACATTGATCGTCTTCGAAAACCTCGAGATCACACGATGGGTCCTAAAGGATAGCAACGGTGCTGAAGTCATTCTCCACACTACTAAGCAGCAAGAGACTGGTGATAGATCCAAGTTCATGGACAAGGAAACTGGACAAGAGATGGAAGTCGTTGCGCAGGACTCTTTCCTCGAGTGGATTGCAGAGCACTACAAAGATTTCGGAACTAACCTGGAGTTCGTATCGGATAGGTCGACTGAAGGTAACCAATTCGTGAAGGGATTCGGTGGTGTCGGAGGTATTCTCCGCTATAAGGTGAACTTCGAGCAGTTAGCCGAAGTGGATGACGATGATGAGTACTACGACGATTGACAGGTATGAGCACAAAAGTTCTCCTACATCAAATCATCAAATCATAAAGAGAGAAGAAAAAACAAAGAAAAACCTAATCCTTTCATCAATGCCTCTACAATCTTTTTTTCCCTATGTAATTGCTAACGTGACTCGGTATATAGTTTGAGGAATCCCTCGTTTTTGACGAGGGGCAAGCTCAAGCTGTCCCATCTAAGCAGGTACCCGTCATAGAAGCATCGGAGCGTCCGCTGCCGCAACCACCTGCGTCGGCGCGAAAATCAAAGGCGATTTCGTTCGCGCAGCGACGCCTAGCGAAAACGGGCCCCGCAAATTCGGAGCACACGGCTAGACAGGTCGCGACACCCAGCCCGCTTCGCTCTATGATGACGGCTTGAGTTGACTTATGGCATGAAAAGGAGGTATGAAATCCACCTCTATAACGTAGCATGACATGTGACTAACGCGCGTATTGCAAAGATGCTGTACCCGGGGGTCTATCCAATGTCCAGAGTTGTTGGACCTGCCTACATCATAGGGCTTCATCCTTTAAGCAGCCGAGCGCGAACCTGGTAATTCCGTTTGCCTCGCTGCAAGTTTGACACACACACATACACACACACATATTAGTAAAATTTGATTCTTGTTATTCTGGGAAGTTATTCTCGGATATTGCGTTGCGTTCAGAGTCCACGACGTTTGCGGAAACAGCTCCGTAGAGCAAGTCACTCATTACACTCGTTTAGTTAGATAGTGCAATAGAGCACATCAGTCGCTCGTTACAAGCCGGCCAAGGCTCATATCCATGTGCATACTCTTCAATGTGACCAACTACCTAAAGTTACCTGGTACTTTGACCAAGACATCATCGGTTAGGTATTGTATAGATACCTAACCTACTATATTTTACAAGGCACCTAATGCATATGATGATTTGGACAATATGACGTTTGAGGTATCCATGATCACAGCCTAGGTTAGGTACCTACCTTAGGTACCTAGATAGTTAGGCCGTACGTAGGGCGTCGATGTCAAAAGTGGATATCGTACTAGGGTATTGTTTGTGCCTTGGAAAAAAAAAAAAAGAAAAAAGAAAAACCTATTATCCAATGGTGGAAGAAGTAAGAAATCCAAGGTGGTACAACTACGTGCTATACCTTAGGTACCTCCTATAGGGGCTAAATTCATGCCGTTAAATTAATGCCATGTATTACTTAAATTCTACTGGGTCAATAACGCGCTAAGGGTCCCGTCGCACCGGAGCGCTTTGCTTGCGGTCGGAGTCCGGACTTCGGCTTCGAATGACAAAAATCTAACCCTTGATCTCTTTGACCTAACGAGAAATGGATCATAAAGTGAAGCTATAAAAAATAAAGTAAAAAAACAAAACAAAGGGGACCGGGAGTTCTTTCTCTGGGGTATAAGCTAATTAAGGTACATACCTACCTCTGGCTCTGTCTGGTTCTTTCTGCTCATTATACCTGTTATCCTTGATATCTTCTCTCTTCCACTTCTTCTCATAGCACAGTAATCCTCACGAGACCGAATAGAAAGCCAATTGCAATTGCGATGGAGTCAACCGCCGGAAAGCAGCAGGACAATGGCCCTGGCGCAAAACCCACCGTGTGCTTTCTAGGCCCGGTTTCGTCTTATACACACCAGGTACGACAGGAACCTCAATTCTCGTGAACTTGCTTGGCTTTCTACAGCTCAAGGCGTCAATTTCCATTATTATTATTTTTTTTTTAAAAAAATAAGAGAGAAAGAACGAGAACTAACTGACGCTGCCCGTTGTCTTAAATCTCACAGGCCACACTAAATACATTCCCCGAGGATAAATTTAACTTTCTCCCCGTAGATACTATCAAAGGTAAATATCCATTTCCGTTCCTTCTACCGTTACCTACCTACCCATATAAGTCCCAAGAATGTAGATAACTAAAGTAAAAACCCTCCTCGACCCCGGGCGGTAAGCCGTGGGGGAGAGAAAAGCGAGGAGGGGAAAAATAAAAGACATCTTCGAAACAACACAGTCCGGCCGCGCGACCTGCGGCGTGGTCCCCTTCGAGAACTCGTCCAACGGCTCCGTGGTGTTCACGCTCGACCAGCTCGCCGACCGCGGCGGCGAGTACCCGGACCTGTCCGTGTGCGCGGAGATCTACCTCGACGTGCACCACTGCCTGGTCGGTCGGCGGCGGGGGCGGGGGGGGAACAAGCAAGGAGAGGAAGACGGGGACGGGGACGGGGAGGGAGACGGAAGCGAGCTCGCGCACGTCGAACGCGTGTACAGCCACCCCCAGGCCTTCGGCCAGTGCACCGGGTTCCTGCGCGCGCGCCTGCGCGGCGTCGAGACCGTCGACGTCAGCTCCACGAGCCGCGCCGCGGCCCTCGCCGCGGACGACCCGACGGGGTCCAGCGCGGCGGTGTCCAGCGCCGTCGCCGCCCAGCGGCTCGGGCTGGACGTCCTGGCGCGCAACATCGAGGACCGCGAGGACAACACGACGCGGTTCTTCGTGCTGCGACGTGGGAACGGCAGCAGCAACGATAATAGTAACGATAACAGCACTAGCGGTAGCGGTAGCGGTAGCGGCGAGGTTGTTGCCCTCCACCCTCCGATCCCGGAGCTGGAAGAAGTGATCAACGCGCGCAGACCCGACGGAGCCGGAGACGCAGCCGGTACAGATCGGGATGTGTACTCGCGCACCAAATCGCTCGCGTCCTTCACCGTGCCGCACCGGTCGCCGGGCGCGCTCGCCTCCGTGCTCGAGTGCTTCCGGCGGGCGCGGCTGAACCTGACGAGCATCAACAGCCGGCCGAGCCTGGCGGCGCCGTTCCGGTACGTCTTCTTCGTCGAGTTCGAGGGCCACCGCCTGCGGGACCCCGAGCGCCGCGTCGCCGACGCCCTGGCCTGCGTCGCCGCCGTCGCGCAGAGCTGTCGGTGGTGGGGCAGCTGGGATAGTATGCGGTAATCACCGGGGGAGGACGGGCGGTGAGGGGGTGAGGGGTGTGAGAGGTGGGAGGTGAGATGGAAAAGGGAAAGGGGAAGGGAAAGGGGGATAGGGGGGAATGAATGGAAACGGAAGTGAAAATGGGAGAAGAAATAAAAAAAAGGGGGGGGGGGGACATAGGGGACGGAGGGGGCTAAGCGAGTTTAAAATCTGGGTTCTAAAGAGGTTCATGGAACTTGTATCATATCGAGTCGAGAAAAAAGTACAACCGGCGTTTTACGCGAGTAGGTACCTACCTATACCTAACCTAATATGCTATTATACATACCTACCTTCCTATGTCTTGTATGCTCTAGAAACTAGAGTAAAGCAGGGACAGGAGTGGCATATAGAGGAAGGAAAAAAAAAAGAAGGCAAATATGCTGATATAGGCGAGAGTGAGACGTGATACTGTATAGAAAGTGCAAAGGTAGGTGGTACCTAAAGTAGAGAGGGGCGGATTTGGCAAGTTGTAAAAAGGAGTGTGCAAGGAGTTGTGGAATCTCTAGAGGAGCGGCAGTACAATGTTATACATAACGACTTGGTTTGTTCCACTGCTCAAGCACCGCAGATCTTAAGATAGCAAACTATCCTCAACTCATTCTTAGTCCTACCTATACTTCGCAGCGACCTATAAGGCCAATCGGGGGAAGGGGGGTGGCGGGATTAGAATCGTAAAACCATCGCGAACGAATAACCTTAAAAACGACTATTATCACCAAAACAACAAGGCACGCAGCAGAAGCATCGTCTGGTATCATCTCTCGTCTATTTTACCTCCAGGACCACAAACAAGGCTGAGTTCGACTAGATCGACAGTCTAGTCCACATGGGTGAATAGGTATGTTAGGTACCTGTTAACTATGTTGATGATTGGGGCGTAATCGAGACATTTGACTTCGTTCATTACTCCAACCCTCCGGCCCAGCCCGGCCTGCCCACCTATATTTTACACTACAGGGATGCTGCAAAAAAAAAGGGGATATATATATTTCTTTTAAAAAATGCGTCGTTCATGTCCAAATGCTTACTACACCGCCAGCGCTGATAAAATTTAGGCGTGGAAGTAGAAGTTCTCATCGGGTATGCGGCCACGCATGAACTGCAGCTCCGTTCCTCGGACGTAGATATCCTCGAATAGGATTTGTGGCGTGGTGTCGGGGACGGCCATGGCCTCGGCGATGGCTACCTCGTCGTTGACGTGCTTGCGGGCCTCCTTGTCGATCGTCTTGAGCTCGTCCTCAGTGCAGACTTCCCAGTCGAGGATCTTCTGCTTGAGGCCGGCGATGGGGTCGTTGGTCGATCGCATGCGCTGGATCTCCTCACGGGTTCGGTAGGTGGTGCCGGGGTCGGACATGGAGTGACCACCGTATCGGTAGGTGACGTATTCAAGGACGAGAGGGCCGTTGTCGGCAACGGTCCATTCCTTACCGTACTTGACGGCGGCTTTCACTGCAAGGACGTCCATGCCGTTTACCTTAAGACCAGGGATGTACTGACCCCGCTTGTAGTAGTCGGTAAGGGCAGAAGATCGAGCAGCAGCCGTACCCATACCATACTTGTTGTCTGAAATTTGTTAGCTATGGCGAAGCAAAATGTTTGATTCTTATATCGGAGTACGTACTCTCGCAGCCGAACAAAGCAGGCAACTTCCAGAGCTTAGCCATGTTGAAAGCCTCAAAAACCTGACCCTGGTTGCTAGCACCGTCACCGTACAAGATAACAGCAGCATTCTTGGTGTTGTTGTACTTGTGCGCGAAAGCCAAGCCGGCACCTACAGGGACCTGAGCACCGACGATACCGTTACCGCCGTAGAAGCCCTTAGTGAACATGTGCATGGAACCACCCTTTCCGTAGGCGATACCCTCACGTCGGCCCAGTAATTCACCAATGATGGCTCTAACGGGAGCTCCACGTAACAGAGCGTAACCGTGGCATCGGTAGGCAGTGATAATATCGTCCTCCTTAGTCAACGCGTGTTCGATACCAACGGCGACAGCCTCTTGACCTGTGGAAAGGTGGCAGAAACCTCGGATCTTCTTCTCCTTGTACAATCGATCGGCGGCCATCTCCATTTGCCTGGCAGGATTGTATTAGTAAAGATGGCTTGGCCCCAAAGCCCAATAGGGTATGATGGTTTGCCAATTGCGACGCTTACCGAGTAACCACCATTTCGCGGTACATCTGCTTGAGTTCCTTCTTGGTGACATCAAGAGTGTAAGGGGGAGGGTCCAACTCATATGTCTCGAAGCTCTCGTCACTTAGAGTGACTTGGAAGGGCTTGTCGTCATCATCCGGAACGGCGCTCTTGTCAGCATGGGAGGTAGCAGCGTTTGTAGTAACTGAGCGAAAAGGCGTGGTAGCGACGGGTCTGGCAGCTCGGACTCGCGCTAAAGGCGCTGCGGCTCTCGGAACTCGCAGAGCGCGCGAGAACATTGTGACCGTCGTCGTGATGAAGAAAGAGGGAAAAAAAAAAAAAAACCTTTGGAAGTGAAGAAGACTGAGGTAAAAAGCCGGAGGGTAGGTAAAAGGTTATCGTGGGCTTTAGTTAGGGTCTGGGAGTTCTTGTCTTGTCTTGTTGAAATGTGGGAATTGGATTTTTTTGAATGGAGAGCTCCGGACGGAAAGTCACTCAAAAATTCAACGTTGGGATTTTCCGCCCGACTTTTTCCTTGGGGCAAGTCCCAGAGGGTTGAAGCTGACTTAGACTACTGTGCCTCAGGCGGCGCTAATCCGCGATTAGTACTAATTCCTCCGTAGCGGAGCTCAAGATAAGCTTGTTGAGAGCTAGTCTAAACTAAACATGGAAAGACCCTGGAAAGTCTTGGCATCTACTATCTACTATCTACCTCTTATCAAGCTTATCAAGAAGATTAGAAGATTGATAGCTTACCTAAGGTAAGGTACCTTACCTTAGGTACCTCCTTATATATCGTGAGCTTCAAAATAAGATTAAAATATACCGGCTTCAAAATATAGTTAATTGATCAATAAAACTAAATGGGTAACAATTCTAACCGTCCTCCGAGTTGTGCTAATCGTCAGTTTCCATAACGTCGTCCAAAATCGAGCCCAAAATGAATCTAGGGTATTCCACAAGAGATTGCATCAGATGTTCCATAAGATATTTCGTAAACAATTCCAAGACCATGTCCAATACGTTTGATAGGTTTAGGTAGGCTAGGTACCCATCCCAAAGTTAAGTACCTACCTAGGTAGGTACCTGAGAAGCCAAACAAAACTACCGCTTCCTCATCTACCCAATTCCGTTTCCATACCAGCTCCGTCGTCGTTTTCCCTTACAGGCAGGCAGGCAGGCAGGCATATATCTCCCCTTTGTTCATTTCTATATGGCGTGTCGCATACACCCCTTCGTCATATTTCGTACAAGCCGTGATGGCCATCCCTTAAAGTAGCAATACGCCCATGGGCAAATAATACCACTCTTCTTTCTCGTAAATTGCAAAACCTTCTCGTAGACCGTCTTATCTGAACGCTTGGAGAGAGCTATGTTAGAAAGTTCATGTCTTTAGAAATCGTTACGACTTCCTAGTCCGCTTCACCCGTCGTTGTGCCGAACTCCCACCCTCGTCCTCTTCCTCCTCGTCCTCTTCACTGTCGTCACGTGCATGGTTCCTCTCGTTTCCTTTTTTGATAGAAATGAGACATCCTTGCTCCTTCAATTTCTTCGTCAGCGCCGTGCTTGCCCGCATTCCCGGAAAGTCCTTGGCATTATAGACTGTGAATACATCGCTCATAGCCGTGGCACATACCGGCGTTTTTGAACCCGGTACCGAGTTTGGATCCAGAACCACCAGACTAAACCTCAATCGAAACGTGCCAGGCGTCCGGCAAGATAAGTCAGGAAAGCAGAAGAAGCATCCTTCTTCGTTATTCTCGTCAAGACCCACAAAGGGTGATGACACTATCGTTCCCATCAGTCTTCGCTGCTGCCGATAGTCGTCAGGCATCCCTGAACAATCCTGATCTCCTGTCTCGTTCCATATCGTGCAATGCATAACCGAGAATCGGAACTTGAGTTGGGCACTTTTTTCCTGTGGTGATGCCTTAGCATCTTCGATAAAAACCTGGACTATTGGAGGCGGATCAATAACTCTGCGATCTCTCTCGCCGAAACCACAAGACCTAGCTGCGACCGGCTGCTGCCGGACCTTTAGCCTATATGTGGAAGGGGCTGCGGCAGGCGCTCTTCTACGCTCCGGTGCCTTGGAGGAGCCAGACTCTCCAGTCCTAGGGTCATCGCTTAGTAGTTCTGATATTCTCATCCGCTCAGGGGCACGGAATCCAGGTTGAGGTTGCCACGTCTGTCGCGAAGTATCCACCGGTCGTGGAGATTGCCGAAGACGAGCATCTTGTTGTGGGTATTCCGAAGCAGGCCTGGCTGTGTGAATTTCTCCATAACGACACTGACGAGGCGATTCCCCTGCCGGCCTTGGCTGCGAAAGTAGTCTATGAGACTGCAAGGGGCTTGGCTCGCTGACTGGTTGCCGTAGTTGGACGCGTTCCGGCGTCTCTCGGGACCGGCTACTCATACTCGGTGAATGGGCGGGGTGGGGACGGACGGCTGCTTCCACTGGCCGTCTAGCGTACGGATTTGGTGTCATTGTGTGTAACTCAGGGCCTGACATTGGTGGCTGTGGGCTATGATGAAGAGGCGAAGAGGCTGCGGAGGGCTCCCCATACTGGACATGTCCATAGGCTGCTGGTTGCGGTCTATTCAAAAGCTCTTGATTCACATGTGGTCCGGTCACTAGGCTAGGTAATGGAGGTAAACGTAACTCGTGGCCGCGTTGTTCTTGGGGGTAGTAAGAGCCATGTCGAGGAGCATAAGGGTCCTGGGCCCACGAGTCGGGTGGCCTGGCCATAGTGTCCACCATGGTATTACAGCAGAAGTCGCCGTACGATGGAACCTCGCCGGCAGCGAATGATATAAAGCGGAAACTGGTGAATGTAGATAGCTCACAGATAGAGGTCGCGGTGGGACTATATAGAATTGATCTAGAAGGGTAAATCACACAAGTGAAAGCTGACAGTTGATCATATGGTGTCGGTAATACTGATTTCTGTTAGAAGCTGGTTCCAAGGCCCCAATGCCAATCGTGATGGCACGCTGGAACAAATGCGAGGAGGGGCTAAGACAACAACCGTTGAGATATGTGGTAGTGACTGAAGCCGTAAAAGCTAGATGTAGTGCGCTCCGATTCCACCCGCGGGCCCAAAGTTGACTGTGTATACTGGAAAATTCTGTGGTAGGAAGCGGTTATTTACATGTCTGTGGTCGGCGAACAGCGCACTGAGAGGTCGATATGGCAGAGCTGGCCGGGGATATCCCTGCAAGGAAAAACTGCTAGAGATGCGGTGCAACTACCTATAGTAGTATGCTTTTCTCAATTTATATGCTGAAGATGATTATCGAAGTCGTTCTGATAACTTGGCGAAGACGGGGATTAAAAACGTGCCCGACGTACAGGACAAGGTCAAAGACGTAAGCGGCTGGTTATGGGCTACTCTTTGCCATGAATATGCGCTTGAGTAAATTTCTAGACTGACGACGTGGAGGGATAATAACCCGTATAGATTCTGCCAAACATGGACGGACTCTTAATCGTATATTAGGGCCGGCGAAGACGTCTCGCCGAGACACCCCTTAAAAGAAAGCGACAGCAAAAGTACCTAGTCGAAACTGTTTGAACGGGTACTCTACTCCAAGGCTCGGTACGCACACGAGAGCATCCAAGCTTAATCTAGGCCAGTCGGCACAATAATCGTAACAACACAGATACACTACTTAGCAAGACTCGGCTGGAGAGATGATAAATGAGAAAATGGTCGGCATACGGTTGAACACAGAAGAGAGAGGGAAGGACGTTGCACAGAAACAAGGGCCAGCGAGGACTAGTCCTAAAGAGTAAGTTGGCAACGGCAGAGTTGCAGGAGTGGAACTGGAAGCGAGTTCCGGTTGAGGCGTGGAAACCGAGTATTTGGGCCCTCTGGTCCCCCTCTCAGCCCGCTGTCCTGGCCCCTGGGGCGTGGGAGAGACATAACACACCCACCAAGAACAGATATTGCTGATGTGCTGCGATCTAGCGAGCTGGGGGCAATCTTATCCTTGTCCCCTCTACTGTGTATGTAGAAGGGGACCCTTGTAAGTTCCGGGGAGCAAAGCGGGACGAACCAACTCCAAACAATCCCGATTCAGCCACGGCATTCTCCCCCATTGTTGTCACTAACATCAATAATATCCGTGCCGTCTCTGTTCTGCTCCACCATAAATGGGCTTTTTTTTCTTTCTCCCTCATGGTAGCGTGGGTGTTGCCGCCCGTGTCCTGACAGCACCGGCATCCACGCGCGACATTAATTACTCTTCCGCCATTCGTTGCGATACAAGTATAATTTTAGTGCGGCTAGTATAGCAGTGTATCTGCCGGTCTGGATAGGTATGCTGCAGATTTATGCCATAAGAGATAGACGGTTACGAAATATGAAAGAGGGGGTTAGAGACAAAACTTGTTGGCTAATACCTTTTGCTTTTTTATTTTGATGCCCGTCAGCCAGCTTCTTTCGAACCTAACGAATTCTCATCACCTGATTCGGTGGTTTCGGTAGGAAGACCAGTGATAGTACGTCAAATACAACTTGGCGTAAGGATCCCAGCCTACCTAGTATAAAAAAATTGCGCAGCGTTAAGATTTCAAAGTTGCAAATAATCGAGGACCGCGCGGGGACTATTTGTCGGATCCTTAGAGCTGCAAAATTGCTGGCTGGTCCTAACGTACGAGGCTTGTTGCCACCCATAACCGAGAATTAGATGCCATGGGGGGAGACCTAACCCCACAAACAGCCATTTTCTTCATGAGATAGCTAATGGTGTTGTGGCTGTCCTTTTTTTTTTTTTCTCTTCTGCTTTTCGCCAACAGAGATTTCCGCGGACATGGATGATTTCTTTCAGACATCAGTGCAATCGTGTAGCCAGGGGAATAGATGAACCACACATGTGGACACGGACGCAACCCGTGGGACTTATTCGGGCCAATTCGCCATTCGAGCAATGTGAGCCCGGAACTTGGCCACAAAACCGTTAATGTTCCATTCGCATTCACTCTTTGGTACTGAGGGCGTCAGCAGTTGCATCACCAACCGTTGTAACATTTCGGTGGAGTCGACCTTTTTCGCACAGCATGAGGCGTTTATTAAGCTACCTAGGTAGACAGGCAACCGGGCGAGCGTTGCGCGGGCCGCCTGTCCTCTTGCTGATCGAGGAATAGAATGGTCCAACCGAGCCGTGTTATGTATTGTATCTCAACCGGCCTGGAAAGGGTCGTGGGCACTGTAACGCTGCTACCAAGTGTGTAAGCACGACACAATCCCAGATTCTGGAATGGCTACCGCCACGGGTGAGGACATGCTGCAGCTGCCGGCCCTGTCCGGTCTTGTCTCGTCTACATACATGCACCGCATTGGAGGAGAATTAACCGCCTTGTTGGCCCACCTAATAATAGTTGCTTGCCAGCTACTATATTGTGCATACCCTGCATACCCTGTATGCCCTGTATGCTCTGTATGCTCTGAGGTATGCTCTGTACGCGCACAGCAGCAAATGTGCCTCTTGATCTAAGCATGCAATACGATGTTATACTAGGCTGGGTGCTTACGCCGTGCCGTCCTAGGGTATGTAAGGGCAGCCCTTTTTCTCGCTTGGTTCCGGTTTTAGAGCGATGTTGGGAACCGCACTGGACCGCGTCGCCGCAAAATCTCTATATCCTTATCGGCATTGGTCCGTGGAGATGATGCGTTTTCTTCAGGAACGTGTTCGAGACATTCGAGTGCAAGGGAGGGAGGGGGGGAGAGGGGGGCAAGCCCTGTTTTAGTGCCAAGGAAGATGAGATGGAGGGTACTAGCGGTTCGGTTTGGGTAGGATAGATTGATGGTAGTATTGAGGTGTTGTAGTATCGTAGCATTTGTGGTATGTATGAGAAAATGGTAGTTGGAGTGGGATGTGAGAATTCTATGTTAGGTTGAGCTTTAGGTAGGTAGGTAGGTAGGTACCTAAGGTACCTTACCTGAGGCTACCTCTTACAATACATTAATTTGGAAGTTGCCCAGGTGGTTCCAAAGGTTATGTGCACATGTGGTTAGGTCCAAGTGCGTACAAATACAGTGGACGTTGGGTACCGTGTAGAAGAACAGTTAGGTTAGGTTTAGGTAGGTAAATGGATGTATAAGAAATGCAGCCTGGTGGATAACCTAACATGTTGCCTTGAAATCCGGGTTTTCGCTCTCATTACCTTAGGAGGTAGGTACGAGGTAGTCTTTGCATTTCCAGCACCCCAGACAGTGCAAGAGCAGGGGGTTACTAAGCCGAGCACCTTTCGTGTAATGTACCTCCCTGCTAATAGTATGCAGCTGGGCAGTTCATCCACCGAAAAGGGGAAGGAATAAGAAAACCTCTCCCCCCCCCCCCCCCCCGGCTAAAGGTACATCAGGTAATACATTATGTAGTAGCTACCTCTTAACGATACATTCCACAATTACCTACCTACCTCCTACCTACCTCCTAGTCATACCTCATCCAATCTTGAGGTCCCAATCTTCCTACCTAAGGTAACTGACCTAACAAGTACAATACAATATAATACAATACAATCCTGCTTGATAGCTTACATTATAAAGCCGATATCCAGATAGCTTCACGCTATGGTATCACGTTCCTTTTATCTTCCATGTAGGAGATAGCTACTATGTAATGTGGAAAGGATTTGGAAGACTCGTTCGTCACTTAAGATATCATGCAGGGCCTTTACATTATTTACCAGGGACCGAAGAAACTAACATCCTGAACCCTGGAATTAACCTTGCACGTCTCATCCTTTCCGTCTTTTTTTTACATAGTAGATGATGCATTTGGCCCAATCGAGCGCCCCTCGAACAATAAGAAAAGTCTAACGACTCTAACAGGTAGACAGGGCTCTTATAAAACCCATATATGTTGGCATCCGCCTTCCTAACCATAACAGCGAAGCGGCAGTTCTCTCAATGGATAAACAGTAGATGAGGATGGCGATAATTGGTAGGTGGCAGGAATATACACGTTGACGATCGGCGTTTAGAGATAGGGCTCTCTTCTATTTTACCCAACTTAATGACAGGTACCTGACCTAACCTAGGTAGGAGGTACAGGCAGGTTAGGTAGGTACCTTATACAATACCTCCGCCTACCTTAGGTACCTACCTGGTCCAGAATGGCATAGACCCAGCTATGTTCCGATGCAAGTCGCCGCTGCGTACCCATATTCGGCCGATTGCAGTTGAATCAGGTTCGCCAAGACACGGCGCGGCGCTCCAACCTACATATAGGAGGTAGGTTAGGTACCTAAGGTAGGTATATAACATATAACATGCGAAAGGCGGACAAGGAATCATTCCCGCCAGCTTCTGACCCACGCATAACGTTGCCTTTTCCTACATAGTATAAAGAGTCTGAGCAATCCTCTCAGCTGAAGGTTCATTGTCCAAGTTTTGGTCCGAACATTGCCAATATTCGGTTCTTACTATCGTAAAGAGGAATCCAACTCCCCGGAACCCACATTCACTAAGCTCTCGGTCATCTTATGCAGATGCTAATCTTACTGTATCTCCTCCGCTGCTGCGACGTCTTACTCTTCAAACTTAACAACTCTGCAGTACATGAAGTTATCGTAGTTTCATCGGCCTCGCTCTTCAAAATGGCTCGCCTGTTTCAGGGGGTATTATTCCATTGTTGTTCCATCATTATTCTTGATGGAATACGACATTCCATGCGTCTTGACTACTATACTTGGCTGAGTCCTTGGATCCAGGCATAAATCTTGCCCCTCTTATAAAGCTTTTTGGGTCTAGTCCATATGCTTTTCTATAGACACGCCTATACCAAGGAAGCCCACTCATCGTCAACCCGGGTACCTATCTCAGGAACGACATCGACACGGATCGTCTAAAGGCCATTTATGGCCATTGAATTCCATTTTTCTCTTCATGGCCTGTTACTTCTACCGTCTTTGACCCACCCAGAACTGGCCAAGACGCCCAAGTACCTGGGCGAGATGCTAATAAGCGAAGAAGAAGAAGAAATATCAACCCACCAATTCCGGCTAAAACAGCTTGATGGATCCCTGCTGCAGATCTGACAATTAATTACGATAAAGTTTAGGATTAACAAAGTGGCCTCCCGCACAACCCCTTCGTGTTAATCCAACGAACCATCCCAGGGGCCGAAGGGAATATTCTTTTTTTTTTCTTTTTTTGTAATTGCAAAGTCAACGGAAGCATTCGATACCACCCTCATTGAGGGTTTGAGGTTCGTCCCAACCCTAGGAAAATCTGGGTCCAATGGGCTTTCTTCTCCATCGTAAAAAAAAAAATTACACTCTGGGATTTCATTTACCGTAAAAGGAGAATTTGCTTAGCCGCCTCCTGCACGCTTTAGGGATGACCGCCTTAGGAGGTAACATGCTACTGACTTTTAGATCTATGTCCGTCATTAAGTCGTTGTCCATTACCCAGTCTGAATATATGCACTACTCAAGACGAGGTGGGCAGGATCAGCTGTAGTACAGAACAGCATTGAGGTTCATGGAGGGCCGGGATAAAAATGACGAATCACATCTTAACCGCTATGATATGATATGGGCTCCAAGAGCCGACTTACGTGCTGCTTAGTAGCTCTTATGGCGATCTCTGGAGCACGGTATGGATGGCACCATGTTTTAACTTGTAGCCATGCAAGCCACGACACCGCTATCTTGACAACCTCTATGCCGGCAAATTTCGTCCATCTCGTGCGAGAAAATAGTCCGAATGCATATGGGGAGTTATTCTAATGAATACCCACAAGTTGAATAGCTCTTGCTGATTCTATTCGCTTTATTTCTGCCTTAAACCTATAGATGCGTGTAAGACAAACTCACAAGTCGTATACTATCTAGACGACTCTTTTACAAACAACGGGGGGTTGCAGGGAATTATTTTAAATGGGTGCCTAGATGACTCAATCCGTATGTTTTCTCACTTTAATTAAGCACGAATGCTAGGTAGTCAATGTTTATGAAACCTCTTTTTATCGAGATTTATACCCTAGATACCTACCTACGTGATCTAACTACTCAGGTTAAAAGACATATATTCCCATTAAGGGGAACTTGAAAGCTAGACATCTCCTATAATATAAACAAACGTCCGAATAGTGTAGATAAATACCTTGCGTCAAGTACATTGTTAAGAGGTACATGGGTACCTTGTCTGATAGTCGAATTTCTCAGAACAGACCGGAATATTGAGACTCTGACAGTATAAAAATATCTACCCACATAATTATAAGGTCGGTCTTATTGAATGGTATGTTAGCACAAATCTCACCTACATTTATTTAATTGACACCATCAAATCTCAGTGTGGAGGAAGAAATGCATTCCTCCTCGTGGTACCATGCAAGAAATATATTAATGTACCCCCTATTAGTCTAGCCACCTTGGCTACGACCAGGCTTCGAGTAGCCATTGTCAATGAGACCGGGTAAAGTCCACGAAGAGACACATTTGTCTTGGTAACTGTGGGGGAAGCTATACAAGCCAGTCTACATATACTACTACAATTAGGTAAACCAAGAATAATAATTATAGTCCGCACCGCTCCTCCTAGATACGAATAGATCTTCGTCCTCAAGTATTATATCGCGTTGTTCTTCCCAACAGGAAGATGTATGCGGCCATATGCAGGTGAACAGGCGGTTCCCAAGACCGGGAATTATTCATAGACTTATAGCCTTCAGCACCCTCTTGTGTAAATATCCGATCGTTTCCAGCCACTTTGCAAACTCCACCCTGGTAGACTCACTCTTGCATATCGAGACATTACCGGGCTATCACGCATGCGAGAGGCCAGCGTACTTCCACTGACGCTATTTGCTGATAGATCACCTCCCGAGTGCATGATACCGTAGTATTTCGCATATCTCGCTAAGAGTGCGTGCCGGCCAACGCAGCCACACCTATAATTTATAACCGCCATCAAACATACCTGAAGACTGAAAATTCTCTACCGAGGACCAGGCTCCTGCCCAATTATCCACCTGAAACGTCAAGCTACCTACGTAGTTTAATGCAGGTAAGCAGAAGGTTTGTAGGCCTCGACTGGGCGGACAGGAATTAGGAGGTCGAGAAAACATTTTCGTTGCTTACGCCTCCCGACGTAATTTAACTGTGGTGCGGACGTCGTGTTAGTACCTGGTTTGTCACCTGCGGAAAGCAATGATTCATTCAGCGTTGCTAACATGCATTTGCAAACCTCCACGGGCGTTTCGGTTCCTTCGTGAGTTTAGTTTCCCACATCCCATGGACTTTCTTTAATCACAACCCAGGAGAACCGCAGACGTAGAATCATGAAACCATCATCATCACTCTCACAAAAGAGGTATCTACTCTTTAAGGATGTAATTACAGTTACTACCTAAATTGGCCAAGACATCATGAGATGTCTTGGTTCTCTTCTCCGGATATGGCGTGTGGTGGATAACCCACTCGGGGCGACGGCTCCCAACCGCGCTACCGGGCTGCTTCGCCGCAGCAATACAGTAACCCTCGGAGCCCGTTGTATTTACTACAAATAAGGAGAAAGGCTGCGCCTCCAACGCACCGCTCCGAACGACATAATGTCTGGGATAAACCAGGAGTTTTCCTAGGGCGCGGACTGATCCGGTGATCCGGCTAACCTGCAACTGTGGTTAGAACTCGAACACGGAAAATAAAAGGAATCGAGCCATACATATATTAATACTTTTTACCAGTGCAAAGTCGTCTTTTACCTGTAGGTAGCTTCTGGATTAAGCGACACAAATTCTAAAGTCAAGTACCATAGCAAACGTTGATCACTGCGCTACCAACGAGTTTCAGCCAGCCTTGTAAGCCTGGAGAAAACTCGGGGAAGCAGGTAGTTCTAGCGAGACTACCCTGTACGTTTGGGACAGTCGGGCCTCTAGTAGAATTAGCAGACGTCCAATGGTTCAGAACTCCGACAGTTGCAGTGGTTCTACACGAAGGTATCACAAAGCCTTTTTGGGAGAATGAGCCAATTCCTACATAGCTGGAAAGTTGGCATCCTCCTAACCCGGCTGGCCTCCAATAAACTCCTTACAACATCCAGTATGTTAGGTACCTAAGGCACCTGCCTAACCTCCTATGCACGTTGCGGCAAGAAAATTGTACTGAATTCAGTACTTAACTACTATACAGAACTAACACCATGTTAGATAGTAAACTCAGAAACAGCATAGCCGCTACAGGTTCGCGAGAAAACCTATCGCTTTGACATTCAACAACCTTAACCCCTTGGCGTTCCAAACTCCGGGGCCGTTTCGACACACGGATCTTCGTATCCAAAGCGTATAGGGATGGTCCCAAACTTATCATATATCATAAAAGTATTAGTCACATTCTATTCTGCAGCTTAAGCCCAGCGGGAAGAAGCCGATATTTTCAACCGGCAAAGGAGATAAGCATGTGATCTACTGGTAGCAGCTAACGTGGCTCCTGTAACAAACAGGGACGAAACGCTACGTACACCGTAGAAGGTTGCTGAAATAAGAGACCATAAAACACGGAAGACCATCACTCGCCTAGCTATAGACTTGGTAAAGCGTGTCGAATATTGGGATTATGGTACTGGGATTTAATAATGAGGGTTTTGTGATTACTGAACATATACCAAGATTAAAGAACTAATTTACCAACCCATGTTAAGCCACTACTGCCACTACCTGATATGGAAGATTATGACTGCCTGATATTATGACTACACGATTAACTATAAGAGATACCTGAGTTGCCCATAGAACCTATAACGACTATGTCATGTAACCAAGTACTCAGATCGCACTAGGGAGGTTGAACTGTTACTGAGATTGGGAAGTCTACCTACCTAGGGGGCATTATGATACTAGGTAGGTACCTAGGTAATTAGATATTCTGTGGCGTGAAATAGACCATGTCCATTACTCCTGGTGCATGTTCGAAGTTGAAACCTGCAAGAAACAATAACAACTTCTAGAACGTTTACAATCGAGAGAGGTAGCTAGTTCAAAGAAACTCTCAATCTCCATTTTCAGCTACGATAACATCTCATTTACATTTTAGGAAAGAGGGCAGCAGAGCCGCCGGAGAAATCAGTCCGGAATGATACATTTTTTTTTTACAAGCATCTACATATGATAGATAATTAAGTGGCTTAACACGCAGATTATAAACTCAAGAACTGTCAGATTCCCCATCTTTAATTGCTCTTCGTGGGAAAGGCAGACGTCTTGGGGTCCCTGAAAATTGGGGGCTTATGATTTCATGATGCGCTCAATCATCGCCATCGCCATCGCGCCGATGACGTCGCTGACGTCAGGAATAGGTTTGGATTGAATAATGAAGGTGAATAATAAGGGGGAGAACACCACGAACAGTTTTATTGTATTTGACTTTGGATTCGTTATTCAGATCGGTTATCGAACTTTAAACACTGAAGGAATTGGTGCATTTTGCATCAAAAGCAAAAAGACACCTCCTACTACCTACATATCATATAAACAAATAACCGCAAAAATGCCTACCTACAAAAATTTGGAAGACTCGCCTGAGACTATGAACAGAATCGCCGAACAGTCTGAGCGCGAAGTGAACACTTACGAGGCCAAGACTGGCGCTAACAGGACCGCTCCTAGCGACGAGGCCGGCGTGGACACGAGAGTAGAGAAGAAGTTCCAAGGTGCCAACGTGCGCTACAACCCAGAGTTATGTACCAACGCCAGCTGGAACAAGCGAATCCCGCCCGAGGAAGGCGGAGTGTTAGATGCTCGCGGGCGGTAAGCATCTTTCTTTCTTCCCCCCCCCCCCCCCCCTTCCCTCTCAACCGTCCCGTTTATACATACCTACCTATATATGAGTTATTGCCTAGGTCACTAACCAGTTCCGCAGAGTAAGCCGCGGCGAACACTTCGAGGGCGAGGGCGGGCCAGAGGACAAGCTAGCGATCGAGCAGCGGGAGTTCGGGGGCAACAACGAGTTCAACGTATCGGGGTACCAACGGCGGGAGCGCGGGTGGGCAAGCCCGAAGGACCCGGTCCCGCGCAAAGTGGACGTGCAGCCCGACAAGTGGGACGAGGGTAAGGAGGCCAAGCTCGCTAACATCGCGGACAAGAAGCCCGTCCCGATCAAGGACCACGTCAAGGGCTCCGAGTACTACACGCCCGAGGACGTGCCGGGCAGCATAGCGGCTGAAGGGTACGAACCGCCGGAGAGTGTGGTGCAGAGCTCCCGGGACGCGGAGAAGTATAGGGATGAATGAAATGGAATGAGATATGACTACCAAATAATCAAAATCAAATAGTTTTCGAAACGTTCCGTTAGGGCGTAAGGTTATATAGGCACCTACTGTAAGAAAAACCTGGCTATCTTATATCGGCTTTCTCAATCCTACACAATGATAGCTAACATGAAGAGCAGTGAAGCGTGATGCAGCTTTGTAGGTTTTAAATCCTGAATCCATAGCGGATTAATAGCTGTCAGACGAGTTGATGCTCTTGATCGATGCCATAGACAGAGTAAATGCCAGGGTAGTTTATAATAGTGAAAACAGTGAACAGGGGCAAGCCTATATAACCTATGCCCAATCTAATCAAGGTCGGGTGTCTAAAATACTAGAGTCAGTCTCGCAGGAGCTCTATCTCCTAATCATCCAGACTTAATAATTTCTCTTGGGCACACTCAGTACTATCAAGTCAATCCAGAGAGCCCGTGGTTGACGTAACAGTGTCAAGGTAAGAAGGAATAGGGAAGAGTCTAGTTCCACGCTCACGTCACAAGAGGGAGATTTTAATTTACAGACAGGTAACTTTCTCGTCGGGGCCGTCCCGTTGACTCTGAGGTGATTGATAAGAAGTACCTATCGTAAGCTGGAGTTGTAGAAAATCGGATTTGTTTCTACGCCTTTCGCCTCTACTTCCCATCAAGCGTGTACGGAACCCTCTCGGCTTTCTTCTGAAAAGTTATAGGGAATAAAACTGCGTATGACGACTAAGACAACGCAAGCGTGTGCATATTAATTATATTGTGAAGAGTACCTAACCTAAGATAAATGCACCATAAAGATCGTATTGCTGACGGTATGGTCGGCTGATATTACACTAAACCGCCCTATCGGCGCTCTCCAATGTTGTTTGGTTCCTATTTGGCCGTTGCTATGGAAGCTCATAGGGCAACGATGGGCTAATGTGATGCTGATTGGACAATCTTATGCAAGATCTACCGATCTACCTAACCCTTATTCTTTTTCCTTACGTGAAGGTGACGTCTTTGGTTACATTTCCTCGTGAAATGTCTTTCTATTCTGGGGTTAGCCGTCAGGTTACTGAACAATGTTCGGCCTTTCGCTAGTAACGATACTATACCGCGATGCTGCCGGCGTGGTTATCTCTCAAGTTCTTATTCAACTTTCTTACCATATCGACAATCTGATGTTATATTAGGTTAGGTAAGCTTTAGCGCTTATTTAGACGTGACGACAATGATAATACAGATTTAGAGACATCCATGAATACTAGTAGTTACTAGTAACATTCCAATGTACGTAGCTTTATATGCTAAAGGCGATCTCACTAGTAATGAATGGGACAACGTTCTACCGATATTATTTATATACTGTACTGGACATAATGTGACTAGAACCCAAAGAACATGGGACGTAATTTACGATGTCACACCGCATATACGAGGAAGCCAGGCAGTGCGCCAATTTGAATGAATGGACTACCCAATCTATCGACCACTCTATGTGTCTCTCTCCAGTGTTCTAGTAAATGGTAAGAATACTTCGAGCCTAACTAACCTGAGGAGGCTTGAAAGACCACGTGAGGAGAGGCTGGTACGATTTGGCCAATGAGATGAAGTTACTATCTACAGCCGCCTCAAAGGCGGGACCTCTCCGCTATGATGCTTATTGTCCATATCGGTTATCCGCTTCGGTGACCTCGTGATGGTCACTGTCTCTCCGCCGGTGGATGAAAGAAGCATTGGAATATAAATTGGACGCTCTGCCACTTGTATAATGCCAACTCACCTTTCAAAGCCAGTCACGATTTAAAACACACATACCAGAGGTAACTAATACAGTTAATATCATTAATACCATAATACCCCACCATATAAAACCATGAGGTTCCAACTCTCGTCACTATCTGCTGGCCTCCTCGCCGCCGCAGTATCTGCCCAAGACCCCGTGCAGACCGGCCCGTTCAACCTTCACATAAAGGGGAAAGAAGGCAGCTCTATTGACGGTTAGTCCTCAAACATACCCTCATCAGAAAGGGGAAGCTTACCTAACGTTCTATACAGGATATGCCGGCTCCTGCCATGCCGGCGCCGCCATCGAGGGATTATGCTACAACGAAGGATCGCTTCCCGCAGGAAATTACGTCGAGTACTACTTCAATGCATCTAGCTACACCAAGGTCGACGGCGCGGACGTCGGCAAGCTTATCTGGAAGCTTCCTTACACCGACGGAAGCGGCGGCCAGGCCACGGTCGACCAAGGTCTGGCGCTCCAGTTCACCGTGAACAGCAACGTCGCGGCGGCGATGTTTGGATTTGGCAGCTACTCCGTTGATCTCGGTTTCGACAAGGAAGGCAAGCTGTTCGGCGTGTCCTACATCGACGACTCCACGTTCGAGCCCGGAAAGAGTCCGTTCCCTAGTGGCAATGCAACGGCCGACTACCAATGGTGTGTATTATAGCTATCTGCCTATTATGCTAGAAGTCTTTACCCGCTTCTTTATTCTGCGCGATTAGGAACTGACGATAAGCAGGTATGCTTGCTGGCAATACTTTACTGGCTACTACTACCAATCGATTGGATGGGCTTCGACCTCGCCGCCTCACAACCCTACCTGTGAGCCTGTCGATATTTTCCAGGAGTTCCCGTCCTCTTACTAAGGGAACATGATATTTCGCCCGCCCCACCGTTCTAGTTTTGCATCACGTTAGTTACGAATGGGCCGAAACTCGATGGAATTAGGTCCTGGCACGAAAGCTGGGTTTGGCGGTCGCATGATTCATGAAGTGTATGAAGGCTAAGGTATACGACTAGTTGCGGGATATAGAAACGAAAATAGTCTTAATTCTACTTATTATACTCTGAAGAATGTACTCAGTACTCAAAAAGAGGACCGAGGCTATTAACTACCTCCTATGACAGGTGTTTGTTTGCTTCCCTTCGGGTAGCTGAAACTACCACCCATTCAATGAAACTCAGGATTATTTAGCGGGGTTTAAAAGAGATCACTCAGGAAGGTTGTCTACCGCTTCTTGAAGACCTTGAGATCAAGATCTTAACACCATAGTAAGGTAGGCTCGGACCAGTGTTACTCTCTGTGAATGGACAATCCTATTATATAGGTATCCATTGATACGATGGTTATAACCGGCCTTGCGGGAGTGCAGCGGGTCGGGATTATTGCTCACCGCGTCCGAATGCCTCGTGCAAAGTTACTAGGCCCCTCACAGAAAAAAAGTAACCTTCGTCCGACCATGGACACTTGTAACTATCTCCGCAAGGTGTAACGACGATCAGGGAGACATCGGGCCGTAAGCGATTGCTTTGTGCCAGTAGACATTCTGTCGGTTTGCCACCCTAACGACGTTCGAGGCGGAAACTTCCAAATCTGGATATATATTGCTTGATGCATGTTTAGGGAAAAGGAGACCTTGCCCCCCCGATTTATTCAATGCTTGATGCAGCTCCTGTTGGGTACATGAGGCATATGCAGCTGCTGCAGGACGAGTATTGCAGGTATATATTGGACTCCTGCAGTACCTTGCAGACATTAATATGAATCCCTCGAGTTCAGCTTGTAGCAAACATCCAATTACGAGGGAATGTAACCCCAGGCATTCCCATCGTGTAATGAATGGACAGGATCTAGATATCTCGAACTATCAAACATGGCCAGTTCGTTACTATGCTGCCAAGTCGGGCCTCTTCCACACGTTCACCGGCTGGTTGATAGGTAACAAAAGAGAAAGCTTGAACGGCCACCGAGCGATGACAATGTCACGATATAGCGTATTTCGGAACGAAGTACTAACTAATTCGCCCACCTGGGGCGATATATTGTCCGACTTGTGACGGATGCCTTGCTGTCGTAGGGCAGGTTAGGCTGGGTTAAAGGAAGTGGGTTATCGTGGTATATAAGGAGACTGAACTACGGTGTAAACCTCTTGATCCGGGTTTTTATGGGAATAAGCTGATACCCAGATTGCTTCTGAATACCGCCTTATATCCGTTCGTAGCCCTCAATTTACTAGATTTGTTGAGAGACATAGTTCTCACGTTAGTCACGATGATACCTCTGCATAGGTTGACCGCAACTTTCTCTCTCCTCATCTCCCCGCTCTGGGCACTCCCACACCCATTCGAAACAGTCACCGTGACGGCTGATGATCCCACCGAAACGCCCATCGGGTACGGATACCCTCCAACCAGCAGCACTCCCACTCTGACGCCGTTCACGAATCAGACGACAAGCGAGACGGCGCGGCTGCTAACTACGACCGCTCCTCCCTTATCTTCTACATCGTCGTCTAGGTCTAGGTCTAGTTTTACGGGACATTGCGATTACAGCTTCTGTAATTCCGGGAGCAAGGTTTGCTTCTATTGGGCTGGGATAACGTCGTGGGATGTATCGCGAGGCCCGGTACCCGGCGAGGTCCCTACTATAATCGGGACTTGCTAAGTCAGACCGAGGGAGACGGGTTGGGGTTGAACTATGTCTTCGAGATGGAGATGCTGAAGACGTCTTCATGGTTGGTGCTTGTTGGGCTGAGTGAGGCAGATGGATAGGGTACAGGCGGAGTTTATGGGAAGTGGCCGAGAATACGTTCAGCGGGGAGTCGCCCTCCTAGATAGGTAATACTTGCGAGAAATATTGATAGTTAATTGTTTTATTTGTTTAATCACCTGAAGTTTAGTATCTAAGATAGTTTCATCATTAAGAAGGCTATGGATGACAAGCTCTACACATGGAGAGGAAATCCGAGGGAGACAGGCGGATCAATCATTCATATAAGATACATCTAAACGCTTGAAGTTGGGCTACTTAAATAGGTACCTATGTGAATATGATTATGTTTATTTGAACTATTCGCTATGAAGATCCAACTTACGTTCTCGTCCGAGATTACGCAGCTAATGAAAAGTATAAGCATATCGATCAAGCGTGATGAGGAAAAATATATACCTAGATAGGTACCTCCTATATAACCGGTGGTTACTTACTAGGACCGCTAACAGAAGTAGTGATAGCACCGCTCTCGATGTACACGCCCGAGAAGTAGAAGTCCTCGACACCGTCGGAGTAGCCGGAGCGCGGCAGCTCGAGGACGCCTAGATGCCAGTCGGCGCCGTTCGACGAGGTCGACGTCTTGACGGGGGCCACCAGCTGCTTCAGCGCGTCGCCGCCCTCCGAGTGCCAGAACCCGACCGTGCCGCTGCTGAAGTCGATCTCGAAGGCCACGTTGTGCCAGACGTTGGGCTTCCACTCCGTCTTCCACTTAGAGTTCTGCGAGACCATGCTGTGCGCGAGGAATTATCAATATTAGCAACCACCTAAACTATCATTTTACTGAGGTACCTAAGTTACATGGAACACTTACAACTGCAGATTTGGGTTCTCGGCTCCCTGCTCGCCGGAAATCCAGCCATACTTCAGCTCGGTGAAGTGGCTCTCGAAGAAGCAGATCTGGTGCTCACGGTTCTTGGAGGGCGCGTTGGCGTCCTTGCGCATGATGCTGAAGTGGTAGAACACCTTCCCACTATTGATAGCGGCCTTGGTCTGGGGGATCAGCTCGATGCGGCGCATGTTCTGGCCGTTCCAGAACGCCGTCGAGTCCAGAGTGAACTTGGCCCCCTGCTTCGACACCGTGTCCGCCGGGTTCTTGTAATCCGGCGAGAAGTTGACGTACTTTTCGACCGACCCCGACCCGTGGATGTAGTACTGGTACGGCCCGACTTGGTTGCTCCACGACCACTTGTTCAGGTCGGACGATGTGCCTAGGTCGTTGAATCGCCCGTCCCAGAGGACGGCCGCGCTGGCGACGGCGGCTAGCGCTGAGAAGAGGGTAACCTTCATCTTGGATGTCCTAGGATAGGTACCTAATAACTACCTGATGTTGGAAGGGAGTATGCGAGCCCGGTCGGAGGGGTATGCAGATTGAAATTGTCGAAGGACAAACCTGGTGCAAGAGCGAGGTAGATAGCACTCCAGGGCCTGTGGCGTTTTATACGCAACAATACTATGGAGACCGACCATTCATCATGCCATCGACACCCAAACTGGAAACGTGCATGGGGCAACAAGGGTTTTATTAAGGAGTTATGGTCCAGACATGGCCTGGATTCAATCTAAAGATGGCAGGCCGGACCGTAGGACAGACGTCTATAGCGAAGCGCGGATAGGAGCCTCCGCTGATCTTGCCCTAGAGGTCACATTATATTCATTATATTGAATGTGGGGGAGTGAAGGTCATGGAATTTAGCCTATTGAGATATGTAGACCATAGTAGCCGCCCTCCTTCCCGCTATACCTTACGCGGGTTTCTGCGGATCAAGACGTGTCTTAGCTTTGAAGTAAGCATTTTTATTAATAGTATGTTGAAGGCAATTAACTGACAGGACTACACGTAGAATACATAGGTGACTAGGTGGATATAATTTATAAGAGGTATCTATACATATCATATATGACAATTTACATCAGCAAACCATTGCTAAGCTACTAAGAATTGCAAAGTATAACTCCAGTATATTTGTTGTCCGTGGTCCGTGGAACTTCTAAATGGGTATAAAAAAAGGGGGAGATGCACTTGAACATTCTCTAATTCCGTCGGTGGATATTGCGACTAACTAACGGGTATGGCCCACCGGGAGGCATGATTAGTATTCCAATCCCGCCCCGAAGCTGCTATTTCTAGCCAAAGTTGCTTGGTCGAGACTAGCTCTGGCCTGGTCGAAACTCCTCTTGCTCTGCGATGTGCTCGGTCGTGAATTGATTGGGTCACCTTGTTCTACAGCATAAACAGCAGCCGCTGGTACCGATGTGTCTTCGCTGATTTTGTGAATGAAGTACGCGGCTATAAGCGCGAAGAAGCCTCCCGAAGCCAAGACAATGGCGATACTATGATCACCAGGCTCGCCTCTTGGCTTCTGGAAAATGCGGAAGATGATGCTAGAACCAAGAGTAGCAATGAACTGCGGCGAAGCAATGGCCATGTTGTGTATACCAAGGATCACGCCGGCTTGGTCTGGTTCCTCTTCATCAGCCTGCGACCGAGACCCACCCTCGAGGAGCCCATCATCGGAGTCGCTATTATCTAACTGTTCACCTCGCGCAAGCGACCGCATCTGTTGTTTTCGGGCTCGATGTAGTATATCGCGGCGACTGATTTCGGCGCTGATGATGGCCCATGGCGCCCAAAGTGCCAAAGCCCATGGAATACCAAGAAGACCAATAAGTGCGGTTGCAGCCTCAACAGTTCTCACAAACGGGGTGCAGAACATTACGACAGCAAACAGAATTTCGGAATACATCCAAGCTCTTCGTAAAGTGAAGCCGGGAATGACTAAACGAGCCAAAAAGCCCTTACTGCGGGAAGCGGAATTCCCAAGTGCAGGGAATTCCCTGGACCCATTGCCAACGACAGGATTATTGTCATAGGTTGGGTCGATGAAGAAAGGAAGCAGGACATTGGTTGCTAGACTGGTGATGGCGAATATTAATAGGGCAAAGGTACCCACCCTGGTGGCCTTCTCGTAAAGCTGGTCCAACTCTTCAGGAGTCATGTGGGGATTCTCTTCTAGGTAGGGCTCGACGTATATTTCTCCGACATAGGATGAGGTGTAGAAGAGCATAGGAAAGAAGCCGATCCACGCCGCAAATTGCACAATGCAAACCTTTGCGATTTGGGGTGGAAGCCTTTTAATAGCGGCAAATATCTTGGCAAAAAATGAGCGAAGGCCAGGTGGCTTAGTAGCAGGACGTCCTTCGAGTTGAGGATTTCGCTCTTTAACGGTCAGTACGCTCAACAATACTGTCGAGCAAAGTGCGATGCTTGCGATTGCGCAAAGGTCCTTAAACTGAGTGTCGCCAAGCCACCAAAGATACTTGGGAAGATCAATCCCCCCAGCAACATATCCTATGATATTGCCGACGCCCACCAGCCTGCTAGCCATGGAATTTGCAGCTTCCTGTTGATGTGGCGGAGCACAGTCGACGATAAAGGCTCTGATAGATGCCTGGACCGTATTGACTGCAACATCTAGGATGTATATCCAGATGACAGCGATGACGATAATGGTGACTTTTACTGTGTGGGAATCGGCGTCAACTCCAAACAGGCTGAAGATTCCGCCAACAATCTCTCGAATCCACGCAAGGAACATATAGGCTAACGATGTGGCAACGGCGCCACCAAGCATGAAGGGTTTGCGCCTCCCCCAAGATACTCTGCAGCTGTCACTGAGCATGCCGACATATGGCTGTACTAAAGTCCCAGTAAGCGGGCCGGCGACCCATACAAGGGCCATTAGAGACTTGCTAAGGCCAAGAGATAGCAAGTACGGAGTGCCATTAGACAACTCTACAGCCCAGGCTACTTGTAGTCCTCCAATGCTGATTGTCAAGAGTAAGAGGTACCAAATGCTTTTGGTGGTCTGAAACTCATCATGTTCTGCTTGTCTGTCGTTGTCATCAAACTCATCTAGTGAATCGCGCTCTCCCCGGCTAGGGGAGAGAAGAGGAGAGTGCTCGTTCAGTCTATCCGGACCAGCAGGCTCTCCGGCGTTGACCCTTATTGTACTTTCGGACCACGCGGGATCGGCATTGATATCCGGTTTCAAGGATGGATCATATTTGCGACTCGAGGCAGACGGATGGTCCGAGGACGAGGTGCTCGACAATGACGCGGTCATCGATCGGATAGTGAGGCTTTCGCAAACCCAGGTCGAGTGTATGGAATCTAACAGGGCACGCGAAAAGTCGACGACTATGGGAAACGAGAGGGCGTTGCGATGAGAAAAGTAGCGGTAGTAGTAGCGGTAATGGTTGTTGCTGTTGTTGCTAACTCTATGTTGTTATATGCATGCATATCAAGTATGGAAAAGGTAGGTACCTAGGTAAGCATCTAGATTCTAGGTTGGTACCTAAGGTATAGAGAAGATTCGGTAGATCAGGGGTGGATGAATTTAGCCGTCTAGACTATGTAAGTACTATGTTTGGACGTCACGCGGTCTCGAACTCGAGGCAACAGCACGAGACGCATGAGATTCCTCGAGTTACAGCTAGAATGGTGGCGAGTGGTAATTGGTTAGTAGGAAGGACGAGGGATGAGTTGGACGTTACCGAAGGGGGTGGTGTTGTAGTAGTAATAGGAATAAGAGGTAATTTGTTAATTCGCAAGTCCAAGACATCAAGTTAATAATCAAGTTAAATAATCCGCATGACCTAAAGGAAACCGACGCCGATTGGAAACGAGTCAGAATGCCGAGACTCACCGTATACATAAGTGGCGTACCTACCAGCCTACCAGCCTACCCGGCCTACCTGGAAGAGGTATTAGTCGTGATGACATCAGATACCTCCAAGCGACGTAAATATGGAGAGATTTCCGATTCCGGGAAGGGAGGGATTGTGGAGAATTTTGAAGCCAGACTCTGCTTGGTTTAGTCGCTGCGTCGCAACTCCTCTTCAATATCTCGAAAAGGTTGAAGAACAATTGAAGTTAACACCTGCCGTGTATCAGGTACGTGTCTACCATTGGTGCAGAGGGTACCTACAGGTAACCCAGGCACTTAGGCCAGGTACCTAAGGTATTCGTGTTACTGTTGTTTTATTAGGTATTTCATTACCTAGGTACCTCCTAGGTAGCCTTGTAGAAGACCCAATGTGCCATGTAAAATCTAACTGTTGTCCCTGAATTTGTGACTGCTTTAAGTTAAAATGGTACAATACAGCGGGGTTAGAAGCACTACCGAGAGGTACCGACAGCCCTGGAGGTACCTACGCTAATCAAGATTATTGGTATAAAAGAGGTATTGTTATAACAGGAGTTAGCTTCAAAGTCCGTTCCTACTCCAGGCTTCAGCTCGGTTTAGGTAAGTGAATATTTATTGGAGGTGGGTCAAGCCTACAGGCATACTGTATCCTACATGTACAATACCACATTAGGTACATATTTTGCGGTAGTGCGGCGCAATCAGCGATCAGCGATCAGTAGCCAGGAATAGTAGAAGGTGCAAGCTGTCGATTTCAACTTCTCACATCAATTAAGCGCAATAACCCGAATTTGACTTCGGCTCGTCCTCATATTTTATCGCATCCCATCACATCGCATCGTATCGCATCGAACCGAAGCCACCAGGTCCCTCGACGTTTCATGCGCTGGCACGCCCGATTCTTAGTGCTCAATTTGGAGCAAGAAGGTTATATCCAACTGAAGCATCAACACCCGACTTGAAGTCCTTGAAGTCCTTGAAGTCTTTGTCGCGATCATGTTGGCAGAAATCGCCAGCTCCATTATGGAGCTCGCTCGTACGTCAACCAAGTCAAGCCCCATCGCCAAATCATTCAGCTACCTAATATATATGTATATATATATATATGCCTATAACTTTACCTAACTATAATTCCCTCTAGGACGAGACGACGAAGAGACGGATCCCGATGGTATGATATTATTACCTAATTGTGCTGTTCGCAACTCTTGGCTTGTAGCTCGTAGCTCGTAGCTCGTAGCTCGCGCGGCTTCGAGTCGTATATCTCGCGACCTCATGATCTAACAGCTTATCACAGAAGCCGACTCGGGACAAAAGGAAATATTTGCGTCATGGGCCTTATTCATATTGATCATGCTCCTCATTATTGCCTTCTTTACCAGCTACATATTACAGCAGAAGAAGGTCCAAGCTGTTCACGAAACAGTAATCTCTATCTTTGCCGGTTGGTTACAGAATGGGATGGGAGTGAGGAACAAGATGAAGCTGACTCTAGATAAACAGGAATGACTGTAGGCTTAATTCTTAGAGTGAGCACCGGCCATTCTATCCGACAACTCGTCAGCTTCGACTACCAAATCTTCTTCAACTTATTATTACCGCCCATCATCCTAAACTCCGGATATGAGTTACACCAAGCCAATTTCTTTCGAAACATTGGCACCATCCTTACCTTCGCCTTCGCTGGGACTTTCTTGTCTGCCGTAGTAATTGGCCTGCTGTTATGGCTGTATACTCGAATACCGCTCGAAGGCCTCGAGATGAGTTTTGTTGATGCCATCTCCGTCGGTGCAACGTTATCTGCTACAGACCCGGTCACGATCCTGGCCATTTTCAATACCTATAAAGTCGATCCAAAACTGTATACTGTTATTTTTGGCGAGTCTATCTTGAACGATGCTATTGCGATTGTCATTTTCGAGACCGCGCAGAAGTACAGTAGCGATTCTGCAGGCACGTATGGATTTCTGAGTTTCCTCGAAGGTGTGGGCATCTTCTTGCTCATCTTCTTTGGTAGCTTGTTCATCGGGGTTTTGGTTGGCGTTGGCACTGCGCTTGCTTTGAAGTTCACCTATATCAGGAGGTACCCTCAAATCGAGACTTGCTTGATCGTGCTGATCGCATATGCAAGCTACTTCTTTTCCCAAGCAGTAAAGATGTCAGGTATGTCCCAAATTTCATATCCTATTCCATTTAGAGGTGACATCTAATTCCTAATAGGTATCGTGTCTCTGCTGTTCTGTGGTATTACTCTTAAGCATTATGCATACTTCAACATGTCACGGCGGACACAGCTTAGCACCAAGTACTTTTTCCAAATACTCGCCCAGCTATCCGAAAATTTCATCTTCATCTATCTAGGACTGTCGTTATTCACGGATAATGACCTCCAGTTTCAACCGCCCCTGATAATTGTCACCATCGTCGCCGTTTGTGCCGCGCGATGGGTAGCAGTATTTCCGTTGTCTAGGGCTATCAATTGGTTTCACCGTTATCGGGCGCGTCGTCGGGGCAAGGAGGTCAACGATGAACTTCCATATAGCTACCAGGCGATGCTATTCTGGGCCGGTCTACGAGGAGCGGTCGGTGTAGCGCTGGCTGCTTTATTAACCGGGAAAAACTCGTATGCATTGAAAGCCACTGTGCTTGTTGTGGTAGTGCTCACTGTGATCATCTTTGGTGGCACTACGGCGCGAATGTTGGAGATATTAGGTATCAGAACGGGCGTTGTAGAAGAAGTTGACAGCGACGACGAATTCGACATCGAAGCCGCACCATCAGGCTCTTATTATAAAAGGTCTGGGACCGGAATCGGGTACAATCCCCGGCAGAGAAATGGGTCGGTGCGTCTTGATCGGGTGGATTCTGGGAGACTCCAGCAGCCGGCGGGACCAGAACGAGGAAGTTATGTATCAGGCCATCGTTCACCGTCTTTCCCAACGTCACGTGCCACGAGTTCAAGCCGTAAAGGTTCTCGGCAAGCTGGTGATGAAGTTGAACGAGCAGATCTCTTAGGGCGCAGTGGTAATGTGACCGACTCAGATCTTGGGAGCGATATTGATACATCGGATCTCCCGCCCCCAGCCCGTAAAGCACCGCGCAGCCCAATTCTTACGCCTAGCGGGACGTCAGAAGAGGAAGGCGTCTTTTCATACCCAACTTCAGGTCACAGAGACGCAGCACCTATTTCTACAAGGGCGGCTATTAAACAATTACTTACCGCTCAGGACCCCCAGGCTCTGTTTAGGCAGTTAGACGAGGACTACATCAAGCCTAAACTGCTTCTCGACGGAGGTAACGGGGGTTCAAGCGGTGGGAGAGGGAATGGTGATGGGGACTCGGAATAAGCCAATTGAAAGGGCCAAAATTTAAAGGAGGTACAATACATGGGATCTCCACGCGTGAATGAACAGTGTAATACATATAATATGTAGACCAGAGTGGTAGTGTTTTGAACATGATAAACTATTACCGTAATTATATTAGGTACCTATTTAAATTGTTACCTAGTAAGATTCGTTGGTTTACCTCTGGTAACTTGTGCCTGGCGTTGTACCTAGGTACCTAGAGGTAGGTACTACATCAGGTACCTGATGGATGGATGCATTATGAGGCTGTGAGGTAGCAGTGGTTGGCTACTGTGGTAGTGGGTCCTATTCTAAACTTAGTCATATCTAATCCGTACGGATTACTACCTAATGTATATTTTCGTTATCGGGTTATGCATTTATACTGAGGTTTCTCACTCCGTACCCCCTCAGGGGATCTGGTGGGGACGATTACGGGGACGATTTACAGGTGGCACAGGCTTGTTACGAAACAACTAGACAAATGGGAAAAGGGACCGACTTTATGGATTACCTACAACCCCTAAGGTACTGGTAACTGCGGTACAGTTTTAGTGCACCACGTCTACCTCTAGGTAAGTTCACCACCTGGCACGTTTTAACCCGTATTGAACTCTACCTAATACCTAATACTAACAACACAAAGCGTTTCCTAGGACATCATTTTTCCAAGGTTGTATCTACGCGAATAGATACACCCTCTAACTAAACTAACTAGACTAATAACTATTCGCTTGTCTGTTTAGATATGCGTGCGTTATAGCTGCAAGGCGCATGCTAATCTTCCTCGATGCCACAAACGTGAAGAACCCCCCGAACGTGCCAACCCTTTACCGACTTCCACCTCGTCTACCCATCATCCCCCCCCCCTCCCGTCTCCTATCCCCTTAAGCGATATACACCTCCCTGAACCGAATAGTATGGCTTCGTATAGCAATACAATGCCAATGGCAGCGCCTCGTCCTGGCCAACAGGCCGCTTATGGCGCGCCAATGCAAAGCCATGCTCAAATACCTATACATGGACATCCCGCTCCTGCTGGTACCTTTGCTCCCGGTACTAAGATTCAAGTCGGCAATCATAGAGTGGTGATTCAGAAATACCTATCCGAAGGTGGATTTGCACATGTGTATCTCGTCAAGTTACCACGCCCCGTCGATGGAACCGACCTGGCTGTGTTGAAGAGGGTTGCTGTGCCGGATAAGGAGACTCTTCGTGGGATGCGGACCGAGGTTGAGACGATGAAGCGGCTTAAGGGGCACCAAACAATTGTTACATATATCGATTCGCACGCATCTGAGCTCAAGGGCGGCAGTGGATATGAAGTCTTCCTCCTGATGGAATACTGTAATGGCGGGGGGCTGATCGACTTTATGAATACCCGGTTACAGCACCGTCTTACCGAACCCGAGATCTTAAATATTTTCTCCGATGTTGCGGAGGGTGTCGCTTGTATGCATTATCTCAAGCCTCCTTTATTACACCGAGACTTGAAAGTCGAGAACGTCCTCATCACCGTAAATGGAGCCAAGAGGAAGTTTAAGCTATGTGATTTTGGTTCAGCTGCCCCTCCGAGACCTGCGCCGCAAACTGTCGCAGAGTGCCGCATGATAGACGAGGATATCCAAAGACATACTACATTACAGTACAGGAGTCCGGAGATGATTGATGTCTACCGGAAACAGCCGATAGATGAGAAATCGGATATATGGGCTCTGGGAGTTCTCCTCTATAAGCTCTGTTATTATACTACGCCATTTGAGGAGCAAGGGCAGCTTGCCATCTTGAACGCGAGCTTCAGATTTCCTAATTACCCGATATTCTCCGATAGGTTAAAGCAATTGATCGGTAAGGCGTGCAATCCACTACTGGGATTTTTATACTAAGCAAATATCATGAAGCATCCATGCTGCGGGAAGATCTACGATCTCGACCAAATATTTACCAAGTGCTCCGAGAAAGCTGTCGGATGCAAGGGCGTGAAGTACCTATACATGATGTACGTCTGATTTCCCGGGTTTCGTAATATTGATCTAACATTATTCCAGATATATTCTCAGCCATCTCATTTAGAGGCTAAGAGAAACGAGAATCAAATAACTGCTGGCAAAGACCCTAGGGGAACTCCAGGTATAGGTGCTGTGTACTCACCACCACAGCAACCACAAACCCAAGCAATCCCAGAGATCACACCCATGAGGCGTGGTAGACCAACAGTTTCCAACCAGTCCGTCCCAACACAGGCGGCCAAGCCAAGCCCGTCTCCAGCGAGGATCACAAGTGGTGATCCATTTGCTGCACTTGACACTAAAACGGGACCCGGTGCCGACGCAGATGAGCTATCCTCTAGGTTTCCGACACTTGATCAATTCGCTCTCCTACACGATCAAGGGACGAAGTTCGACTTTGATAGTCCAATATCTCCCGCAGATCCACAAAAGCATCTAAGCCAGCGTGTTGCCGCTCAACTAGCGGAAGAAGCATTCATTAAACCTCAAGCCACAGTAGGGACGATCCCAACAGGTCAAAGGCAATCGACGGATCTGAGCCGAGTGAAGTCAGTAGCAGCTGTAACGGACTTAAGAAGATTATCGCCTCCGCCTGGCTCGGTCAACAAGCCTAGTCCGGCACCACCCAAACAGCCAGTGGAGATGAGTCGTGCCTCAGCCATAATATCTAGTAATCCTGAGCTCCAGGCTATTTCTTCCCCTCCGCCGCAAACACCTCAAGATATTCCAAACAGACCGGCCATGGTCTCGACCGGAACTATGACTAGTACCCCTCCCCCTGAAAGACAAACCCGAGATTACCCCCCGATCCATCGATTCCCTTCGGCAGACCAGCACAGCCCATCGAGTTTGCCTAGACAGCAGGAGCCCATAGGTACTGGCCTGAAACGCCCGGATATAAGTTATGCGCTCCGACCTACTCCAACGCCACGCATTGACTCCATCCAACCTTCACCAGGGCATGCTCGACACTCATCTTCATCCCGCCCATCTCTAGAAAGCGGCCGACCCAGTGCTGAACAACTCGAATTCCTATCTAAAACTTCTGTTACTGGAGGACGTCCTAGGCCCGCTAGTACTTATCTTGAATCTGATATGGACTACCTTCGCGAACGGGAGGCAGCCCCAAGGCCACTTCGCTCTCCTAGCTATTCGCCAAATCTACTTGGAAATTCCTCATCACCCAGACTAGAGCCCCAGGATGATACAACAATAGAGTCAAATGTAGACTTCCTCAGGTCGATGGAGGATTCCGATGGGAAAAAGAAGGAAAAGGTTACAAAGCAACATACGAAGCGCTCGAGTTTGACTTCCTTGTCCGGCACCAAAAATATCCTAGCTGGGAGGTTTGGCGATGCTTTTAAACGATTTGAGAGTAACCCTTCGGGATCGGGTGCGCGTACACCATCCCCACTCAAGGATATGGAGCGTCACGATCTGACCCCTATTGCGGGATCGGAGGCAACCGATGGTCGTAGTGATGATGGACATCTTGGTGAGGCTGAATTGACACCAGAAATGCGACGAGAGCTTGAGCTCCAGGCTCTTGCGGAAGAGGAGCGGAGGGTGGAGGCCGCAGCTGCTGAATATAAGCAGCGGATGGCTTCCCGGGATGCCGGTGGTCCATCGGGCCCGCTCCCCAAGAGTATCGGTGGTGTTTCCCGAGCTGTAAGCATACAGAACCGCGTGCAAAATCTCCTAGACGAGTCGCAGAAGTCCTCCCAGCAGGTACAGCGCACAGCATCAGGCTACGGCAAGTTCTCAGACGCAGCTGTAGCTAAAGGTCGCGTGGAAAAACAAGTTCCTGAAGTCCCCCCGAAAAACTTCACTGGTGGACGAGGCACTACTCCACTCAAGCCTGTCCCTACGTCGACCGATCCATCTGCCGCCGCTCGAGGCCGCGCTCAGCCCGATCCCAGCTCTCCTGTTAAACCAACCCTTCCGCCTAAGCCTACGCATCTCAACAAACTGCCCACAGGAAACGCCCGTGCTCGATCACCGCCAAAAGCTGCGCCGTCACAACAGCCTCCAGGCCCCGCTCACCGTGCTTCTTCCGAGTACCTCGCGGGCGTAGGGTTACCCGGCCGGCCCATCCTTGATATGTCTTTCAAGGAGAAGGAGGACTACATCCAAGACTTTGCCAAGAGATACCCAAGCCTTAGTTCTATCGAGATGGTTGAACGAGACCTGGATGCCGAGGTGGAAAATAGGGGGAGAAGGTAAGAGGTATGAAACAACAAGGGAGCTCTAGGTTTAGAAATTAGATATGAATGAGCTAGGAAGACGCGTCTTGCCTTATGTTTGTTACTTGTACCTACTCACTTACCCACTTATGTATGTTTGACCGACCGTTTGTGTTGTGAGGTGTAGGGGGTGTCCTAGCGTTGAAGAGGTGGCATTTATTCTTGCCCACCTCACTTACTGTGTCAGTGGCAACACCTCGGCAGAGAGAGATTTAGAAGTGGAAAGGCGTTTACAGAAAGGGTAATTGAATAGTATCCGCGATTTTACGGGATGTTTAATTCACGAGCGGCATATAACACTCTGTTTCTAAGGGTTGAGGTTACCTACCTACCTCTAATATTTTGAAATCAACTACGGATTTCCGAGGGCTAATTAAGATATAACTAAATCACAACTGAAATCCGTCTCATATCGCGTTTAAATGCCTTCCTGTTATTCAAATTCAAAATACAAAAAGATAAATCGAATCCGCTTCTCATTAACCTTGCCTGCCTTATATTATTGCATTAGGTACCTCTATCCGAAGCTATCCTGTCCTAAACTCTCAATCAACGCAACGATGCTGGGATGTTCGTGTCAAGAAAAATCAAGCTAGTAGTACTCTCTAGAATGTTGCGAGGTGTATTCTCGGACACCTATCTGGAGTTACAGGCGTTGCATTTGCCTTCACTCTATAAGTTGATCAGGGCACAACAACTACCATAAGAACACTGTAGAGCTATACCACATACGCTAGGTACCTAAGGTAAGTACCTAAGATATCTAGGTTGACATTATATACCTATCAGGGGTAATATGAGATAATAATATAATACGATATCTCATAGTCATGACACGCCGAATCCCATCAGCAGACCTACCCCAAACACCACCACCAACGCTCAAAGGAGGGCTCTGAAGATGCGGAAAGGCAGGTTAAGCCACGTCTTTTCTTCCATGATCATATTCTCCTCCTCTGCCTCCAAGGGGCGAGCTCCAGCCGTCAGGTCAATGTCGTTGAGCTTAACCCACATCTGCCTCCAGCTACCTGACCATATCTTCCAGAACACATACAGCACAATAACTATTGGCGCCGCGAGGTACTTCTGAAAGAACACTGCAGCTTCTGGGTGCGAGTCGGGGGCGGGCTAACAACCGAACAAGTTAATTGTGGTGTTCCCTACATCTCGACGGGAGAAGGAAAAGAAGAAAAAAAGGGGGAGAGAGGGGGGGTTATATGGGAAACTGATAAGTTGAGCTTACATAAAGGCCGTTATAGAAAGTTGCAATCAGACAGATAATATTGAGGGTCAGGCCGATGACGCTACCCCAGATTCCGAGGGGCGGCCTATAGGGGATCTCGCTCAGACTACGTCCCTGCTTCTTCCAAGCCAATCGGAACCGGATGTGGGCGAGGCAGCACGATCCCCACACGAATAAGTACGACAGCCCCGAGAGAGAGAGAAGCCAGTCGAACACGTCTAGCCCGTTCGATGCCACGCCGACGTAGCCTAAAAGCCCGAACGCGAGTTGGACTACGACGCAGTACAAGGGCCGGCCGGCTTTGTCGACGTACGCGAGGAACCGGGGCGCCATGCCCCGCTCGGCCATCGCCTGCATCGTACGGGTCGAGCCGAAGGTGCACGAGTTAGCGACGCTGATGACGGAAACGGTGATCACCACGTTGAAGATCGACGGCAAGACGGCGATGCCGGCGTCCTGGATGGCCAGGACGAACGGGGAGTAGCTCGAGTTGAAGCCTGTCGACTGCTCCAGGCGGCCGTCGTTGGAAGGCAGTATCAGGCCGAGGATGAAGAGGTTGACGATGTAGAAGAAGGCAATGCGGAAGAAGACCTGTTTCGAGGCCATGGGGATCGCGCGTCGGGGATCGACCGATTCGGCAGCTGCGAGGCCAACTAGTTCGGTGCCGCCGAAAGCGAAGGCCGCTACGACGAAGACCCCGGCGAAGCCGTTGAAGCCGTTTCTGAAAGCCCCCGGGTCGTACCAGTACTTGGCGCCTATATAACCTCTATCGCCAACTCCGCCGCAGTTTATTACGATACCCAATATGATAAAACCTACGCCACCGAGTTAGTGAAGGTATAGCTGAGCCGGGCTGATAATCGCCATTATACGAACCCGTGCAGGCCGCGATTTTGACCATACTAAGGATGAATTCAACTATTGATTGTACCCGTTAGCTGTTAGGTAGTAAGTGCCATATGATGAATTCTTTTCGATCCTACAGCCTCAGCCTTTGCCTCTGCCTTACCTTCGCCGTAGCCCCGCACGCCAAATACCTGGATCAGGGCCAAGATGACGAGGAACACGGTGACCCAGATCGCTATGTTGAGGTCGCTCCGCCAGAATTCGATGGTCATGCCGGCCGCGATCAGCTCGAAGGGCAGGACCGTGAGCCATGCGATCGCGTAGTTCCACCCCGTAGCAAAGCCCCTATAATACGGAATCCCCAATTGTTAGAAAAGAGGGGGGAAAAAAGAGAGGGGGGGGCGGGGGCGGATTGCGAGACGAAGATCATTGTATATTTACCAGGCCGGGTCGACGAATCTCACGACGTAGGTGTAGAACGCCCCGTTGACGGGATACATGACTGCTAGCTCGGCGAGAGCCTGCATGGTGAACAGCAGCATTATGCCGACGATGAGGTAGCCGATAACCTGAATTTACTGTGTGGTTAGCGTGAGGTATACAGGTAGCGGTATAATCCGCAGTCCCCGGAGATGTCAAGAATGACAGACATACCAAGGAAGCCGGTCCTCCGTGGTATAGAGCACTCCCCGACCCGATGAACAAACCCGCTCCAATGGCACCACCTATCGGCATCAACGTCGCATTAGCGAGCCCCCCAACTCCGAAGGGCAATGATTCTCCCCAGGTTAGGTTAGGTTAGGTTAGGTAGGAAAGCCCTTACCGATTGCTATCATCTGCATGTGGCGGTTCCTCAGATCCGTGCGAAGCTGTCGGGCTTGGGTGACTATGCCGACCTCCTCGTCATGTCCTCCCCTTCCGGCCGCGTAGGGACGCGGGCTAGCTACTACATGATCACCTGTGACTTCCTTCTCGGTATCCTCTGACATGTTCGCGACTATTGGACGGTTCCTCTCTAGGTACGCTCTACGGCTCAGTCCATCGGTCTGTTGGTAGGTAGATGTAGATAGATACCGAGCGCGCGCCTTCTCGGAAGATACGGGGGAGGAAGAGGAGAGGAAGAATGACCGAAAAAAAAAGCTAGGTATGACAATTGAGAGCGGGATATTCCAGGGTCCTTCTATCTGCTGGTCTAGACCCCTTGCTATATAGGATAAGGCGGAATCCTGATGGAGCTGAGGGAAGGCCTAGCTGCATTTATCACTCTACTTAGTTGATTACATGGGGGATGTATTGTACAGTATCTAATGTAACACTATAGATAAAGCTTAACACTTCTACCACGCTCCTACTACGGTATTGCAAGATTAGGTACCTACCTAAGGTATCTGAAGGAGGGCATCGATTAGGAACTGTAACCCTATTCCCTGTCCATAATTATGAACTAGGGCAGGCTGGCTAGAAGGTCTGCCATACGTATATCTATCAGGTAAAGGAGGTATCAATAAAGGTAAGGACAGCCCGCGACTAGGTAGGTACCTAGAAAGGATTTTTTTTCTAGCTCTCTGTCAGATTGGTTACGCCTGCAAGACTAGTCGACTCACGGTGGCTTCGACAATAACGTGTTTGTCACGGCTGATTACATATATTAATTCCCGTCGACGAACCAGGCTTGGCCGAGGCAAGATCTCATGGGAGCAACTTCTTGCAGAGGCACAATCCATCCATTCGATTAAACTATCAAGTTCTCTTCTGCTTTGAGCGTGGCACATGGGGAACCCCGGCTTACATGGCTATATGTATTTGGCCAATACCTCTCAATCAGGCCATGTCAAAGCTGTGCGACAGTTCACCTTTCATAGTGCCTACCTACCTGGTAGAGATATAATATAAGAAACCCCTCATTTTCAGCGGTGTTTATCTAAAGGATTCTTCTTCCTACCCTGCGGCTCTTCTGAAATAAACCGGTAATTATTGATATATATGATTATCCAAGGATTGTTTTCGAATACTAATATCAAGTGAACTAAAGGTAGGTAATTAACCTAAGTAAGGTGCCTTGGTAGGTTAGCTAAGGTTAGGTAGCTTCACTCATCAATTTATTTTCTACTGCGACAATGCTGGACGTCTGGCTGAGTAAACACCGTTATCAGGCCGTGGTGCCGGTTTATATTTTTTAGGTAAATACCGCTGCTGCGACCTATGCTTGGCCCCCAAGATGGAACAACAGCTTCGGCGATGGATTGCTGTCCAGTGGCGTCCGTACATGCAGTAGGAAATCTAATCGTACTTCATCGAATAGATGTTGAGCATTCAAACAGCGCCAAGCACCCCTTGCCGCGTCACCTAATACACCCTACGACGATATAAATAATGCCTACGGCGTATTCACAATACTTCATACCATAGAGGATGCAGCTAGCTGCTTAACATTAGATCTATTTCATAGCTTTTAACTCATGCCTATGACCTAACCTACGCTGCTACGTATATTACAGATTAACAAAAGTAACCCCAGGCAAAACAGGCTTTTCCATTGGCTCTACCATCCCTCGCTCATACATCGAGAGCCACACGGCATCAGGATCTACTGCCTCCAACGCAGCCTTAGCCTCGCGATTGGTGGGTAGTGTGTCCGCCAGCAACAGGAGTATCTGATCGAATATGTCGGCATCAATCTGAACAAACGACACGACGGCGACGAGAAGCTCCTGCACCGCCTCCCAAGTCTGCGCAGCCTGGGTGAATCTGCCTAGGCCCGCGCCCGGCACGGCCTCGACAGCCTTGCTCGGCTCCTTGCCCGGTATGAGTATATCGCGGTCGTGCTTGTCGTCGCGATTCGCTCTGGTTCTAGCTTTTCCTTTATTTCTCGACTGCGTCGCGTCTGCCTTTACTTTCCTGCACCACCCGCCGAGCCTATCCCACCATTCCGTTTTGATCCTCGTGTTGAGGAAATCGCCGGCACTCGCGCAGAGCGAAGCTAGCGCTTTGCAGGCAGAGATCACGACGAACGGTTCTGAGTCGTATAATCTCTCCACTAGAACGGGCCAGACTGAGTTGACAAGGGGTAAGAATGCCTCCTCGTCAGGTGAGAGCGCCGGGCACACAGTAGTTAGCAGATCTAAGAGTGACTTCCGTAGCGTTGGTGAGGGCGACGTGAGGTAATGCTGCGTTAGGTCGGTTATTCGGGTGAGAATCTTGAATGTGGGTGTTTTGGGTGGTGGGGGTTTTTCGACTTCGGTGCTGGGTTCTTCTTCGTCTTCATTAGCGTCAGACGCGGCCGAACTTGTCTCTTTCCAGGGGCGTTCTGGATGAGGCTCGATCGTTTCGTGCCCGAGTTCCTCGAGTCGATGTTTTTCTTGTCTTTCTATCCGGCTGGAGAGGATATCGCAAAGGTTATCGATCGTAGCAATTCCTTGTGAAGCTTTCTTGTGGCTCTGGGCCGATGACTTTACTTCATCTACAAGTAAATGATCGGAGTGTGTCCCTTGCTGTACTACTTCCGCGAGGACACTAAACAAGCTTTCTGCAAATAAAGGGTATCCGTGGTAGTTGTCGAGAGCCGCGAAGATCGAAGAGATCACGTCGTCAAGATATGGTATTAATTTCGGACCAGTAAGTTTTATCATCATTCGTAAAACTTGGGTCGACGCAGGGGAGATATCAAAAGTATTCAAACGTAAGGATACCGAGTTAACCATATAATCAACATTCTCAATGATCAGATCTGTGACATTAGAATATCCGCATGCCGCGGCAATGCTATTGAGACTGATGATCGCATGATCCCGTAACTTGGGCACCCCAGAACCCAAAAATGTTGTGATAGGGTACAGCACGTCAATGAGCTCCGGGCGAAAGCTTTCTTTCATCCTAGAAGCCGCAAAAGTGGTAACTTCTAAAGCCAGAGCTTGTAGTCGCCAGTCAACTTCTTCTGCCTCTGCCTGGGAATCTAGGACCGCGACAGAGAAAGAGTAGAGTTCTTGAAAAATAGGCTCAGTCTCATCTGTTATACCATTTGCGGAGCTTAAGTCAAGGAAGTCATCTAGGTCAGAGGGCTGAGATAAGCTCGACTTGATCAGCTCGAAGGTTAACCAATACGAGACAACCTGGCTAGGCCCCGTAGAGTCGCGAACGTAAGCCAGTAAATCATCAGCCAGTTTACCTTGCTGAGAGATTGATCCAACTTTCGAGATAAATTCGAGGAGCGCCGTTCGCGTAGACCTTTCTGTTTCTTGTGCAATGAGTATTGGCGGGAAGTTATCGGACCCATCCCGCCTAACCACATCCATGTTTAACTCAATAGCATCTGAAGCAAGCTCCGACATGCCACTTGATTTCGATGCTAGGACAAGTGCGGTGGTACTATCCCTCAGCGAGGCAGCTAGCGAGTCTTCTAAAATGGACGAGTCAATCTGAAGCGTTGTGATAAAATGCTGACCTTTGATGAGGTTCCGAATCTCTTGTTGTTTGATCCTATCATCGCTGGATTGCACTATCCGAGGAAGGCTTGTAACCCAGTTGTATACTGTAGTCTTGATCGTGTCTCCGAGTTCCGGGTGAATCCTAGCTAGGTCAGTTAGGCTCGTTTCGAAGAAGGATTTCTCCTTTTCTTCATTTGCTAGTATCATAGCGCTCTCGACAAGTATGGATGCGCATTCCGCAAGAGATTCATGGCATTCGTCTAAAAGGCTGATGCATAATTTTTCTAGGGCGACCCGTATGTCGTCAGAATCGGCATTCCGCAGCTTCAGCACGCTCGCAAGAGCAAGTTTTACCTTGGATACGGTTGCTCTTAACCATGATGGTGATAGGACTTTGCCCTCGCTCGCGGTTTCGCTGTCTCCTGTTGCTTGCTTCTGTATTATGCCCATAACCTTTATATCTCCTAGCACCCTAGTGAGTATATCTTTCAGGGCATTGATACCGCCAACCAAGACTCTTCTCTGATGCTTATATGCCGCAGGTGGTGTAAGTAGCCTGCTGAGAGATGATACTATTCCAGGGAGAAAAGTAGCCAAGGCAGTTTGGTCTCTGATTGCGACTAGGAGGGCATCTAGCGCTCTTAACCCCTCAAGTCTGATGTCTGGAGTTTTGCCATCCGTAATACTATCTAGTATAACAGTGACGGCATGCCCCAAGGCGGGTATCGCATTTGCCTCTACTAATGCAGCTGCTCCGGTAACTGAGGAACCAGTGGCTTTAATCAACTCGGCTAACACCTTGAGTGCTTCTAGTTCCGTCTCCTCTGGAATTTGATCTGTCCTTTCTTGGCCGGGAACACCGCCAACAACGAAGGTAAGAAATATGAGGAGCTGTTGGGAAAGCTCAGTAGGAATCTTGGCTCTCCATCCATAATGAATTAATGTCCGCAGGCATCTGATGGTCAACTCTGTTAACCGGATAGGATATTCCTGCTGGTGCCGCAGAATATTAGAGAGTGGGAAAAAGATGTAATCTGCAAGCTTTTCATCCAAAACAGTTTCGTCGGTAGATGTTTGACGATCAAGAATTGCAGAGAGGTCTTCGACCACATTGATTAACTCCCTAGCATTAGCTCTCTTGTCAGATGCACGGACGGTTAGATTGTTGATGGCGACGCATCGTGGTTTGAGCTATCTTAGAGTTAGTAATGAACATCCTATTTTTTATTTTTTATTTTTTATTTCTATTTTTATTTTCTGGAAGTACTTAAATAAGGGAAAGGATGGTCGAACCTCTTTGAAAAAATCATTCCTAGCAGTCGAGGAATTACTAGTCATCTTGAGATTCCTTCGTCATTTTTAATTGTAAACTCATCAGTCATTTGCGAAACGGCGCGATGACTTTCACGAGGTACCTTAGGTTAGGTAAGGTTAGGTACCTCCCATGATAGAATTGAGGTAAGTGATGACGAACCGTGAACGAGCCCGGCCCCACGGCCCAAGGTGCTTTAAGTTAGGTACCTGGTACTTAACACCTCTTTCAGTAGATATATGCCTTTATCCATACTGTCCTTATTCTGTCCTATTCAGTTTTATGCTTTTATACATATCCCCTCAGGTGACTTCGACAAATCAAGAAAATCAAGTGTTCATTCCAAATTCAAGTTTTTGAGAATAATACTTCTTCTACCATACGTATCTCATAAAGTTTTTTACGCTGAAATTTATACGTTGACGGAAAAGAAGATGGCGCCGTCGGGGACCTTTGTTACGACTGTACACCCTTTCGAATCTCCAACAGCGCACGCCTGTGCTTATGAGATCGGCCTCCCCAACGCAAGAAACGCTTTGGTCTTTATCGGTGGGCTCGGCGATGGTCCTCATACAGTACCATACCCGCGGGCGATAGCTAAGCGTCTAGAAACAGAACCCGACCTAAGCTATTCTGTCTTCGAATTTAGGTTGTCTAGCTCTTTTACAGGCTTCGGATTCGGCCGTCTAGCTAACGATGTAGCCGATATATCGGCCATAGTCAAGTATCTACGAAGCATAGGAAAGCAGCATATAGTCTTATTAGGACATTCCACCGGAAGCCAGGATTGTATGGAATATACTTCGCCATCCCATAACGCCCCGCCGGTTGAAGGGTATATACTTCAGGCACCAGTATCTGATCGCGGCGCAATAGCGTCAGAGATAGGCGGATCCAAACTAGATGAAAGTCTCAAGATTGCCAAAGAGCTCATCACCTCTGGCAGAGGTCATGAGCGTATGCTACCGGAAAATCTCTCAAAATCTTTCTACGATACACCGATATCTGCGTCACGGTGGTACGCGCTTGGAGCAGTAGAGTGAGTAATTTAGTACCCGAAGGTTACGTTAGGTATCTAGCTTTCGCCGACTCCTATGCCTGACTTTTTTGCTAGTGGCGAAGACAATTACTTTGACCCCGAACTCCCGGATGAAGTCATTGAGCCTTATTGGAAACGAGTAGACAAGCCAATCCTTATACTTCATTCCGGGAACGATGAATATGTACCTAGTTCTATCGATAAAGATGCGCTGGTTAAGCGTTGGGGTACACTTTGCCGGCCAGGTATCGCGAGTGAGTTCTCAGGTACGATTCCAGGGGCCGGCCATAGGGTAGAAGAGCCAGAATCTGAAAAATGGCTTGTAAATACCGTCGTTAAGTTCCTGCGGACTATTAAATAATTAAATGCGATGTTCTGCAACTAGAGTAATGTAGCTCATTCTCATCATGACTACCTGCGTCTCGGCATCAAGAAAAGGTGGAAAAGAGCAAAGTTGAACTGTTATGCGATCATCATTACATTAATCTTGACCAAATCTAAAAGGTTTGCGGGCGCCGGTCCAAGACGCCGCACTCACTACTAGGTTGGGTACTTTTCTAAGGTCGGCGACCGCACAGAGTCGGGGCAGGTCGGACACATCCCATAGATTATCATCGCCGAATACCTCAGGTGAACGAACACCGGTAGGACTACAAAAAGCGGCATTACAAAAATTCCTGCTGAACTTTTTTAATTCTTCTCAAATTATTTCCAAAACTTTATCGGCTTTTTATCGAAAAAAAAGAAAGAAAGAAAAACAAGTTCGCAAAGGAATTCAGTACAATTGGCATTTCATCACCCACAACTTGAGCCTGTATTGTACCTCCTAACAATGTGTTTCGGCGCCACTTGTCCAACCTGCTGTAAGTAATACCTGAAGCACCTAAAGCTTTTCAATGTATTCCCAAATCTAAACACTATTCGCAAGTATAATATACAATACCTATATTTACTCCTGATACATGTATTAACTCCATCATTAGCAGGAAAGTCCTGGCGGGGATGCGGTTCGCACATTCCGTCCGCTCTTGCGGGGGTCCCGGAGAAGCAGTGGTGCACCTGCCAGCCGCGAGTTACGGTTGACGGAAAGCCGTACCCTCCGGCTGCGAAGATGGCCCTTCCCGGCCTTTCTTGGCTTGGTAGTTTGTTCGGAAGCGGAGGTGGGCAGGCTACGGGAAATAAGGATATAAAGAATAACAAGGGGGAGCTTTGAGCTGGGTGTTACTATGTTAGGAGGTACCTGTTAACTGACTTTTTGAGTCCGGCTACTGAATGTTGCTCCGCTCTTCGCATCTCCCCTCCTCAACACCCCTATCTCCTCACTAGGTAATGTCCCCTCACTTACCTAGGTTATCATCATGCCAACCCCACCAGCGATAAGTGACCCGAGCTACCTTAGGTAGGGTTTCATGGGGTAACCTTATTATGTACCTACCTACGTACTTGATAGAGGATATCAGTTCGAACTATCAAACTTCATCTTTCTGTTGAAGAACGTATGGAGTACCTTAAATGTCTACGCTAATCTTGCCAGAGGGAAAGATAGTCGTATAAGGTATCATTCAAGATGCTTCTCCTTAATCCCTTTGTACTAGCTATCACGTGCTTCGCATTAAGCATTTTATATATCTGGCGATGTATCATATCTCCCCTGCGAACCCTTCCCGGCCCGAGGGTCTCCTTATTTAGTTCATGGGTCCTGAAGTACCACGAATTCCATGCTCACCGCACGAGATATGTCCATAGCCTCCATAAGAGATATGGCCCTGTTGTGCGGATAGCTCCGAACGAAGTATCATTTGCGTCCCTCGAAGGCGTGAAAGAGATCTATGGTTCGGGAGGAAGCGGCTATGATAAGACCGAATTTTATAATCTCTTCACTATATATGGTCGAAGGTAAGAGACGGCTTCGACGATGGAATTGTCGGGGGAATCCTTAGTTACATGTCCCACCAAGGTTGAACAGATAAGCTCATGAGAGATCGCATAGGACTATGTTCAGTACCCTGAAAAAAGAGGACGTAAGTTTCCCAACCAGCTAATTCTCACATTTTGTCAGGAGACATTCTTACAAGTGTTCAGCATGCCAAGCGGAAACGAATACTTGCAGACCGATATGCAAATACCAATATTCTGAAATCGGAGTCATTGCACGGAATCGTAGAACGGTCGAAACGATTCGTAGAGAGATGCTCAAGATTTTCTGGTGGAAGCATCGATATATTCGTAAGAGAAACTTCACAGACGCTGATGGATAATATGTGAAGAAATACTAACTAGATGCTAGATTTGTATGGCTATGGTAGAGAGTTTCTTTTTAAGGGGAATTCACTAATGAGGTAACCCAGGTCTACACGACTATGCGTTCGATTGTGCGACACATCATCTTTTCCATCCTTACGGATCTGATTCCCTACGGAACCCTAAGGACGAGGAAGTCATGAAGCAGGTGACTTTTGATGATAGTCTTCAAAGTCAGTTATGTCCTTGAAACCAGGTATCTTAGGTACCCATTTCTCTGCTAGAGCTAATGGAGGGTAGACCGTCTGGTCGAATACTACAACCCGACCTTGCACAAGATGATCGGCAGCGTTCTGTCTTTGTTCGCCAAGCCACGGAAGACGCCCCTAGCAGACGACTTAGTCATGTCCGCCAGCGCGAGAACTGGTCCCGCGCAGTTCACCCTCCTGAGCCGCATGCAAGATAAGAACTACGAGATGGAGCATATCGACATGGCAGCCGAGTGCCTCGACCACATGGTCGCGGGGATCGACACCACCGGCGACGCTCTGTGTTTTCTCATGTGGGAGATCTCCCAGCCTAGGTCGTTCTACGTCCAACAGCGCCTCCAGGCAGAGCTTCGCGCCAACCCCGACGTGGCGTTTGATAAGCTACCTTACCTGGACGCCGTCGTGATGGAGGGCCTCCGTTGCTTCCCGGCGATTCCTATGTCTCTCCCGCGGTACGTCCCCTCCGGCGGCCGCACCATCGACGGTTACTACGTCCCCGAGGGAACGATCGTGAGCTGCCAGGCGTACTCCACCCACCGCATCGACGAGACCGTGTTTCCGCAGCCCGATACGTTCGACCCGGACCGCTGGCTGCAAGAGGCTAGGGAGCTTGACCGAAAACGGCTATTCTTCGCTTTCGCTAGCGGCGGGAGAGGTTGCATCGGAAAGCAGTAAGTTACTCTTAAACCGACCTTAGCTACCTACCTAGGTACCTTGGTTATTATACGACCTGCGCGTAGGGGGAAATTCGCTAAAGAATCGTATCATAGTCTGGCGCTTGCCGAGATGAAAACCTTGCTGAGAGACGTCTACTCGCGGTACACGACCGTGCCTGACCCGTCGATGGTTGCCGGGGATATGGAGATGGCGGATCAGTTGATCTCCTCGCAACCTCGCGGGAAAAGGTGTCTTTTGACGCTTATCCCCCTGGGGAATGGGATTTAGCATGCTCGGTTACGGGTCATCGGGTTAGGATTGTAACATTTTGTATACTGGATGTATCCAGGCCTACCGAATATTAGATACTGTACAAAGTTAGGACGTTGGCGCGTCTGCCCCGTTCTTATCCGACCCTGGATATACACGTGGTGAGTGTATCATACGATTTCATATGCTATCCTCAGTATCAGGCTTTAGCCCCTAGGTGCGAAAAGAGTCTTTTTCAAAGCTCTTCTAGAGAATGCTACCCTGTTAGATTTTATATTAGAGAGATGGTACCCCTGAAATGCACCTTTCCCACCGCTTAACTCGGACCTGAGATAATATTCCGGCGCTATGTCGTCCAAAAGCACAGGCTTCAAGCTTCTAGAACACTTTTGCTTGCCAAGCTCAACTCGTACGAGAGCTAGAACCTAATAGGAGGAGATATCTCGAACGCAGATATGGACAGACATCAACATGTCAAACGGAGCACGCCGTGTTGACGGTGTAGATGATTCCTCTCTCCTACCGCAATATGCCGCTCGCCTAGTGACATACTGTATCTGATCAATTCCTTGCAAAGCTGCGAGGGTGATTCTGTGCGAACTCCTAGTTAAAGATAACCATGTGTGCGTAGAGATGGATCTTTAGGGCACCCCCGGGTCAATGTTCCTATTACTGAGTATCATAGGGTTCTTACAAGCCTAATAGTCATCCTCTACCGTATCACTAAGCATGGGAAGAGTAGTTGCGGGAGAGAGGGCCTGAATTCCAATGCGAGGGCAGCGCGTGTGGCGTACAAGTAAGCCCTTTGATTAGTGTTAACGTATGGTTAGCATAACTACAAGTAAATTGTTGAGCTTATGAGTTATATCTTTCAGGCGATTTCTTTACTGCTCTTTTGTTTACTTGGGAATACCTTGATAAGATATACATAGACGTGCGATTATCAACTTTTCTATATTAAGAACGAGGCATATCAATAAGCTACTGGGATGAACTACGGATTTCCTGTGACAGAAGACTGGCACTTCTGAGAGGAAAAATAAATAAATAAAATAAAAATAAAAATAAAAATAGGTCTTTCACATTTTACTTGAGCACTGCGATGCTAAATACTATGGTAGAACTGATGTTCTGGAGCGCATCTTGGATAGACTACCCTATTCCCGCAGCCTTATATTATTGTTGTTGTTGCGAACTATGAAGCTGCTTTATCAGAGAACGCTCTCAGTATCATATCAGCACCGTTTAGGAAGAGCGTAAAGTGCTGTGAAACATGGCTGCATACCTGATGGCCATTTACTACGAAACAGGACGCGAATGAACATAAGCCAACATGCGAGATGGTTTATCTTAGGTCAAGTTTATATATTACTAAGGTATCTTAGGTTAGGTACATATATGTGTCAAAGTTCAATGGAAAATCTATTATTTCTTTTTAAGACGTCCGTTGGTCTGGAAAAGAAGCGGCATTAAGCAAGCAGAATTACCATCGGAAAAGGTCCCAATACGCCCTCTGAAGAGTCCATAAAGGAGTAAGATATGCTTCAACAAATCTGCGTGTGCAAATAGGCACCTCGTCAGCGGCGACTGCGAAAGCGAAGATCCATACATGATTTGCCGAATTTAATGCCATTGCTTACCTACCTAGGTACCTAACCCTGGGGAATAAGACCGTGCAAGGAAGGCGAGATTCTAGATTTCCCAATAGAAGGAAGATGGGCATTGATGAACGGCGATTAACAAGGGGCCTCCTTATGCATACCAGGTAGATATCTTTGCACATAATCCCCGGGGCAATGGTATCTCGCGTACCTTTTTTGCTACATTACATGCTCCAAGATCGGTCTATGCAAGCTGTATGCAACCCTCGAACGAGTCTACGGCCACGGGACTGGGTATGTTGCATATGTTGGGATCATGTTTCTTATTGACAGGCCTTGGCGGGCCCTGCAACAGTAAGAGCTAGGTCGATTGTCGGTTATTGAAAGACGTGCAGTTTTCTGCGCGTCTAACAGCGTTGATCTTCCGAATGGGTTGGTACTTACGGATAGCGTGGGGGTCAGAAACGCGAGGAGGTCAGGGATAAGGGCCCGGATGGAGTGAATAGTCTAGTCCCATCCCATCCCATGCCTGTATTGATATGGATCGAGGACGGGATTAGGGTAGCGGTTATTAGTGGGAGAGTGAGACAGAGAGCGCTGGCGCTTTGCTACCTCAAACTGCGAAAATATACAGGATGTTTTCCCTTTGGCAACATCCGAATCTACGATCATCGGATGTGTATGTTGGTATCCAAATCTATCTGAAACCTTGAGCGAACTTCCTAGATGTTCTAGAAGAGCCCCTAGTTATTCAGTAAATGGTAAGTTTAGAGCTGACAGGTACCGGCAGCTAATAAACACAACCCAAAAGAGACTCCGTATTCTCCTTTGTTCTTGGTAGTACAGGAACCTGGTCTCCGGGACCAGCTAATAGGTCTAGGTAGCCAACGGCCAACGAACTCGCCCTCCCATCGCAATGTGATGTGTTTATGGATGTACTATTACGTCACGGTACCTGTGCCAAACAATTGTATCCTAGCGAAGGTCTATTAGATGGAATTAGTATGGAGTTAGAAGACTATAACACTGTTTATTCCCTTCTAACTACCTTAACCTAACGTATTTTGCCTAAAGCCTCCTACGCCGCTAAATTCCGCTGATCATGACGTTTGGACGAAGACGAAAAGCACAAGGGGGCAAGGGGGGTTTTCTTCCTAGATGTCGAATCCCCAGCTGTATCTGGTAAGTCTGACGCAAGCCCGCAGGTTGATGGATGCTCCATACACGATTCGGCATTGTACTACTGGCATGGCTGGCATAGATCTGTATGTGGGCCAGCATCGAGCGACCTAGACATATGGCAACCCCATATAGACCAGACATAGAACCGACGTAAGAAACCGAAAGAGCTGATTGCATATTGCGTGTTTATGTTGTTGTGGGAGAAGAGGGACGAAAAGAAAGACGACGATCTCCTTTACTCGACAACCGTTCCGACGGTGCTGTCACCAACCATGTTATCCATCCCCCCCTGCTCTTGTGAGATATGACCTGTAGGATATCGGTATAAGAATATCCTTATTACCGACCCTTACTTGGACTATGTTATGCATCATCTACTGCCGGCCCTGCTTTATCTTGCGTACGTGTGAGTAATCCTTTAAGATTGGTCAGATTTTCTTACATCTTACAGGTACATTGATGCTAGGTTAGCCCACATTAGAATTGCCTTTTGTATGTACGAAATCCTATTGTCCCACCGTCTCACCGCTCTCGTCTTTCAGCGACACCTTGAACTTTGATATGGTTTTATCATCTTGGCGTGCACGTTTTTTTTTACTTGGGTTTGGTGGGTACGTTGAACGACGATCCCGAATTGGTTCGGTCCCGGTTCCTAGGTTAGGATCGTATCAGATTGTAAAATTCTCGTCAGGGGTTATGGCCCTTTTTTTTTTGTCGGGTCTGCGGGTCAGCCGTCTGTTTTTTTCGTGTCACTTTTCAGAAATCGAACAGATTTGGAGATCCAGAAGAGACAGGTTTGGGTTTCTGTGCGTACCGTACATATGCACATGCAGTTTTATAGCATAATTTAAGCGTGTAAAGTGCATTTCTGGTACTGGCTCGGGTCAAATATGTAAAATACCTATCTAACCTAACCTAATACAAGAGATCTCCTAAAGCTTAATCCGATAATGATATCCATATACTGGATATACTATACATCTTACATCCAAATATGGATCCGTACTTCTACTTTCAACAACGGGAACCAAAAAAACGGGACGGGCCTTTACCCGTGTGAGTGGAACCTGAGGGTATAGATGCCTATTATAGCTAAACACTCCGTCTACAGGTATCCAATTATTCTTACCATACTTACTAGGTACAGTTGGAGAACTAAATAGTCTTGTAGTCTGCAGATATGCCTAGCTGCGTCTACTAGTTTGTCAAGGAAGGGAATTAACCTGCCATACCAACCTTGAGTATGGTTGACACTGTGGGAAGGGTAAGCACTTAATCATATTGGTTCAGGTACTGTTGAACACTGGAGCTTTACGCCGACCGAATCACAAGAGGGATATTGGGGGTTGGGACATCCATCGTCTTTTGCCCGCCATGTCCTAACAAGGGATGAGAAACAAATCCGAAGTCTGAAGATAGTATAGCGCAAAGGTGTCTGTCGCTTGAAGTGCTCACTCATGTCAATTACATCCTAGTGAGGAATATCTAGACGTCGACACGTGCATCACATGTCCCAACTCGCCTAAGTTCCCTCCCTCCCTTTAACCAAGCTCTCTAGAAAGAACAGGCACAAAACAATTTACCAAGCGAGCCAGCCCAGCCTTGGTACCGCTCACCAAGCTGAGTCTCCCCCCATTTTTCGCCCTCCTTCGCCCTCCCCCTCGTCGATTCAGAATATCAATACAGCAGATAAAAGAAACAAAAGGAAAGGAAAGCGAAGGATAATCCTCCGCTGTTGGCTAGTTACACGTTAAAACACTTTTCGTTTTTTTAAAGAAAAAAAAAGAAGGATAAAATAAACCTAATGATCGTGACGGCGTGATTTCGACTTAGAGAAAAAAAAGAATTGTAGTAACACGAGGACAAGAATAGACAACTGCCACCATCGCTCGTGCCAGGGCCGAAAAAAAATAAACCTCCATATTACTTCACCATGCGATCAAAGACTGAATCCGGTGGGGTGAAGAGTGCTAGTAATATAAAAAAGAACCACTCCGTTTGCTCCTCTTCCGACTTGTTGTAAAACTGTATGCCGCCCGAGCTATGCAAATAGAAGATGTAGACCAACTCGTGTTCCGGTATATCAGTCTGCGAAAGAATCGAAGCCGCCCCCTTTAAAGTCCGAGTAACGTCTCGTCGATCGATTGCCACACCTTTGATGCTTCACTATAGCTTGGGCTCCAAGTATCTTGTTTCATCGGTGAGTTATGTTTTTGTCGCATGATGCTCGCGGAGAAAAGGTATCGACAGTAGAAAAAGTGACGAGGCCTGACCAAGCTTGGAAATATGAATAAAATAGATAGATGCAAACTGCTAGACCAGTCATGCCGAAACCCTCTGTGAGATTAGAAAGACATTGGTATCCGCCTCATGTGCTCATGCGAGAAGAAAATCTTGGTGGCGGTTGTGGTTATACGGTTCGCTCGTCGCCACTAGGCTGTATGATCCGATATTCAAAAGGGATGTTAGAGTGTTTGAAATGCATAGCATTCGGGCCTCTATCATCTAGTAAGGCCACTCTGTATTAAGTCTCAAGGTAGCTTAGGAGGTACCTAAGGTTAGATTAGGTAGGTAGGTAGTCAATAATATGCGTTGACTTAAACCCAAAACTCTCGGCTCTCAAGCTAAGGTGAACCAATCAACCCATCTAGGGTTGCACCGCGCATATGCCGTGGTTCACAGAACATAGACAATTAATAAGTTGCCTTCAATTATTACCTCGACGTAACGTCGACGTTAGATAGGGGGACGAATCTTCAATATGAAGACCGGCCACCAACGCAGCTAGTTGACAAGGCTACAAATGCCTCCGTCGACTAGCGGTGAACTTACTGCGTAGGATGCCGAGGAAGCGTATCGCCTTTAGCACTTGGCCCCGGAATAGGCCCTGACTCGTGAGGCATATAGTTTGGAAAGGTAGGTTGAGGGAGTGCCCGAATCATCCCGCCATGCTGTGTATCGTGGCCCCCTCTTGCTAACCCGTCGAATGACGTGCCGATATACTGCTGATTTTGAGTCATCGGAACCCCTGTGTGACCGACGAAAGGTTGGTGGGTGTTCCCAGTCTGCTGCGGAAAAGTATAAGCCGACTGGTTACTCGGTGGCGCCGAGCCCGTTTGCCACGGCTGATATATGGTCGGGGTTGCCGGGCTTGTATATTCCGACGGTGTGGTGAACATAGAGGATCGTCTGCTCGAATCGTGCGGGCTGGTGTACATGTCGTGAAGGCCTAAGTTTGTCGGCGGGTGAAGGGGTGTTTGGCTGGACATACTGGGTGCTTCCACAAAGGTCTGCCGCTCAGTGCCTATTTCGGCGTTTAAACCCGGTTGGGAGTATTGCGTGCTGCGAACAGGCATCTCTCCCACGAATGCATCACCCGGGATTTGAGCAGTGGGACTCTGCTCGGTGCTATGTGGCTGAGCTATAAGCGTCTGTGACATATTTGCCCTTTGTGGAGACGAGTTAGAGGAATTAGAGGTTGGGTTAATATGTTCGCCGTCGTCTCTCCCAGATGTAATATCCTCAGTATCAGATACGTAGCCCTGACTAACACGATCATTCGGCATTACATAGACTACGGTTGAGCCATCTATGATGGTAATTAGCACCGAAATAACACATACCAACTTTGGACCACTTACCAATCTGGCCATCTTTATACCGTTCCTCAAGGTGAGCAACCTTAAAGATTTCCTTCAAGTAAGGCTTCTTTGCCATGTTGCTTGGGTTGTCCTTGTCCGTGAAGAAAGACGATAGCGCTTCATTCGTTACCTCTTCCAGCTTACTCACATTGAGAAATAGCTTTTGTATACTCGGATGTTGGTTCTGGTTCGGCTCGACTATCATCCGAAGAATATGGTTGAGGAGGTGAACCCGTTCTAGAACGATTGGTCAGTTATAACTCGTCTTTTTCTCCGGTTTCCAACCGCCTTACCGCGTTTGTACAGATGATCGGGCTCCTTGTGCCTAACTCTCTGTTCCTTGTTCGGCCCCCAAGGCTTCGGCCACCAATCAGGTGCCTTCTCATCTGCACCTGTATAAGGGTGCGTAGATTGCTTCTTTGGTTCGACGGCCTTTACCCATGCTTTCGCAATCAATTTACATGCGCTCTGTTGAATCGTCTTGAACCGTTCTTCGTAAAATGCCCAGACCGCCTTGTCATCACAGATCGTAAGACCTTTCTTTGAAGGACTTGACAATGCCGTAGGTTCGTCGTCGTAATTTTCGGGCTCGCGTCGTATCATGCTTGCCCTTGGGCGTTTGCGGGCTTTATAGTTCCCGTCATCTTCAAAACTCGTCAAGCTCATAGGCTGTGCATACCGACGCTCCTGCGCCCAACGTCTACCCGGGTCCATGGGGTACCGGTTAATTTCTGGTTCAAAACTAAAGTCCGATTCGGTATATCCAGGGTTCGTAGCTGAATTATTAAATTTTAGTTGGACGTTATTCGCATTATAGTCCGAGTCGAACTTACCAGGCCGTGCACGCTGTAATTCGCGACTAAGAGCCTCTAGATCCAAAAACCTCGATATGTTTATTGGTATAGTTGGTGCTGCGAATACATGAGGCTTTCCTTCTATGATGGCTATGACGAGATAGTATTCAGCTGCGAGGTTGCAATATTCGCTCAACGCTTTGTTGATAGCCTATGCTATATTTAATATCGTATATCTAAGAAAATGTGAAGAAAATGTGACTATCTCACTCACCATAGGAGGTCGCCGTATATCTTGAGAGTCAGCGAAGCGATTCTCATCTGGGACTGGTTCCATGGGAAATCTTTCCTGGTGAGGCCAATATGTTGTTCGTGATGGGAAGTGCTCCCTTGGTTGGTTGGCGTCTTGTACCATGGTTGGAGGGAGTATGAAATAGATGAAATTTAAAGTAGATCACTATCCTCGGTAGAGTTTATATTTTTTTTTTTCACCACCGCGGTTCCACGGTAGGTCTTGTTCAATTGCAGAGCCTCCTTCTAGTGACAAACGTCAATTTATCACATGCACTGCTCGTATCTACGAAGCGGTCTGATTCTCTTCGACAACGTCGCCGATTCCCGACCTAAATGCGGTGTCGAAGTTTGTCTCACAGATGGGGAGCGGTAAGACTAGACTGAATTTGATAGCGATAGAAGAAGAAAAAAAAATAGAGAGGAATTGAAGACAGCGGTTGAGTGCAGTCGAAGGAGGATTGTCCGTCAGAGCTAGTATATGTTGTGACAAGACAAGAAGAGATGGAGCGCGTGCCTGATATATGTGCGAGGGTGGGGATAGAAAAGAAGTTTTGACAAGATAAGAGTGTAGTACTTCGTATTAACAGACTCAAACGAGCTTAAGAAGGTTGGAAGTGCCGTGTCGATATGGGAAAGCCGGTCAGAGAGCCAAAGCGCACATCGAGGGCTGAGTCTCAGACGGGATGACCTTTCTTTGTTCAGTAACGGCAGCGGGAGCTTGCTTCCTAAGGAGGTGGGCTAGTTGGGGCGGGCGGGATATCAAATAAGTGTGCTATTAGACTTAGATGCAGAAACCTGGTGGGCGGCTGCGAACTAGGCCGAGCTGAGCATGGGTCTGGTGGCCAACAACAAAGAAAGGGCAATACCGTAGCGTCAGAACTGAACAGCCTTGCGTATTTCAGTTTAATGAGCTGAGCAGGCCCGTCCTGGATTCAAACGGGATCGTCAACTAGTCGCAAAGGTTACGTGTAAAGGACGGCGGATGTCCTCTTTCACTTTTACAAAGTTGTGAGACATCGAGTAGTGAAGCCCTCTACACTTGCTTGTATTATGCCTCGCTCTAGCTTCCGAAGCTGTTTCAGAATCAGTAAAAGATCGTCGTAAGAGTGCAAAGTCGGTTTAATATAAAGAAGATATCAGGATATTGCAATATTAGAAATGCGGCTGGAATATGATGTTTATCCACTGCTTGTCCCAGCCGCAAAGCACGACACACTGTGAAGAAAATCGTATTAGACGGGCGTTTACCAACCAATTTAAGAGGAGCCCATTGAGCGCTGTAAATCTAGGTAAGAAGCGATTAACCAGCTAGAGTTGGACGTCACCCACGAGTGCCGGCAGTCTAATGCGAGGGATAAGTGATGCGGCGGAGTTCAAGTGCTCGTAAAACCATGTGGTTCCCACACAGCTCATGCGGCAAGCGGCAGTGGTCCACGGAGGGGGGGGATAAGCAATAGAAGCTGCTCTCAAACGACTGCGATGGGGTGATCTATAGGCTAAGGTGCTCGCGCGGAAACAGAGCGAGGCGACGGGATACCTTCTACTATTGTTGAACTATTCAGGTCTCTTCTTGCTAATAAGCAATGGCGAAATCGGGGGAAAAAGAAATGGGATATAAACGATGGCGAGAGGCAAGGCCTGTGGAGAAGATACTGTACGTAGTTGTTGTAGTCGTAGCAAAGTCCCTAGGAACGAAAGAAAAAAAAATAAAAATAAAAATTAGACCAAACACACAGATGGCAAGGATCACGAAGCAGAATTCACAAGCCCCTGCCCCTCGTTTCTACGATAAGCTCGGGTGCTAAGACATGAGCAAGGACCAGATTGTCTTCCCTTTTAGCAGTTGGTTTTGCGGGTGTGTACGAAAGGGTACAGATGTGCGTATGCAGCCGGGAGAAGATAGGTAGATTTACCTCAGGTAGTAATGAAAGCCGTGTGGGTTTTTTGCGAGGGGTCTGCTATCAAGGGGGCGGACAGGCTGGACAGGCAAGGAAAAGCTCTTTGAGCTATGCTATCCTCAAGGCCCGAATGTGTTTAGAGCAGGGGGGTTTTAATGGATGGCGGCGTCATTGAGGCCTTGTACAGTACAATACATGGATTGACATGCCCGAGCCTGGCCAAATACGATGCTCTCTTGGTAACAGTGGGGGAAGAAGCCAAGCAAATACAGAAACAGACATGGCGACAGGCCTGGATGGCGTTGCCTCTGTGCTCTACATAGTATGTCTCTCTGCTTTTGCAATTCAGGTTGCTAGTAAGGTTAGGTACCTACATACACACTACCTCATACAGCATCCAGGGTCATATCTACCTAACCTATGTATGTACGTTTATGTTTGCATACGGGAGATTACCGAAAGAATCATATTACATACCTGCTATTTTTACAATGTATGTAGTGCACGCACCTTTTGAAAAGCTAGGTCCATATTATATACTTGTATACTTCGTAGTATCTACATGATATCGAGTTCAGCAGCAGCAGCAACAACAACTTCAAACAACGACGCGCCTCGAACCCTTCAACACAGTACTCAATAAGCAGCCTTTTGTACTACTCAGGTAACCAACATACTCATTTATTGTTATTACCTTATTAGTAAACTAAGGCGTTCTTCGAGTAAGCGTCTTAGATATATGCGGAATGCATCCCGGCTAGTATACCCAGCAAGAGAACACGAAGAAGTTTCCAATGTAGAAAAACCCCAAAGTAAGAACGAAAAGATTGGAGAAAGAGAGAGGTATGTGGAGAAACCAGAAAACCAGAACAGTAGGTTAAATGATCACGGTCTGATGACTGCATGATGGGTGTGAGTAAACCCCTGTGAGGTGACAAGGGGTAAATAAAATAGAATTGGTCGCCCTTAGCTTATTAGCGGGAGGAGTGGGTATAAGTGGCCCTGTAAAGTGGACTTATAAGACTTGGGAATGGTTCCGGGGCGGTGCGTGGTGGAGTTTTATGGGGCGACCCGAATAGCCCGGTGCCCGGGGGGAAGGAGGAGGGGGGGGGGGATATTTACTATGGGAGAGCTTCCTGAGCCTTGGGTCTTTGATTTACACGTCATTTCCCGAAAATGGAGGAATTGAAGAAATAAAGAAGACGATCTAAATCTGTCAGAAACTGAATCTTAACTTCAAGATATATGTCAAGCCTTTTCTAATTAAAGATACGAAGTAGAGATTGCGTCAATCCATGCCTTAGTAGGGACATTATAAAGAAGTTGCTTAAGCTAATGAAGCAACTAACAACTATCCAAAGTTGCAGTAAATACTTCATATACCCAATAAGACAATAATGAGTTAGAAAAATATTCATAATTGGAATAAGCTTAAGACTAAACTAACCTATAAGTAATAATTTCAAGACTCAAGAACAATTATATACAACATCCTTCTCATGTCGCAGTCGGCGTGCATATAGTACCTAGTTGGTGTCACTTTGGCGCTTGGATCGATGTGCTATAAAAGGAATCTCATATACTTTCTAGCAAACAAATCCGTCTTAATAACGAGGTACGTAAGATAGTAACTAGGAAAAAAAAGACTTCTCTTAATAGGAAGAAAAACCATTACACGGTTAGTACATTATAAAGGAGATGACTTATGAGGTGATGCTGGTAGCAAATACTACGACCAAAAGTAGATCCATTAATAATGTCTTTTCCTTTCTTTACCAAGCAGATTAGTTGTCTCCCTGTATTTTAGTAAGTACCTAAATATATATCAACAAAAGGATATTAGTTAAGATCTAGTTATTGATTAACCAAACTTCCCCCACGTTGTGCCACCCCTTGTCGTGGCCCCAAGATCTGAACTCCTAATGTAGATCAACCCAAACCCAACAGATGGGTTAGTTGATTACCATTCGTCTTATGCCTCGTCAGCAAAGCGACAGTGATGTATGCCGGGCACCAATCGTATCGGAGAGCCTTGTTAGAGTACCAGGGTACAATGACCTCCTTGACAGGTACTTAATACCTATTAGGTTGGAGTGCATACCTACCCTTTACTCAACGAAGATAGGTGAAGCATTATACAATACAGTAACATGGCATAACATGACATGACATGAATTTACAAACGCCCCCTCTCTCTCGGCTTTTGGATCAGGTATAGACGTGAAAGAAGCCCAAATATGCATCACCTGCCCATCATCAGCGGTATCATGGGGCGCCATCGACCATCGCAGTTCGTCACCGTTTCCAATTTGCGCGTGCGTGCTTCTCTCTCCGCATCAGCACAGATTTCTCGAATCTGCGGGCGAGCACTGATGCATCCGGCTAAATGAGGCGTGCTCTGTTCTCACTCGTCACTTCGTCATGTGGGGGGTTTCGGGAAACTTGAAGATCTGGATCTATTAAAACCTGCACCTTAAGGTATGTACATTTATGTACAACCTACCCTGATCCGGGCTTCTTGGTGAGCAGTACTTAACCTATCGTACCATCGTACTTAATGTAAGTTTGCGTGAGAGCTGACGACTTTTACAAGGATCACCCCAAGAAGACCGGTAAAGGTAGTTTATACGTCTTACTTGACAAAGGATCCCTATATCCTATATCCTAGTCCAGCCTCTATGCATTTTCAATATTTAAGGCAAACTTACAAGCCACAAAGTATCAAGTAAGTCAAGGAGGATCTATCTGGGGGACTAGGGTTGAATTAGGTACCTGTTTTATGCACAACCACGATACACGTCAAGGTCGTATTGCGATTGCTAAGGATCTTTTCTACGTTGGGTAGTATCAGATACAATAACAGATATATTCGAATGCACCCTCACGCTGCAAAGAAGACCCAGAGCGGCAATATCAGGTGCTGATGTGAAGATGCGAGTACGTGCGTCTTCCCCTGACCGTCGCCGGTGTGATAGGTAGGTAGGTAAGTGTTTTGTAACCAGCATACAGATACAATCAGCAAATAAAAGGAAGATAAACGATCAACCATTACATACGCCACACATCCAAAGCTAACCAACACCGTTTTGCTTCCGGTACCGACCCTGCTATTATTATATTGCTTTTCTGGTGGTAAGAGAATCACATACTGTATGGCCCTTGCTGTCTGAGCATGAATTCCACCGCTCGTTACCTAATAACGCGATCCCCCCCCTCCCCCCATCGAAGCCTTGCACGTATAAGTGGTACGCATGGTGAATTTGAAGATTAACGGGGGGCCAGTAATAATTATTAGCCTTACTCTTCCTCGCTTAACAGTGGGGGGGGGGGGGGGGGGGGGGCGGGGGGGGGGGGGGGGGGGGGGGGGCGCCGGGCCCG